ATATAGATAAATTAATATGATTGCATTTGTTTGTTTAATGTATCTCTTGATTTAAAATTTAGGCACAACTGCTTACTTTCTCTTTAAACATAAAATAAAAAAGGCACAGATACGGAGTCACAAATACAGAGATATTGTTTTTTGTTGAATTTCACATTAATCATGAAAATTAAATATGAAAGACTATATATATAGTAACATATTCACAAATATATAAAGCATTACGTTAGCAATCTTACTTGTACGTAGCTATATGGCGATGCCTGCGCGTTTTACATAGATAATATGACAAAAACTTGTATGCGGAATAGGCAGCAATATTTTCGCACTTGTCACGTCGAAAGATCGTAAAAGCTGCGCCTGGCGCGGGCAACCGCAGAACAATGCAACCGCAATGTATTGCTCTTCAGCCAGCCAGGGTTATTTCGTTACAACTCACTCGTATTCTTTCCTGCAGACGCAATTTGAATCTGATTATTTGCAAGGGCAGATTTATATACTGCGTCAATGCAATAAACGCAAATAGGAGCGTTTTATCGATTTAACTTTACGAAAACACAATTTTCTATTGACGTATAATATAATAATATGCTTATGAAATAATTTTCGATGATATTGACGTATAATAATATGATTACGAAATAATTTTCGATGAATTGTTATAAATTAAAGTTACGTATTATCATTGCTCTTTTTCTTTATTCTCTATTTCTTTTCCTTTTTTTCTATATTGAATGTTTTACTCTTATCTCTATATATATATTTTTTTTAAATTCTATTTTATATTTTTTAAATTCTATTAAAAATATTATCGAATATTATCAAATAATTAATATAAATATATATCTTAATAATTATATAAAATTTTTGTGAATGAATATTTATAATAAATTTTGTGTAAAAAATTCATTTTTCAACAGCAACAAGCACGAAAAATACAAAACGAGATTCCAATTTATTTAATCAATATGTTGATTTCAAGATTCTTTTCGGCATTACCTACAAAATAATATCATTAATTCAGAATTTAATTGTCTCTGCGTACTAAATATTTAAACCAATTTAAACCAATTTTACATATGCCGTTTAGAAATCAATTATTTTGATATAATAATTACTTGAAATGACTTTATGTTTCAATTTTTAATCATTAAAAAAGGAATTTTGAAAAGTATTAAAAAATAATTTTTAAAAGTAGATTTTTTAATTATTAAATGAAGAACTAAATATAATTTTGCACAGCTTTATTAGCACATTTTTTCAAATAATTTAACTTTGATAAATTATATAAATTATATTACGAATTATTTACATAAACAATGTATTTGTTTATTCACATAAACAAATATAGTAGACAGAAGAAAAAATGAAAAAAGATAGAAAAAAAGACGAATGAAAAAAAAACGTTATACATGCGAAACTTATAACATTCATCGAAGATACTTAAAAAAATTTAAATCAGTCATCATTTGTGTCAACAAAACAAAACTCTAGAGTTATATCATTGGATGCAAACAACTACTACTATATTCTTAATAGAACAGCGTGATAATTTTGGATAATTTAATTAACATATTTTTAAAAGAAATATAGATTGTGCTTTATATACTTTTACGGTAAGCAAAAAATATAAAGATTATAAATAACAAAATTCCTTAATATATAATATATATTATGCTAATAAAATATCTCACATTTAATAATATATAATATAATAATATGCTTTATTTACTTTTTTAAGAAATTTGTGTTTCCACAATCAAGTACAAGCAAGCATTTATTGAATTAATAAAACTGTAATAATTACAATATTTCTTTCTAAGGCAAAATTAAGTTCAATTATTCTAATAATAATAAATGTTATCTACAAGATATCTACTCTGTCTCAATTTCTTTTTGTTTGCTATCAATAAATGTGTATTTCAAATCTCATCGAGCTATTTTAATATATTTTAATGTATTTCTACAGATTTTAATAGCAGAAATCAATTATTAGATAATTATTAATAGTTAAATAATTATATTATAATTATTTAATTTTATTAACATATATGCAAACTTCAAAAAAATTATTTAATCGCAATAAATTAACTTTTTTTATTATTAAATTTCAACTTATTTTTACGTAATTATTAATCACAAATTTTAAGCGATCATGTATATATTTTAGATAATTGCAAATGGAGCGTGTGCAAATGTGCATTTATTTTACTCTTATTATCTGTCCCTATTGTAAATCTGTATCAATCAATACTGTAGTGTAAGTTATTCGTATTATTATCAACGAATATTATATAAAAGTTATGATTAAATAAATAAATTTTTATTAAAATTGACAGAAATATATGTGTGTATGATTATCCGTTTTATATATTATCTGTCCGGTTTATATATTTTTAGGCATTATCCGAATCGACATCTTCTACGTATGAAATGCGATATCTGTTATTTAAGTCTTCGAATTAGGGCATCGTCAAATAAAACCGAAGCTTTAACACAGCTCAGAAGAACTGTAGAAAAACTTTTAAATTGTACTTTAGATTTGTACAAACTAGAAGAAATGAAAAGAAACACATTGCATAGAAAGGTTTCATTTCCAAAAAAATTGAATTTGTTTTAGAATTTATATTGAAATATATGATAAATTGTACTTCAAATATATTATATATATGTATATATAATTTATTTATATATGTTTGCATTTTATAATGTGTATACGTTGACAATATTTGTAACATAAGTGCGTCATTTTTTAACTTGTATGATTAATTAATAGCATTTTTAAACAATCAGTCTATCCCAATTGGCATGGGACAATCGCAGAACGTACATGCGAAACTTATCATAACATTCGGAGATAGTTAAAAAAATTTAAATCAGTCATCGTTTGTGTGAGCAAAACAAAACTCTACAGTTATATTATTGGAAACAAACAGTCATTACTATAGTCCTTAATAGAAAAGAGCTACAATTTCGAAAAAAATTTGTTTCCCCAATCCAAAGAGTAAGCATTTATTGAAACAATAAAACTGTAATAATTATTCGATATTTCTTTCTAAAGTGAAATAAATTCATTTATTCTAATAATAATAGATTTTATCGCGCGCGAGATACATCTTTTCGATCTCAATTTTTTTGTTTAATATCAAAAAAATGTGTTTTTCAATCTTGTCGAGCTATTACAATATGTTAATACTTTTATAGATATGTAGGAGAGATTCAAAATCAATATTTAATACACTTAATAGTAGCAGAGATTAATTGTTACATAATTATTAACTATTAAACAATTATATATTACATAATTATATTTTATCAAGGTAAATATGTGCAAACAACAGAAAAATTTAACCGCAGTAAATTAACTTTATTTCCTATTAAATTTCAACTTATTTTCGTGAAATTAATAATCACAAATTTTAAGCAATCGTGTATATATATTTTAGATACTGTGCAAATAGACTGCGACATGAAAAAATACTACTATATTTTATGTATTAAGTGTCCCTATTGTAGATCTAAATCAGACAAGTATATAACGTAAGTTGTCCGCATAATTGCCAACGAAATATACAATAGTTATGGTTAAATAAGTTGTTACTAATAAAATCGATAGAAATAAATTCTATCCGTATTTGTATATTATTTGGTTCATATATTTTCAGATTTTCTTTCCTTGAAGATAAACCAGATCAATCTTTCACACAGATGGATTGCGAAATTTGTCTCTTAAGTCTTAAAATAGTAACATCGTTAAAGGAAGCAGAAGCTCTATTTCAACTCAAAAGAACTATAAATAAACTTTTAGAGTGTACAGAAAAACCGAAGAAAAAATGAAAAACACAATACGAAAGATCATTGTCAAGAAAATTTAATTTGTTTTAAAATTTATATTAAAATATATTATAGCTTGTACTTCAAATATATTATATATATATATATATATATATACAAATATATAAATATATATATTTGTTATATATTACATAATATATGTGTTTATATAATACATATTATTTATAAATAAATATATATATATATATATTTATATATATGTATATATAAATATATATATATATACATACATACATACATACATACATACATATATAATGTATTTATATATTTGTATTTTATAATTTATATTTTTATGTATATTCGTTGACAATATTTTTAACATAGACGCGTCATACTTTTTAACTTGTATGACTAATTAATAGGATAGTTTTAAACATGCAATCTTCTCTAATTGGAACAATCACAGAACCTATAGCATTTTTGAAGGTATTGAGAAAGATATTGAGAAGATATTTCATATGTTCAAATATTTCTGACGTTTTCCAAAGCCATTGGATTATATGTACTTACTTTGAGAGCAGAAGAAAATATAAAGAAGAATATGATTTCTCAATTGTGCAAGTTTCATTTCCACTCTTCTTCTTCAGTGAAAAATGAAATAAGCGGAGGTGATTCCGTGCAGAAATTGATTCTCGATTCTGAATAACTAAATTGATTATATAACTATATATATGTATAATGTTAATGACGATTTGCCACAAACACTTTTGCGATAACTTCTCGCGCAAGATTCACTTTGCAACAATAACAATCCCGAAAAATAGATGATTTAATTGTAACTTCTCATCTTCACCATGACGCGATTAACTTATTCGAAAAGCACTATTACAATTTTCGAAGTATCGACATGTGAGCCAATCGTAGTATCTAGATTTTAAAATAAGTGCAAAAGGTGCAACTATATAAATTAAACAGTTTTATTATTTAATTATAAAAGTCAAATTCGAAAAATTGTAGGATATTATAAGTATAAATACTGTGATTCTGAACAAATTAATTACTATGATACTGTAATCGGTATAATTAATTATTAAATGACAATATATACCTGCACCATCTGCACTATAATAGTGCACTACAGTGGATATTCTAACGAAAAATATACATTTCTTCTGTTGGTTGCACTGTGATTGTGGTGTCGCTGAAGTCGAGATCCGTTTATATGTCCGCGCCATTTCCGGTTTACATCGGTCTTTCACTCTCAGAGCAAGATGGCTGATCAGGTATGTGTGCGATATTCGAACGATTAATAAATGGAATTTTTCGTGTTTTACGGTGTTGCTTTGTGAAAACATGCTATGTTCTTGCGACAATTAGCCTTAGGCATAAACGCATGTAAAAAGCAAGGTCGTAGGTTAAAGTGTGATGGAGAGGTTACAGTCGCGAACGTAACACGTGGTTAGGTCGCGCGTGTCTCGATATTTCTCTTGAAATTCCAATATCGAAAGAAATGCATAATTTGTATATGTATGATTTTGTTTGCAGAGCGAGCGTGCGTTTCAAAAACAACCCACGATCTTTCTTAATCGTAAGAAAGGTCTAGGCCCGAAGCGTAGGAAGCCTATGAGATACAGTCGCAATGTCGGGCTCGGTTTCAAGACACCTCGCGAAGTGAGTATAAATTTCTTTTAATTCACGGTACTACATTTCAGTAATTTACTTGCAATATTTTTCTTTCTTTGTATATTGTAATAATCTTTATAAAAGTGAATACATTTATGAAATAAGATTGTTATTTTAACTTTTATAAAAGATGTATCAAAGTGCATATTGAAAATTATCTTGTAATTAACAATCTAATTTATAGCCTTAATATTACTATTATTGCAAATATAATTAAAATATCTAATATGATGATAAATTACGACGGTCTTCTGAAGATTAATTGAAGAAAATTTTATATTCTCACATACTGAATAATTATGTATTTAATTCTTTTAATGATAAAAGATGTACAAAGTGTTTCATATATTGGTTTAATCTTTACAGGCACTTGAAGGAACTTATATCGATAAGAAATGCCCATTTACAGGCAATGTATCGATTAGAGGTCGTATCCTGACTGGTGTTGTACAAAAGATGAAAATGCAACGTACTATAGTTATACGCAGGGATTATTTACATTATATTAGAAAGTATAACCGTTTTGAGAAGCGTCATCGTAATATGAGTGTCCATCTTAGTCCTTGCTTCAGGTATAATAAAAGAATTACATTTTTTTCAAAGAATGTTAAACTTTTTTTTATCACGACTTTTATTTTTATATGATGATATATCACGATGGTCTACTGACAAATAACAATACAATTTGAAGAATTATCATGGATCTGACAAAATAATAATAAAAAAAGATTTAACAATTAATCAAAATTAAAAATTACATATTTTATAAATTAAATTTCAGAGATGTAGAAATTGGTGATGTAGTCACCATTGGTGAATGCAGACCTTTGAGCAAGACAGTTAGATTTAATGTATTAAAGGTTTCAAAAGGAACAGGATCAAAGAAGAGTTTCAAGAAATTTTAAACCTCTCTTTCCAATAATGGTTCGTGGTGGATTCTATCTTTTTAGTTTATAATATTTACATTAAAAACTTAAATGATGATAATAACGACGGTCTTCTGAATATATTTTGAAGTAGATATTCTCACACATACTGAATATTTTTGCATCTTTTTTTAAAGCAAAATTTATAACATACAAAATGTTTTTTATAACATTGTTATTTTAATTATTACAGAATACATTGCCAGGTGTAAGGATGTGAAAAAAACTGTAATGTTACAACCAAATACAGTTAAAAAAATTATACACGTGTATTTTTTGTAATTCATATTCAAACCCTACTTAAATGAGAGATAAAATTTCTATAAAGATGTTGCTTGTAACGTAACTTACATTATTTTTCAATATTATTACATATATAATTTTTCATTATTTAAATGTGGTTTTTTAAAAATGTATTTTTATATATTTTATAAAAAAAGTAAATATTTTTCTCAATAGATGTTATATTTGTTTATATATTTTCTAGAAATAGAAAAACTGACATATATAGAGAGATTATCAATTATATAAGTAATATTACAATTACTAACTTCAATTAAGAATTTTGACAATTAAAAAAGTTAATTTTTCTAATTATACTTGAATGTATAAAATAATGTTACAAGTGTTTTTATCAATTATATTTATAATACACATATATGTAGGGATGTGTAGTATAAATATAATTGATAAAAAAAAATTATGAATAATATGAAATAATGACATACCACTTAATTTTTAAAAATATATTTTAGCAATCTTGAACATAAGAAGCATTTAACATTCTTGAAAAATGTTTTCATACATAATATTTGGCAAATATTATTGTCATTATTATTGTAATAGCATATAAATTAATCTTTAAGGACAATATGAAATTTGTTAAAATTAAGATACAGAAATGATATTATAACTTAATATAAATATTCAAATTAATGCCTCACATAAATAAATAAATAAATATATATATATATATATATATATATATATATATAATAGTAATCCATATTTAATATATTATATTTTTTGAATTAATTATAATATACTATCAAATAATCTGAATATTTTGAATCATATTAGAAATATGAAAAATCCATTTTATTTTATATTAACAAGAGGCAGTCCAGAATTATAAAGATGTCAGTGCTTTATATACTTATAAATTATATTTCTTATATTATTCTCTATCAATATGTAAGACCTAATCAATCTAATCAAATCTATTAAATTAATTATTGTGTTAAAAGTTTATCACAAATATGCTTGATATAAAATAAGTTAACATTTTTTCCTAGATAAAAAATAATTTAGTTATTTTATTAAATTATATTAGAATTTATTATCTAACTTTATTGATAGTAACAGTTATGTCTTTAATAAATTTATATTTAATATACTACAAGGATGGTTCAAATATAAACGAGATTTTATATATAAAATTTTTACAAGAAAGATTTTGTTTACATTTGAACCATTCTATACAAGTTATATTTTCTATAAAATATCTCACTCTGTATAAAATACTATTCCAAAATTAAACTTTTTGTTATAATATAAAATAGAATGAGAAAGTATATTTTAAATGTAAAAAGATTAATATATATACAATATTATATGTACAGTTTCAATTATATAATAAAATCTTAATAGAGAGAGGTCTATAAATAAAATTTTTAATGCATATATTAAATTATTATATATGTGATAAACAACATAATCCTGTTTAGTTCCAAAATTTACAGAAATTATATCTACATAGAAAAAATATATTCTCTCTTCTATTTTATACTTATTATATTTATACATACTTTTTTTAAACAAAATATCAATTACTGATAGTCATATTTGCTTTTGCTGAATATTCAGCTATATAAAGTATGTATATAATAGGTCCTGCAAAACTTAACAGTAATGAAAACAAAAGAAGTTGCATCCAAGACAACCCCCAATTGTCTCCAGAACATTTATATATATCTGTTTCATAAGATTCTACTATTTCAGTACTTTCCATATCATTAAGTAATCGATCATGTTCTGTGTATGGAACTTCAGAAGAATTGGCATTATTATAGGATGATAAAGGTTCACATACCGAATTTAATATAATTGCATTAATTTCTGCTTTTGAAGATTCTGTAGTCGATATAATATCTATTAATTGTTCTTTTTTTGCAGGTAATTTTTCTTGGCTTTGTGTAGATGTAACGATATTTTCATCTTGGTTTTCAGTTAAAATAGAAAATGGTTGTACAGGAACCTTAATATAAGGTTTTGCATATATCTCATTCTCTTTGTCAATTTTATTAATTCGTTTCAATTCAGATATCTAAAATTATGCAACAATATATAAAAATTAGAACAAATTTGTAAATATTTTTGTTATATTTTTATGGACCAAATTTTTTTACATACTGTACATCTATATCGGAGAGCCAGTGCCTGCAAAGTATCTTCAGGTTTTATCTGTATATTGATCACTTTAATTTTACGGTGTGATGATACGGATTTAATAATTTGTAAAGAAATATTCTCCTCATCTGTGCTACTTTCGTCATCTGAATGTAAAAATACATAATGTGGAGAACTTTCCCTTCCACGCTGATAGATCAGCTGTCTGAAAATTTATTTTATTAGAAATAAACTTTTCATGATATATATTACACTTAATTTAATAAAATATATAACATTAAAAAATTGGTACTCTTAAAGATTACAGACTATTAATTATATCTCTCTACCAATTACTATACTATATATATTACAAAAATTAATTATTGTACATACGATATTTATTTTTAATATTGATTAAATTTGCAGGAAACCTTAAAAATTACCTAGCATTTTTCTGTTCGTCGAACATTGAATTTATCAATTTTTGTGGCATAATTTGACGATGCTTAACATAATTTCACTCTTTCGATGTGAATGCTTATCTACGTATCGCATTTGCATACAAATTTTTAAAAAATATGTTAGGGCAATTAGCATTATGAGAGATAGACGCGCGGATGTTCATTGAACTCAACCAACTTAACCAACATGAGGACCATACATGCATACATATCCTGTCACAGAATTCTGTGAGTCCTGTGTCCTATACTAATCAAATATTTAATGCGTATTCACAAATGTGTGTTGTGTAGAATGAGTATGTTCTATTTCACGTTATAAATATTTTGAATTGTTTGATTGAGGGATTCATTCAACAATGACGAAAGAAGCAAAAATTCTTTGCTTTGATTGGTTGATCAAAAGCTTCATAATTTCTGGAGCGTCAAATGAGGCGCACTTTTATGGCTTGTACACAGAACGCATCACATATCAAGCGTGCTATAAAGCGATGTTAGCCAATCGATTTATAGCTTGTCCCTAAGAGCGAAAGCTTGATTGGCTATTAAGGTGCAATTTCATTGACGCTAGAAACCAGCGGCAAATTAAAATCACTAGACTTTCTCTAGATTTGGCGTCAATAAAATAAAGTTCAAACAGTTTCAACTTTTTCAGTGTGTAAAGCGGCCTTTTCATTGACGCTACTTTTTAGCGTCAATGAAATTGCACCTTAAGTTCATATTTTTATGTTTATAGAGGACGCATCGTCCTTTCAGGGATAACCTAAAGCCGGATACTTTGTTAATCTAGTGACTTTAAGATCGCCTAAAAGCAGACTATGACAAAAAAAGAGTGAAAACTATGAACAACTTTGTTGTTTGTTTTATAGATTTTAAAAATGGCTTGTCGTATGCTACATATTTAGAGTTGTAAATAATTTGATAAAAAATGTTCAATCTATAAACAATGGTAACGCAAATGAAATATATCATTGTCTCTAAGTCATTATATGTAATTAACATATAATGTGTATTTAAAATTAATTTATCAATTTAACTCCAATAAAATTATGAAATTTTTTTCAGGTATATTATTGTTTAATATTGTTTAATTTATTGCTTGTCAGTCATTCACATTTATTAAAAATAGTCACTTTATTAAATAATGTGAGAAACTATATTTTTTGCGAATAGTAAGTAGAACTTTTATGGATATAGCATTTTGATAATAGTTTATATTTATATTACAGTAGAAAATAATTTGTATTTCACTGTGCTTTTGTTCTATAGGACCTGAAGATGAATTATGAAAGGGTGTGACAAGTATCAATAATGCAGGAAGACACAGAGATAGAGCAAGAAGAGTAGTGATAAGAGAAAGCTCCTAAATAAGGAGCAAATTATTGGCATGGGAAAAATTCCGATACAATTTCTTGGTCTAAACAGTCCTGTGTTTAGAGGAAAAGAATTAATTCAACAGCAAAAACTGCTTGTAAATCTTGAAAGAAAGCAAAAACTTATGGAATTATCACAAAGTCAGATCAGGTCGATGCAAATAAAATTATCGCCATTAGAATGTGGTTGGACGAGTGTTACAATATATAATATATGTATATTATTAACAATAATTTTTTGTTTACTTAAACTGTATAAGATTGTACATAAGAAACAATCTTTTTTATTTAATATTTCAAGCATATTTTCATAGAACTTTAATTTAATTATTATATTATTAAAAATATTGAACAAAATAAAGAATTAAAGCTGGCTTTCTCTGCAGTCTCATGGCAGATTATATCAGAAATCATACTTTAATTATTGCAATATATCATGAAACAAATCAATCTCAAAATAATGGAAATATTTGCAGAAATATCAAATACGTAATGTAAATATTTTAATTTTTTTGTATGCGATCTATTTTTTATTCTATCGATGTTTTCATAGTGATGCACTTTGAGCATTTTGCTTCATATGTTTGCAATAAAAATATATTAAAGCAAATTATTTTGCAAATTTATTATTCTAATTTTTATTTAGAGACTAAGATTAAAAAAGACGTATGCATTTTTTTCAGATATTTCTATTGAAAAATACGCATCAGATAAAACTTTCCTGTACATTTTAAATGTGCCAAAAGATTTGCTCTTTATTCCACTTACTGCAATAATGTACACTAAAAATGACAGATCTATATTAAAACTAATAGATCTATATTTAGTAGTTGGAAAGAAAGAGAGGAGAAATGAAAAGTGGATCTAGAGAATTTAAAAGAATAAAAATCTAAAAATAATAATACATAAAAATTAATATTATGTATTTTTTTCATGAGGAATGTGGGGCGCACATTTATGCATTTATTTATTTAGATGAGATTTACTTTAGAGCACATTCAGTATTCAACTTTAATTTTATTTTCTCTTTCTTACGATATATAAGTATAACATAATTACCTGCAAATGCTGTCATTTTTGTGTGCTTACAGTGATACAGAAGCAACATTACAAGTATTATATTTACAGATAACATCTGTATAATAAAAAAAGCACCAAAAATCTAACAATGAAAAAAGGATAAATATTGTAGATCAGCATAAGTATCAACCAATTATTCCACCGCTCTGTTTCATTTGAGTTGCAATTTTCTTTTATATCATAAATATTATAAATAAGATAAAGATTTCTACGTTTCAAATAAATTTATATATTTTATGTATGTAATACTGCGCACACATATTAAAAGGTGATAATATCGCAGTTATAATAAGATACAATCCTGACAATGTAGTGATTTTTGGATCCTACTTAAAATAATTTAATTTGATTTATTTTTGAGAAATGCGCACAATACTTGAGAACAAATTATTTTTGTGCTATGTATTACCTGTGTAAAATTCCACACACAGTATCATATTGTCTGCGATATATGAAAAGCTTCATCGATGAAATATGATTGAGATATAAGAAAAGTAATATAATACTTGTAATGAATAACGTTAATGTGGAATACATAAATATTTTATATTTTAATTTCATATAATCAAGATGAGATAAGACACTCATGATTGCTTTAAAAATGTGTCCACAAATATCATGTAACTTCAATAGCTGCACATTCGTCAAATTAATCCTATTACGTTAAATGAATCACAGCAGCTTGTTTTAATTTAATCTAACCTAACCAATTATATTATATGCTTCTCATTAAAATGTGTAAAACTGTACGTCGCACATTTAATACGATTAATATACTACGTAATAAAATGTAATACACTAATGAAATAATTAAATATTATTTTTGAAAGCATGATAAAATTCAGGCAGCATACACTTGTGTTTACATTCGGCATCCAAAGCACTGAGAGGTTAGGTTAGGTTAGATCGAAAAAATTTATCGTTTAACAGTTGGCAGCCCTACGAGATAGGCTGTGCAGCACTGCGCGTATATAAAATAAATTTGAAATCGCTTCTAGCTAACCATCTTCACGCGATCGACTTTATTTGAATTGCACGGCATCGCATCGAATTATGATGCGGCGCTGATTTGTTCGAATGTAATTCGGGACATCGCGATGCTGTATAAGCGTCGAATGAGCACGAATTGTCACGCAAATATGATAAATCAAATCTACTCACCGGCTGTTCCACAGGCCGCTCCTCCTCGGGACAGTTCGCTCGCCTCGGGACGTCCCATTCCGATCTTGATGCACACAAACTCACACGATATCATCAACGCGAACGCGCGACACTTTATTCGGCACTTCCGATACTCGCTCGCATCCGATAATCATCATCAAGGGCGCGAATAACGCGACGCAACTTCGCTCCATCTTCGCGATGACGCCATCACTGAATATCGTCAAAAATCGCTGTCGCGCGTTTCCATCGACACACTATAAAAGTCGCGCGATCATCCTTGAACACTTTCGACGCTCGTTCACTCGCGATATTCGTTTAAAAACGGTTAAAAGACACGAAAAATGCGGACGTATGACGATCCGTGTAACTGCGTATGACTCCGAGTCACGTATGACGCGTATGACGTAGCAGTGACGTAGCAGTCACGCGCCAACATGGCGGCCGAACCAATGCGCATTCGTTTCTGCGCACTGGTTCGGCCGCCATGTTAGCGCGTGTTGTACGTCATACGCGTCATACGTGAATCGGAGTCATACGCAGTTACACGGATCGTCGTACATCCGCATTTTTCGCATCTTTTAACCGTTTTTAAACGAATATCGTGAGTGAACGAGCGTCGAAAGTGTCCAAGGATGATCGTGCGACTTTCATAATATGTCGGTGAAAGTGCGCGACAACTGTTTTTCACAGTTCAGTGATAGCGCGATCGCGAAGATGGGGCGAAGTCGCGTCGCATTATTTGCGCCCTTGATGATGATTATCGGATGCGAGCGAATATCGGGAGTGCCGAATAAAGTGTCGCGCGTTCGCGTTGATGATATCGTGTGAGTTTGTGTGCATCAAGATCGGAATGGGACGTCCCGAGGCGAGCGACCTATCCCGAGGAGGAGCGGCCTGTGGAACAGCCGGTGAGTAGATTTGATTTATCATATTTGCGTGACAATTCGTGCTCATTCGACGCTTATACAGCATCGCGATGTCCCGAATTACATTCGAACAAATCGGCGCCGCATCATAATTCGATGCGATGCCGTGCAATTCAAATAAAGTCGATCGCGTGAAGATGGTTAGCTAGAAGCGATTTCAAATTTATTTTATATACGCGCAGTGCTGCACAGCCTATCTCGTAGGGCTGCCAACTGTTAAACGATAAATTTTTTCGAACTAACCTAACCTAACCTCTCAGTGCTTTGGATGTCGAATCGTAAACATAAGCGTATGCTGCCTGGATTTTATGATGCTTTCAAAAATAATATTTAATTATTTCATTAGTGTATTACATTTTATTACGTAGTATATTAATCGTATTAAATGTGCGACGTACAGTTTTACACATTTTAATGAGAAGTATATAATATAATTGGTTAGGTTAGATTAAATTAAAACAAGCTGCTGTGATTCATTTAACGTAATAGGATTAATTTAGGACGAATGTGCAGCTATTGAAGTTACATGATATTTGTGGACACTAATAATCATGAGTGTCTTATCTCATCTTGATTATATGAAATTAAAAAAATATAAAATATTTATGTATTCCACATTAACGTTATTCATTACAAGTACTATATTACTTTTATTATATCTCAATCATAACTCATTGATGAAGTTTTTCATATATCACAGACAATATGATACTGTGTGTGGAATTTTACACAGGTAATACATGACACAAAAATAATTTGTTCTCAAGTATTGTGCGCATTTCTCAAAAATAAATCAAATTAAATTATTTTAAGTAGGATCCAAAAATCACTATATTGTCAAGATTGTATCTTATTATAACTGCGATATTATCACCTTTTAATATGTGTGCGCAGTATTACATAAAATATATAAATTTACTTGAAACGTACAGAAATCTTTATCTTATTTATAATATTTATGATATAAAAGAAAATTGCAACTCTAATGAAACAGAGCGGTGGAATAATTGGTTGATACTTATGCTGGTTTACAATATTTATCCTTTTTTCATCATTAGATTTTTGGTGTGCCCTATTTTTAATCATCTTTAGGGATGCTTTGGCTTTTGATAACGCAAATCCAGCCAATCCATTTCCATTCCCAGTTACTATAAATGAATTGATTCTAGTCTTACGTGCTAAATTACTAGTCATACAAGTTATCATTTTGTTTTCCAAAATCCAAGTTTCAAAACTTTCAATTGTATCTGCAGAAAACAAAGATATTAATATTATATAAGATATTAATATTATATATAATTCTAATATTTAGAACTGAAACATCAAAAAAAAAAAAATTGAAAATAGACATCGTATCACATGATTTTTGTATGTGTGTAATTTAACCATTATATAATCCAATAATAGCATAAATATTAACCTTTTCCAATAAGATTTGATTCAATGTTTCTGCCATCCATTGTAACACTCGTCCAACCACATTCCAATGGCGATAATTTTATTTGCATTGGTCTGGTCTGACTTTGTGGTAATTCCATAAGTTTTTGCTTTCTTTCAAGATTTACAAGCAGTTTCAGCTATTGAATATTCTTTTCCTCTAAACACAGAAGTGTTCAGACCAGGAAATTGTATTGGAATTTTTCCCATGCCAATAATTTGCTCCTTATTTAGTCTCTCTTTTCACTACTCTTCTTGCTCTACCTCTGCATCTTCCTGCATTACTGTTACTTGTCACATCCTTTCATAATTCATCTTCAGGTCCTATAGAACAAAAGCACAGTGAAATACAAACTATTTTCTACTGTAAATATAAACTATTATCAAAATGCTATATCCATGAAAGTTCTACTTACTATTCGCAAAGAACATAGAGTTTCTCACATTATTTAATAAAGTGACTATTTTTAATAAATGTGAATGACTGACAAGCAATAAATTAAACAATATTAAACAATAATATACCTGAAAAAAATTTCATAATTTTATTGGAGTTAAATTGATAAATTAATTTTAAATACACATTATATGTTAATTACATACAATGATTTAGAGACAATAATATATTTCATTTGCGTTACCATTGTTTATAGATTGAACATTTTTTATCAAATTATTTACAACTCTAAATATGTAGCATACGACAAGCCATTTTTAAAATCTATAAAACAAACAACAAAGTTGTTCATAGTTTTCACTCTTTTTTGTCATAGTCTGCCTTTAGGCGATCTTAAAGTCACTAGATTAACAAAGTATCCGGCTTTAGGTTATCCCTGAAAGGACGATGCGTCCTCTATAAACATAAAAATATGAACTTAAGGTGCAATTTCATTGACGCTAAAAAGTAGCGTCAACAATTGGTTGAACAAAGAAGCAACTACTTACTTCTTTGTTCAACCAATGGTTGACGCTACTTTTTAGCGTCAATGAAATTGCACCTTTACATCCTTTTTTTTGACGCGTTGATACGTTCTATGTGCAGAGTTTCAACACGTTGAAATGTCCATGCTATCTTGAATGTTTGTTTTTCATGAACAAGAGTACCGGCCAATAGCCGGTGCTGGCCGTTACGTCGTTGCTGCATAGGATTTTGCCGCGCAAATATACACAATCGCATTAATCGTGACAGCTGCGAATAAGTATCTGAGAGGTAATTATACACATATATATTGCTTATAATTATATTTTGCAAAGATATCATGTACGATCTATATGGAGAGATTAATTTGGCTTTATCTTCATTAATTGTTACGCATGTATAGGTGTTGGTATAGATGTTCATATTAGCTGCGCATTTTGTACGTACTTGTAATTTTCTTTTTATTTCTTTCTCTCTCTCTCTCTTTGTATGTATACGAGAGAAATCTGAGAATGGCCATGGCAGCTTTTTGCTTGTTATCGTTTCATGAGATTGCTTGATACGCCTCTCGCACCCATTTCAAAGTTGGAACTATTTCGCACATCCATTTTCTAGTACTGTCGATAATGTCTATATGGAATGAAGCTGCTGTGTTTTTCAATACGAAAATTAATGCTTCGGTTGAAACTAAACCAGGTTTCTCTCTGCTATATATATGTCTGTTTTAAATTCTATATATTGTTTGATACATATGTGAAAAAAATTACCATGTGTATCGACAAAACATGCCCTCGAAATTTTCATCGAAATGTCTTACACATTATTGCGAAATATTTTGATATTTTTATTTATTCTTATACAATCTTTTTCAACCCTACAAATTTGTAATATTAGATATGATAGAGATGTAATAAATTAAATATATGTATATATACAACATTAAAACTTTATAATCTCAATTTATTATATTTAGCATTATATATTGGATATCTTAATTTGTTTTTAGACAGTTATATATTTTTGTTTATTTCAAGATGACAATTTTATCCTATGTGAATGTGAAATGATGCTATGTCACTTTTAGCATTTTAGATGATTATTAAATCGCTTATTTTGTGTATATATTGTGTTTATATAAGTGTGTGTGTGTGTTGTGTGTGTATTCATGCATAAATATCCCAGAATGTATCTTATAAAATCTGGTTAAATTATTTTTATTTTGCTTTGTGCTTTCTTTTATTTGTATTATTGTTTTTTATATTTATTTTCTTATTATATCTAACAATAAATATAAATTTGTTTTAGATTAAAAAATGACAGATTCTGATCATGAAGAAGCAGATATGGATAAATTAGAGTTATCTTCAGATTCTACAGATATAATAACAAAAAAGAGATTACGAGAGGAAGATTCTGAAGATGAAACAAAAAATTTATGTACTAAAAAACAACGAAATTTCTCTGGTGAACAGTCAGAAATATTAAAAATAGAAAACCCCAAGATTAATTCAGATAAAAATAATACTGATGAATATAATATAAAAGAGGAAAAGCATACAATAGTTTCAAAAAGCGAACAAAATGTACATGAGAAATTTCTATCTGAATCAAACATGAAGGAGGATAAAGAAAAACAAGATAATAAATTAATCAAAGAGGAAAATGGGAATGACAGTCCTTTTGATAAAGATAATTCCATGGATGAAATTATACATGATTTCATGAATGAAACTGTAGAAGACAAAATCAAGGTAATAACTGGCATCAATTGAAATAATTTTGTTATTTTATTCATATATCTATAGAATTTTTTACATATAATTCTTTTTATCTATAGAATGTTATTTTTATTATATTTATATTTATTTTTGATTATACTTTTTCTTCCACTTTTTGAAATTGTATTAAATGGTTAATGTTTTAACATTGAAATAAAATTAAAAATGATATATATATATATATATATATATATATATATATATATATATATATATTAAACAGCTTTAATGGTAAAGATTGATAATTTTGTTTATATTTATTATTGATCTTTCATTTTTTAATACTAAAAAAAAAAGAATAATCTACACAAAAAATCTGCTATAGAAATGTGATATCTATTTCTAACGACCAGGAAGAAGAAAAAGAAAGTAATAAAGAAATTAATGAAGCAGATGAAGCAAAAGAAGAAAGTAAGAAAGATGAGATAAAAAGAAAACGTATTGCGAAAAATCGAATTGTAGATACAGAAGTAGTAGATGGATTGGAGCTTTCAGTAGAATGCGCGAGTGATAAAGAAGAACCAAGTTCCGAGAGTGAAGATGAAAAAGAAATAAAGCCACGCCCGAAGACGATAATTGTTAAAGCTGAACCAAATGAATCAGAATTGGAATGTAGTATGTCAGAGACAGAAAAGTCTGATTCGCAAGAAATCAGTAACACATTGGAGATTAAATCAGAGAAAAAGGTAAAGAAAAGAGGACCCCGAACAAGTTTCAGTAAATTGAAGACTTCTGAGTCTGAGGAGAGTCAGAATAATAATTCGGATGAAGATTATAGTCCACGAACTAAAAAGATGAAAAAATCTCCATTAACTAAGAAAACAAAACGCTCTGTGGAATCAAAGAGAGGACGAAGTGTAAAGAAATATTCTTACAAGAAGAATATTGAACATATATCTGATGATGATAGTGTGACTTCAACAGAGAAAATTAATAAAGCAAAAAAAACTAAGAATGGAACAGAAGAAGACTTGTCAGAAAAAGATTCTTCGGCAAGTGAAAATAATAATAATTCTGAAGATGAGAAAAAATTGAAGAATAAACGGACGAGACGTAGTAGTGCTGTAAATAACAATTTTTTATAAATAAATTAATTTGCATTATGTTATAAATATATGTATGTATATCATGTGACATCAAACTATTTTAGGAACCAGATAACAATAGCCAAATACAAAAATTGAAAAAATATATAAAGGTTGCTGGTATAAAAGTAAAATCTTATTATGAGCTTTGGGCTGATTGTAAGAATAATTCTGCAAGAATTAAGCGCCTAAAGGAATTATTGGAAAAAAATGGTATTAATGGGAGGCCAACATTGGAAAAATGTAAACGAGCAAAAAAAAAGAAAGAGAAAATGCAAGAAGTGTCCGAATTAGATATATCCAACATTATATCTGAAGGTTAATATCAAAGTTTTATATGAGAATTTATTTTATAATATCACAGCTACATTATAGAGATGTTAAATTTATGTTCCTAGGGCGTGTTACGCGCGCAAGAAGAAATATGAACAACAAATCAACACCTCCAGATACACCGCAACGATATCGAGAAACTCGCAAACGTATTCAAAGCATCATTGATAGTGATTCAGAGTAAAGCATAAAGGAGGCTGAGAAGAGACTCATGATAACCGAAATAAATGTAAATACATAAACATGTGCATAATTACGTACCAGCATATTGTGTACGTATATATAAAACGTTTTTTTTTTCATACAACACAGAAAGATTGTGGCAATATTGCAATGTTGCTGCAATGTTACAACAATATTAATAATATTGCTGCAATATTCTATGCTGTAGGGGTTAATAGTCATATATTTTCGTACATCTCATAGTTATTATTTTTTATAATCTCTCTTTTTCTATTTCTCTTTTTCAATGAATTAATTATACATAATATTAATTGGAAAATGAAAAAAATTCATTTTTATTTTATCGACTCGTCATTTCTATTTGTAATTAAAGTAAATTATTAATCATTAAATATAATTTATATAAAGTTCTAGAATATACATTTGGTATAAAAATAAAAAAATTTAGTGTGCAGGAATGTAAAAAAAGAACTATAAATGAAACAAAAAAATTAATAGCGTCGAATTGATAAATATATTTTGCTTAAATGAATAGATTCATAGTATATTTTAAAATACTAAAAGCAAATCTATAAGTGCATTGAATATATATAAATAATCAATATGTGACATAATTTTTTTATCAAGCTTATATATACAGTTTAAGTTAATGTTAAACAATAATTATTGAAGTTTCTCTAATATAGAATCAATATTTAAAATATTTCAGATATCACAATCCTATATTTCTATTTTTCTATCTTCAAAGATATAATTATATAAATCTAATAAAAAACAATCTGCTATATAATTTAGCAAAATACTATTTTATAAGATACTCTTATATATAGGGTTGAAGTGTCATTTTATCACATAAATTAACATATTTTTTTACATACAAATTAAAATAACAATTTACTAAAATTTATTTGATAATAGATTATTGTAATATTTAGATAAACAATGAAAATTTTTGGCAATCTGTTACAACAGTTTTTTATATGTAGCAATCATTTCAATAATCTGCTATAATGATTTTTCACATATAATGACTATATGATGAAAGTAATTATAAAATGCAAAAGATTAAAATATTGTAAAAATATTCTCAAAATTAAAATAAATTTATAAAAAAATTATAACAGATTTACAACAAAACTGTAAAATTGAATAAATCAAAGCCTTTATTGTTTTATTTTGTGTCACATGTGTAATATTATAAATATACATACATCATCTACATACATACATACATACATACATACACACACACACATATATATATATATATATATATATATATATATGTATGTATGTATGTATGTATGTATGTATGTATATATGTATATGTACATGTACAGAGAGTATATCATATAGAGTACAATATTAATATGTACATCATAAATGTTCATTATAATATGTGTATATTTGAATTATTTCTTACATATTTTTTTCATTAATCAGAATTTCTATTCAGAATTCCTAGTTAGAATTCTAATGATTATTAGAATTTAAATAATGGTGTAGTACATTGAAAAAGGATCGATAAACATATTTTTCCAATCAATTGTGAAAGTAGATCCGTGCGATCTAGTATCTTGTTCCATTGTATTTTTTTTGTATAAGTTTGATACAGCATCTACTTTAATTTTTATATATAATTAAAGAAAAATTTATAATTATAAAACCGGTAAAATAAGAAAACGAGGAGACATATAGAAATAGAAAATCAGAAATTATTATTATATATCATTGATATGGTTTTTGTAGACACGTGTGATAAACTTATTCTATTGGAATTCAATAATTTTCTTGTTCTTATTCTTTTTAAAAGGACAACAAGAGTAAATCTAGTTAAGTTATAATATATTCACATGAGTACAGTTATGTCACTCTTAATCAAGTTTAATAACATCTGAAGTTCTAAAATTGATCAAGTATAGCTGTTTCTCTGAAAAATGGATTGACTACGATTGACCAGCCTTAAAATTATCAATATTATTAAACTTGATTAAGAATGACGTATATGACGTATTAATTCTCATTGATCCCTCTTAAAACAAACTTGCCTATGATTGGCACATAGATAAGGTTTCTCCATTATTATAAGTTCTATGAATAAATGATTAAGAATTTATTGCAAATTTCATATTAACATTTAACACATTGTATATTTTTTAGATTTTTAAAATAATTTTATACATGAATATATTTTATTCTGATGCTGAAAAAGTAACATATCAAAAATAGTAAATAGATCTTTTTATTTATATATACATGTCTTTTATCGATTGAGGAACTTTGCAATACATTCTTTACTGCAGAATAATTTATCTTCTTTTATTGCCATTCTACCGTTTAGTAAGTTCTTTTTACAACAATAGCAGGAAAAGCAGACTTCAGTTGCATGAAAATTCAAATTTTTTATAGCTACACCCTGTTGATCAGCAGCAATCACCATATTGCAGGCAGCACATGTTTTTGCATATGATTTTTGATAACAAGGAAGACATAATGGGCGATCATTTTCAGTAATATATTGTTGCCCAGCTAATGGCATATCACAATCCCAACAACAGAAATGTTTTACATGATAATTGTGTCCTTCTGCAACTGTATATTCTGGTACAAAAATTAACTGTAACAAATAAAAGTAAAAGAGAAAAAAGATTAATTAAATTTTCACTTTAATCATTTTAAACACAACGTTTTTATATATATTTTTAAAAATATAATATACTTTAAACTCCAAATTTTTTGTAAAATCTTTATAAAATGTTGAGACATTTTTTGTAAGCATGTCAGGACATCCATAGCTTTTGAATTAGTTAATAAGCAGTCAGAAATAAAAGAGCTTTTTTAATAGCAAACTTTAAAAGAACAAATAAATATATTATATTTTTCAATTAATTTTAATTAATTTCAGACTTTATGATAGAATCTTAATTAGAATTTTAACCTCATAAAAATATAAAATTATAAAAATATATATGACATTGAGGATTAAGAAATTAATCTCTTGATACATTTTTATTAAGTTGACACGAATATCTTCAAAAAATTTGTAATTAAAAAATATGCATTTATTAAAAAATATTGTGTATTACACACACTTACCTCATCACATGCAAAACATCGGACAATTCCCAAGAATGCAGCCAAATCTCTTCCACAATATAACTTATTGTTATAGTAAAAGTATACCAGGTCTACCAATAATTCGTTGCACATCGAGCAAACAAAACAACCAGGATGCCAGAATGCATTGTTAGCTTTCTCTGCAGTTACAATCACATCACCGATACGTATATCTTCATGGCACTTTTCACACTTATGTACTTTTGTTGAATCAATTTTTAAATCCTCTACATTATCTTTTAGATGATCTATATGCTGTGTGTTTGATTGTTCGTTGAAGTCTCCAACAATATGAGGAAATATTTGGTTTTGCAATTGTTCGGAATATATGACAGTTGGTTGCAAACTCAAGCTATTCAACTCGGCTTGTAACGGATTAGCATTAACAGGACATTGCGAACTAGTTTGCAATGTTGAATTCAGTATGGGAAGAGTAGGGTTCATAGGAGTGTATTCATTTAATAAGGGATCCATAGTGTTTTCTCTTATAGTTTTAGATTCTTCTATCACCGAAGAATTATTTTTCGCCGGTTTGTGATTTGTTTTAAGAGGTAAAGCAATCGATTCAATTATTTGAGATGAAGGTTTATATATCTTTCTCTCTGCTTCTAAAGGAGTGTTTACAATATTGCTAACTTCTGCCTTTTCCAACAAAGTTCCTGTAGGATTTTTCGTAGCAATTATAGCTGTTCTTTTTACATCTTTATTAATATTCTCAGGATTATTATTATTTTCCTTGGATCCGCCGCTATGTAATACATCATTCGTGTCTAATAATCGAGATGATTTAGGAACAGCATGCATCGCCGAATTTTCTATGGCATTATACTTATCGGCAAGCTTTTCTCTTATAAACATCAGGCTTTTCTCATCTAATGTACTTCCAATAATATCGCTAGCATGTATTGCACTGGGTGGAAGAAGAGCGTCCGCCAACATCGATTCCGCCAGAGAAACTGCTTCACTGTTAATAGTTTCCAAGTGTGCACTGCACGGCGCAATATTATTCAGAGTTTCTCTATATCCCTCTAAAGTACTTTTCAATGCATTCTCTCCGTAAGATATGTAATTTCCAGAAGTATGCATTTCACGAGCAGGTACGATTTCTTGTTCAGCAAGATGGGCGGGTATTGAAGAATTAATTATTTTACTGTCTACAGCTCTTTCGTTTGACATTGTATTATTTGCATGTTGAGAATGTTCATTAATGAATTTCCCTCCAGTTAGTTGCGATTTTGCAATATTGTTATTGGCAGATACATTAATTAGTGAACAGTTATATTCTTCAGGATTGGATATCTTATTGTCATTTATAGTATTTGGCTTATTTTGAACTTCATATGAATGTTTTGTATATGGGTTTTTCACGGCAAAGCTACTTGGTACACGTAATTGAACACCAGTAGAAGGAGGTACATAAGATTTATGCTGTGGACTGAGATGTTGCATATCAGTTGCATTGATAGGTGTCATAAGAGAACGATCGAACGGGCGAGCACCTAACATCTAAAAACATCATTTATATTATTATAAATCTTCCATAAAATTGTAATACATAGTATACACAAAAATATATATCTATACATATCTATACATATGTAGATATATATAAAATATATATCTATACATATATTCTATATATATGTACAATAGATAAAATATTACAAGATTTTTTTATGCTACATTTTTATACATAATTTAACTTTGAAAAGAAAAATTTACAAATAATTTACAAATAATACTCATTTCATAACATTTCTAGTTACTATTGTGCTTTAATTGATATATAAAATTTAAAAAACATTAAATTTTTTAAATTAAGAATAATAACAGACTTAACAGACCAACTCAATAACAGTATTTTTATATATAGAATAAAACTACGCGATAGCACTATCTAGGAATCAATCTATTAATATGTAGTATGATATAATAAAGTTAAAAATCATATAAATATTGAAAATTTTAAAAGAAAATGCATAATATCATTGTATGAATTAAAAATTTTGTGCATTATATCATAATGAAATATGCTAACAATAGATACTTAAATATTTGTTTTAAGTAAATAAAAAAAAAATTGTAACTCATATTAATAATAATAATATATTCACGTGACTTACTTTTATTACTTTGCCTTGCCCTACATACTCTTTTATATTCGATAAATATTTTTCAAATTGTTTCTGTTCTTCTTCACTAAGTTCATCACAAACATGGTGATCAATATCATGAAGTGGTAATTGTTTCTGTAATAATTGTTTCCGCAAAGCAGCACCGACAGATCCTTTAATTGGTAATTTTTCTACAGGTAAAGCTTTCATATAATCCACAGCAAGTTCTTTAGTTGTATCTGGCGGTATCCACTCAAATATAGTTTCAACTTCAATTTGTTTTTTGTTATTTACTTGTAAACCTAAAAATGAAATTTAGAAATAGCTAATTTTATATATATATATATATATATATATATATATATATATATAATTATTTCTTATCTTATTAAATCTTTTCTCATACATACATATATATATATAAGTGTGCGTGTGTAAGAAAAGAATGATCTATAAATATTACAACTACTTACGCATGAGCTTCTTTTCAAATTTTCTTCTTGATCCAAACAATAGATCAAATTGTAGAAATTCAGCATCATCGACATCGTGATCATCCCGGCCACATTTGCAATTTTTGCAAATTTTTCGCCAAAAATGCAAATCAAGACCAGGACATGCAGACTTACAATTCATGCATGATGCACCAGCACCAACTTCATGTGCTAAATGCGGCTAAGTAACAAAGACATAATAAACATTAATTAAATTTCAATCTTATAATTTTGTATACGTAATATATTTTTCTTTTCAAGTTCTTTGCAAGTCTCATGAAAAAATTACAACATACCTTCCGTTTACGATTTTCCAGTTTCCACAACCACTTTGGACGATTTGCCGTTTCTTCTTCCATTTTCCATAAATCTAAAACTTTCCACTTTAAAAGATTATTCGTACATGCGTCAACTCAAAAATGAGCTTATCTCGTGCACGTTCACTTGACAATACGAATGAATCATCCGAGAGAGGCAGTCAACTTAGAGCACCAATACTTGGAATTTCTCAAGCAGCTCCATTCTTCGCTACTCCATCGAGACACGTATGCACACATTCGCATATATACTTGTGTGAGAGATCATTCCACTTCCCTCTACAGCGCTATCCTGGTTCTGCTATGTGATAAGCAATGATTCACGTAGAAAGGGAACGCTTTTAAAGATGGAGCAAAGGTGGGGAGAAAGAGAGAAGGGATAAGCACCGTGGGCCTTGTAGAAACGAATCTTATGTTTGATTAAGTGCGCAAATTTTACAATTCGCAAACAGGAACGTGAATTTTCTCTGCGAGATTCTTATATCTCCTGCAAGTAAATATTTACATTTGTCAAACACGACTTTATATTTTATTATTAATGTAAAATATTCTACATGATATATCTATAAATATAATTCGTAGGAATTCAATGGAAAGGATCCATAAAGAAATATAATACTATGGACATTTACATTACCAATTTAGTATGTAATATATTTTGAAAATATATTGAGAAAATTTTTACAATAAAAAAATATCAAGAAAATGAAAATTTAAGAAGGGATGTTACGCACATATGTCTTATATATAACTAATATTTTTAGACTCCAAACGCCGCATCAAACTCTTCTTGCGAGATCTACAATTATATGTACAAACATTACATAAAATAATAAAAAATGCGAAAATTATAGAAGAAAAAAAATTAATTTTTATAAGTAAAAATGGATTAATACATTACCTTCTTTTTCTTGAATTTTTTAATTAACGCTATATCTTTCGCCAATTCTTCAAGATCTTCCTCTTTAATTTGTTTCCTCTTTTTTTTACTGGAACTTGAAACTTCCTGTTTTAATTTCTTCTTTTCCTTTCGTTTATTTCGTTTCTCTTGCCTTTCGAGTTTTTTTTTCTTGCTTTCTGACCAGGATTCAGTTTGTTTCCGTTTACGTTTATGATTCGTTGACCAAATGCCTGTGTTTTGATATTTAGTTAATTTTTCTATTCTATGCAATTCGCGTTGTTTGTTCGCATAAGGTATCGCGTTTATATCAATTTCAGGACTAACAAAAAACGACACATCCTTTCCTTTAAGCTCAGGCATTTTTGGCATTTTCAATAATCCAAAACCCATCGCCAACTTTCCCATATCAATATCTTTTAATCGAAGAATTAAACTGCATTCATGTTTACTATAAGATTGTATATATGAAACAAATGCGCGATTTGCTTTATCGAACATAAGTCGATCTTTTTGTTGGAGATGCCTCATACATTGCAAGCATTCTTCGATGATATTGACATTTGGTTTTGTTTTTATTTGTTGCAGTTCTACTTTTTGATTTCTTTTAACAAAATCTACATATGCATCTTCTGTCTCTAGAAGAAATAGTAATGCATTTCCTTCATTGCCAATTCTAGCAGTTCTACCACATCTATATGGAATATAAATTAATTTTACAAAATATATCTCTTTAAAAAAATATATTAATACTTATTACTACTTTCTATATAACATTGTTACCTGTGTACAAAACTACTGGCAGTAGATGGAGGATCATATTGTAATACCCAGTTTATTTCAGATATATCAATCCCACGAGCCATTACATCTGTACATATCAAAATACCATTTTCAGCTTGTCGAAATTCATCAAATATTTTATATCTCTTGCTTTTCATTTTACCATGTAGAGCTAGCACATTTATTGATGGTAACAACCTATAAATACATGTATGTATTACATGCACCATATATATATACATATATATATATATATATATATATATATATATATATATATATATGTATTTTATATTTAACCATTAAAATTTTTAATATAAAATTTTTAATATCAACAAATTAATCAAAAAAACATTATTTGACTGAAAAAGAGGATTATGCAAAAATATTACATTAGCAATTAAATGAAACATTTTGTATACAAATTTTAACAGCAAATAATACTTTAATATTTTTAATTAAAGTATGCCTTACACTTGTATAACTCGACTAAAGTAATCCACACATGCACAAGTAGATAAAAATATCATATATTTTGTTTTAAATCCTATTGAGCGTATAAAATCTATCATTATTGATAATTTGTGCTCAGGTTGAACAATTGTGTAACTATTGTTCAAATTTACAGGCGTTGAAATATTAGACTTCTCTTTGACAACTACCAATGCTGGATTTCTCAGACCTGCTCTAATTAATTGTTGTAATTCTTTCGTCTGTGTTGCAGAAAATAATCCTGTTCTCCTAAGACGTGGCAAATAACTTAAAATGCTGTCTAAAGTTGCAGAGAATCCTAAATCTAGCAATCTATCTGCTTCGTCTAAAACAAGAAATTCCTAAAAATAATAATAAATTTGATTAATAATTTAAAAATTCTGATTACATAGAAATTTTGTTGTAAGAAATATAATTTCATTACCAAAGATTTTATGCACAAATTCAAATTAATGGAACTACAATTGGATAAAATATCTTCTAATCTGCCAGGTGTAGCAACAATAATATTCACTCCTTTCTTCAAATTTTCTGCATCTTCTTTAAGTGTCACACCTCCAACTAATAATACTTGCTTCAATGATGGAAGTTTTTCTAAGAATTTTTCTAAAATTTCACTAATCTGTGTAGCCAGCTCTCTTGTAGGACTAATTATTATTGCTCCTACTTCTATAGTTTTCCATTTATCTGGTCGTTTCTATGTTTTAACATATAAAAATTTTTTAATGCTTTAATTCTTTATCAAAGATAAAGATAAATTTATTTTGGAAATAAATTTGTGTAATAAATGAAAAATTACTTGTAATATTTCCAATAGAGGAACAAGAAAAGCAAGTGTTTTTCCGCTACCTGTAACTGCTTCTGCTGCAACATCTTTACCACTCAATAATAATGGTATACAAGCTGCCTGCAATTAATATCATAAATATTATATTATTATTTTATACACCACCTTGTAACATTTAATATTTTAATATTTCTAATATATTACATACACAAATATATATTATGTGATTACCTGAACTGGTGTCATATCGAGAAATCTTAATTGTCTAAGTGTTTTTAATACAGGATCGCTTAATCGCACATCTAATTCTTCCCATTTTTCTGTTTTCATTATAAACCTTTATATTTCTATTTTGTATGTATCTCAATAAAATAACTTGATATATAAGTTTGTTCTTTTTAGCGGTAGCAGTTCTATTAATCTGTGGTGCTACGTGCTACCAGCATTTCGTGCACATAGCACGGAACGAAACCAGAAATTGTGCACATTATACCCTCTGAGAACATTCATGGACATTGGCTTTGTTCATGTCCACGTTTTCGATGTCCATAGAGGGAGTATCGCTTTCAGGGATCACCTAAAAGCAGGCCATGACATCTCTCAGTCTTCTCTCTGGTAGCGGTGTATTTAAATACAAACCAGTTTAATGTTTAATTATAACACATTAGTTACGAAAAAGAAAGCATGTAAAAGTCATGTAAATAACATTAATATAAAGAACATAGAAAAAAATAATAATTAATGTTATTTACACACACATACATTATATATATATATATATATATATATATATATATATATATATATAAGTAATTTAATTTAAAATACTAGCACAAATATAGTTTAACAAAAAATTTATTAAATATAAGTTTGTTATACGCTTCAAATATAAATTAAAAAATATTCAAGATATTTACATACATTAAACGAAAAAAATTATGGGATAAATTAAAGGGTAAGGAGAAAATAAAATATATACAAGAAGTTGGTTTTTAACGTATTGATTTTTTTTATTTTGATGTTTTTCTTCTTTTTAAATCTCTTCAATATAAAATCTGTTTAACGATGCCACACATTCTACTATCTCTCTCAAGCAAATGTTGTTTTTGCTTCCTTCTGTTTATATACACGATTAGGTCTAAGGCCGTAGTTGTTGAACATTCTTTTCCCAATCGGTATCGAGCATGGATTAAAAATTCATCTGGACAGAGCTTTCTACAAGGAAAAGCTGAGATTAGCAATAATCATTGAAAAAATGGAATACGTTGGCCCTTTTCAATTCAATAGTATCAAAAAATTTAAATAGATACTGTTTAGCATTATACATTCAAGTATGTCTTTTTAGCACATTGAGAAAAACCATCTTTTTTCTTGGTCCCTGCTCTTATTCTAATGATATGAAATAAAATAAAAATTGTTACAATCAAATGTTACAATTTAGTATAGATAAGAAAAAAGGACAAAACATTATGTATAGCTGTAATTTTTCTTATATGGTCATGTAACAAATGTGTGACAAGAGAGCAGTGCAAGAAAATTCCAGTTTAAAGAGAAATTACTCCAACATAGAAAAGAATTTATAAAATAAAAGGATTTAATTATATATGTGAATTGAATCGAAAAAGTCTGTTTCTCAATATCTCTTTCTCCTTACCGCTAATCTCACTCTTTATCCTGTAATTAATAGTGCTATATTCAGATATATTCTTAAATTCATACAACTTATCTATCTATTCAAGCATCTACTTTTTTGCTCATTGAATGAGAAGTACATAATTAACAAACGACTCATATACAAGTCAATTATATGCTTCATCTCTAATATCTCTTAAATAATATTATTTTTAACATTAAATTTAATTTTTAACAAAAAAATTATACATAGATATATATAATGTTTCACAACAAATGCTACATAATAATTTTGAAATTTAAAAAATGATATATGAACAATTGTTACACATTGTTTGATATTTGTTAGTGCTTAACAATTATTTCATATGACACTTAAAATAAATTGAGGCTCTATATTAATAATATATATATGTGAATTTTGATATATATAATTCATATTTATAATAAAATCAGTAATATCTAATTTTTTTTAGTTTAATAATTTTACTTAGTTTATATTTTTATCTGAATAAATATTTTAAATTTTAAATTATATTATTTCGTGCTTTTTATTATGCAGTTATTGATCAGTTTTTGATAAAATATGAAAATACAAAGATTATATTAAACTACTGGCGTAAAGTATAATAATAGTGTGTTGAAATTAATTATTGAAGTTTTGATAATAAACTTGATTGAAGCTTATATACGTCGATATGTAAATTATGTACCTCTCTAGTACCTGCTATTCGCACCCGCTAACGTTAGCGCGATTTGTCGGTGTGCAGATGTTGTATCTATTCGCATTTTCGGTGTAATCTTTCGCGTTTGAAAATCGTATATGTATCAACATCTTGTAACAAAACTCATCAACAAACCGCAGAATCGTATATTTCGCTAGTGTTTTACCCTGCAAGCCGTACGCCAGCTTCATTAATTATCACTCGCTTCGTTCAAATCAGATTTAAAGGAGAAGTCGTAACCGTTCTATCTTCTCTTTCGCGAGCTCTTCTTGCTCTTCTTTATGAATGGAATTAACATCCGGCCACATGGGCAGAAAAATATGCCATGTATTTTCATATACCTTATTCTCACAATTTCGATAATCATCTTGATTAAAAACAGAAAAAAGGAGAGAGGAGGAAGATAAATTCGCTCGCGCAATATATAATATTTTTCGCTTTTCGGTTGAAAATTTTACTTTAATTACTTTACAAAGTAGTGCAAGCTATATCTGTATGAAAGAAGATTAGAACTTCCAAATTCAAAATGCGCATATTAAGTGAGCGATCCCTCGTATTCTCTCCGATATATTAAAGCACTACTCAATAAAAATGCACGTTATCAAAGAAATCTTTGATAAACTCATCTTTTGTATCTGACACATTAATCTGATAAAAGTAAATTCGTGAAAATTTTACGAAATAATATAATTTTAAAACTTGATTAAAATAATCAACGTGATGAAATTTATAAAGAGTCCATAATACAGATATAGGTCATTATTCGACGATCGACCTACATTTAAAGGAGAAAAGTTACTTTCAAGATGGTTAATACTCTTTGATTGGTTAAAATTGTTTAAAACATTATTTAGGATAATATCGCTTTATATTGATTATCCTTCCTTTTTTTTACTACAAAATGCAAGATAATTTTATACTGCTCATCATTATAGAAATTTGATAGTAAATGTTTAATTTATACTCTTAACAAATAATGAATTGACCGGATAAATTGAAATGCATAAAAGCGAGCAGTTTTTCAAATAATCAATCAAAGCAAGCAATCATACCATCGTGAAAGTAATTCAATTTTGAAAGTCTTATTCTACCTTTTCAGAATACTAACACTCTTGTTTTTCTTCTCTTACTTCATGTTACCAGCTACTGATTGTGTGGTAAAATAACAGGTATAGTTTGCTGCGCACCTGGAGGTGGCTGCGGTGGTAGGTATTGCATGTGCTGTGGAGGAATTGGTATATGAGGTGGAATTATTGGACACATAATTGGATAACTCGGGGCATGACTTTGAGGCGGAGGTTGCGGATACGTAGGCTGTGGAGTACCGGGTGGATTATAAGCGCCCGGTGTGTGCGGTTGATTTGGATTGGCCGGAGATGGCGTTTGGCTAGGTGGTTGTTGAGTTACATGAGGGTGTGGATGTGTGTGCGGGCCCATATATTGTATACCAGGGGCCTGCGGTCCTTGCGAATCATGATGATGATGGTAAGGAGTAGCCATGTGTGGCGGTGGCGGCGGTGCCTGGACCATGCGTACCATTTGCTGGTATGCTGGTTGTCCTGGATAAGGCACCTGGAATGGTGGATGTATGGCTGGTGCTAATAATGGCTGTCCCGTTGCTGCGGCGACTTGCATCTGAGACGCTATATCTGGTGCACGATGTTGCATCATTGGCACTGTAAAAATCACAACAAGATACGTAATATTTTATAATTTGTAAAATCTTATTATATAATAATTTATTTTATTATAATATTTTATATAATATTACATATTTTATTTTTAGCATTAATATAATTATGCAGTAAAGATAAATAAATCCACAATCGATTTGAAATATTCAAGAAATGAATAACTTTGAATTGGAATTTAGATTGTTATATAGGCTTTCACAATAAATTTTCTGTAAAGAAATTTTTCAATTTGTATTAGCTAAAAATATATATACATACATATATTAACGTTTCATCCGAGTTTAGCAGCCATCATCATAAATAATTATGACTATTTGAATACAAACCCTTTCGGAACCTTGTCACTTGTTGAGCTGGTGGTTGACTAAATGCTGTTGGTGTTACATACGCGGGCATAACAACAGTTGCGGGCATAGTCACTCCTGTATATTGAGGAGTCTGAGGTGTATGCGGCCGACTAGGTGTTGGTGTACTAGGAGAGCGCTATAAATGATACAAGTATATATTTCATTATTTCTATTCAAGCTCGATTCATTAGCGATATACATTACTTACTGGTGTAAACGGTTTGGCATTTGGATTAAATTCTTTAGCGTTTGGATTTAATGTAGATTTCTTAAAAGCAGTAGTTATTTTATCAACTGCGGGTTCCGGTGGTGATTGTTGTACTGTTGGAGTATTAGTTTGCGGTTGTTGTTGTTGTTGTTGTTGTTGTTGTTGTTGCTGCTGCTGTTGTTGCTGCTGCTGTTGAGGCGGACTTGTAGATCTTACTGCTAGTGATGGACCAGGTGGTGGCTTACTGGTAATGACAGGTTCTTCTTGTACAATTTGATGTTGCTGGTGAGGACTGGTATGCTGCTGCGTCGGCGGCTGTTGTTGCGGTTGCTGTTGTGTACTTGTATGTTGATGAGACGTTTGATGATGTGGCTGATTCATTGGAGTAGCAGAATGCACATCTTGTTGATGTTGATGTTGTTGCTTTCGGGAAATTTGAGAAGTATCTGGCGAGTCTGCTAATTTGAAATCTGAAGCAAACTGTCTCAGATCCTGTTCATCTCTGCTACGTGAGACCTTGAAGTAAAACTTATAATCGTAAATGAGTTGTCTTTCTTTTAAAAGAAAAAATTATTTTAAAAGAGAGAATATATATGCACTGTACCTTTCGATGATCTGATTTGTGGATGACTATTTGTCCTTCCACAGAATTCTGCTGGGGCAATGATGTATGTTGCTGATGTGAAGACTGTTGCTGCTGATGAGAAGATGCAGCATTTGATTGAGGAAATGGCGCTGGTGGCGCTTTATCAGCTTGATAAACTTGTTGTCTACCGGGTCGTTCTCGTTTCTCCGTATTTATTTTATTCGAAGGTGCTTGTTGTTGTTGCTGTTGTGGAGGAAAACCTACTTGTGGCATTGAGGAAGTAACTTGAGATTGTGGTTGATTCTGTTGGATTACTGAATCAAAAACATACAATTCAATATCATACATTATCCTTGCGAAGTCTTGGTCTGAAAGGAATAATTTAGTTACAAAAAGTTTTAACTATAAAAAGTTATTACAGTGATTTTTAAACGTTTATTACATATAAAGAGTCTAGAGTGTCACTAATCATGTAAGTGTCATTACTATAGTCTTCTAAAAAATATTTACTGCATGCAAAAAATCAATACAATAACTGAAAATTTTTATTGTGTATGTAGTGTATTGTACTCTTTGTTAAATCACTATGTGCACACATTGGTAGTTCCTTATCCAGAATTTATGATTATAAAAATTTATGTAATGCAACAATGTTATGCATACCAATTCAATAGAAACGAACTTACAGTATTCTCATAATATCGCTTGTTGCAATAGCGCCTTTTCATTTAATTTCTTGCAAAGAGTTTTAAATAAAAAAATTGCAAGTAAATTAATTAATTACCTTGTTGCGATTGTGTCGTAGGTGGAGGCACGAATGGCGGCGGTGGATTATTATATGTGACAACCACTCCATTGGGTGGCATGCCCATATTTAAAGATACTGGATGTTGCACCGAAGCATGAGTAGGCTGTACTCCAACCGATATATTTGGTTGTGAAACATTTACATTGACTGTGGACGGAGATGGTTGGTTGTAGACATTCTTATTATTTGTGGTTCCTGGCGAAGACGGAGGTTCATTAGATCTCATTAGTTTGCTAGTGTTACCATTTTTTTTCTTTAATGGCGGTGGAATATATTTTCCTTCGGCGGGCCTTGTCTAAAGATGAATAATTGTTAAGTAAAATATTCAATAAATAAAAATAAACATTTAAAAATATTTCTAAAATTTACCACAGCTGCAAATCTCTCTTCTTCGTCGCCATTCTCCAATTCTAATCTAGCCTTATGATTTGGTTGAGATTCAATCTCATTTGCTATTTCAGCAGCCTTCTGTTCTTGTTCTTTATAATCTTTTGTATCTTTACGTTGAAGCTGTAAAGTATAACCAACTAACGAAGGCTCAAACGTTGTTTGAACTCCATACTCTTGTTCATTTTTACGAAACATTTCATTAACATCCCAGCCATTCTAAAAATCAAACAATTTTATATAATTTATTGTTTTATTGATCGTTTTGCAATAAATTTACGAACTCACAGAGGCACCATCTAATTCTAAATCAGTTCCATTCATAGCAGTTGGTGGATCCCAAGGCTCAAGCTCTTTCTCACCAACTAAACCATTAAACTTACTAATGGCTGTATCCGTTTGGAAGGTATCTCTTATAGCATATTCCAAATCAGCATCCTTGGCAGATATAGTGACAACATCATGTGATTTAAAAATTAATTTCTCTACTATGTTATCCGCACTAATCTTTTCCTCTACCCGATGAGCCATTTCTAATACTACGTCAAAATTACTTGAGAATGTTCTAAATATACCCTCATATATTGAGCCATTTTGCGTTTGAATCTGTGATTCAAACAAAAAAGTATTATTGTAATTTAACAACTTTTAATAATTGATATATACAAATGTGTTGTACATATATATATATATATATATATATATATATACATGTATATGTATACTTTCACACATACAAACACATGTTTGTAATACCTGTACTACATTCCCAACATGGCCAGTGATTGCATGCATAAAATGAGCATTGTTATAGACTCCTTCCGCTACAACGTTTCTCTCCTGCGGCACACGTGCCCGCGGAGATCTGGAAGAACGTGTCGATCAAAGAAAACGTTATTTTTATCGCCGATAAAATTCGCTACGTCATAAATATTATACCTGCTATTATGATCTTGACGAGGAGAGCCAAGAGATTGGCAGTACCTGTTATTGTTTGTACGATTCTTCCTCTTGCTGTTCATTTTGCCTGACGGTTCCTCACCAGTCGTTGGTGGATTTCTGCCGCCGGTTTGTTGGAGGCCCTCTCGTTTCTTAGTAGGGACCGGAATTTTGACTACTTTCCCGATGACCGCTCGACGTCGAAAAAATCCGTTTTCTCGCCCGTAGACGACAAATCGCAGCTGCCGTCTACTCGCTTACTCGCGACGCTTTCACGCGACGTCGTCTTCGATAACGCGTGATCTCGAGCGGATTCGCGGAAACGTCTGATGAGCGGGGACCGAGGAAGAAGCCGTGAGGATCGCAAGGACTCTCAACATTCACGACGGCTTTTAGGTTATACGCAAACGGATTCGAGTGCGAAGACGTAAACGCAAGGCGTGCAAAATGCAACGCGCAGTGGCGATCGGACTCGATCTCGCTGCGCGAACTTGGATCGCAGTTTGACAGCGCGGGACGCTGTCACACGCTTATCGCCGCTGAGATTGCTCGACGACGAGGGATAATCCCGCGCTGGAAAAACAACGGACGCGCACGTATATACGTACGTGACAGTGAACGAGCTGGCTTCTCGCGACCGATTATCACGATCGCAATCGTAGTCTCGACACTCTCGACTACTGTCGACGGCACTGTACGTGACGTAACACAACGACGACGGGTGCCTCTCGAGGGAACGTGAGAAGTTGCGTGTGGAGATCGGCCGTTCGCGAATCCGACACGGACTTGGACGCTCCGAGTAGAAACGGACGTTTGACGATTGACGATCCGCGCGAGAAACGCGTGCCAAGCACCGGCGGTGGTGTCCGCGAAAATACGCGTTTTTATCTCTCCTTGTTTTTTAATTAATCAACATGTGGTAGAGAACTATACGACAGGCTGGTTTGCAACCTCGCAACATATGTATCTATATGTCGCCTATGTTCAGTCGGATCGCGCTGACTCTTATTTAGGTTTAGGTTTAGATGTAGTCGCCACCTGGTGAACGTTTGCGCGAGTCGATCTCTGTCCTTAGAGATTCGACTATCGACGCTGCAACGAAAATAATATTCGGGTGTGCAGTCCACTTGGCGTTGCAAACGCTGTTTGATTGACCAATCGGAATAAAGAAATGTAGAGGCTATCTTGGGTTTGTTTTCGAAATTCATACTTTTAGATATTTGCAATTGTGGAAAATTGTTCGAATATGCTCGAAGATATTGTCGCTCTTGTCTACTTTAATTTTATTTAATGCTATTGTATAATACTTATATAATGTATAATAAACAAATTAATAAGAGGAATCTTATTATTGGATATTTATTGAAGAAACAGTTTCGCCAACCAACGGTTTTTTACGCGGGTAAAGGAGGATAAACGGAAATACGTCACATCGAAGTTTTATGATCGACTTTTAGAAGACAGATTTGATTATATTAGCTTTAAAGAGAAAAGCGTGATTATTTTTTTTAAATTTTCAGCTTACTAAGTGACACACGCAAATTTCCTTGTAAAAGAATAATCGAATATTTAAAAAAAGTCCGTATTTTATTCTTTCGAAGTGCTCTTTATGAATAAAGTATTACTTCCGGAAAAGACAAATTTGATCATCGCGTAAGTCAGGTTCATTGCTTTAAATTTAAGCAGTAAACATGTATGAAATATTAAATGGCAATTTTTACGTATATAATACATAATGCACAGAAAAATTTACTAATCACGTATATAATATAAAGAAAATATATAATAAAGAAATGTATATTACAAAAGACATATAACCTAATTATCATATTTTCTTCATATCAAATGCGTGATTAATTGAATTTATCTCAATTGATATGTATATGTGTATATGTGTATATGTTATGTGTATATCTTTAGCTTGAGAAATTCTTTAATAAAAGATTAATATACGTTAACATATAAATAATATATTGTTATGTGATAGATTTGCATTATTCACACATATACATATACACATGTACATATACATATACACATATGTATGTAATATAATATATTGAACAAAAAGAAAAGTTTCACATTTCTATTATTTTTTTTTGTAGAACAAAATCGAAGGAAGACAGAATAACTCTTTATCGCCTTTGTGCCCCGCATGTCGAAAACTGATCTTTCTAATCTTCATTCACATCTTGTTTTTATATGTCAAAAGCATATGAAAATAAAACGGTTAAGTGCAATTAATTTGAAGATTTCTAGAATTCTAAATTGCAAAGATAATTTCTAATAAGATGAAATTTTTGAAAACTTTCAGGTATGTACTCGTATTTTTAATCAATTTTAAATTGTAACAAATGCATTAGGACAAATTAATACTTATAATTAGTAATTAATAAAAAAAAAAATATATATATATACATATATAAAGTCAATATAGAAAAAATCAATGATTTAAGTATATAATTAAGTATAAAAAATAAAGATTTTCCATAATTTTGAAAATTTGTAATTAACTAATTTTGATTATTGTACTGTAATTATTTAATATAATTATATAATTAAATTGCAGTCAAATTCCTTTATTTAGAGCTTTCTTAAAAATAATCAGTAATCTTGATAAAATCTTAACAAATATTTAAATAAAATCTAGATAAATATGTAATGTGTGTATAATCTAAAAATATTATAAAATCTAAAAATATCACAAAATTGCTGCAACATATATATACTTTGCCAATAAACATCCAATAAAATTTATTGTTAAATATATTGGATAAAAAACTTTCATTAAGAGTTAAGCTTGGAGAAAATATTAGAATAAATTTGAAAATGAAATTAATAATAAAGATTAATAAAAAAGAGATAAATTAATTAAACATCAATGTATAATATTAATGTATATGAAAAGCAATATAACGAATGCATCAATAGAATAGTGTAAATTTAATTGACATCATTTAATAATTTATCGCTAGATGGCGATATATGTTCTACAAAATGGAATTATTTTGATTCATGTATGTGCGAATAAATAACATATAATTATTATTAAAATTTGACAATTTTTTATTGCAATAAGAACTTGTACATAAATTTAAATTCACACTCAAAACATACTTTATTAATAATGAATCTAAAATATAAAATTTATTAAAAAGTCTTTATACACATATATATGTAAGAATATTAGTAATACTTTATGGTAAGGAAACTAGAAATTAACAAGAAAAATAATGTAAATAAAAGATTAATATATTGTTTACAATTAATAATTAAAATAATATAATATCAATCTGATTAGTTGTGTTGATATAAATAATTATAACAATATGATTAATGTTCTATGATTTGTATTTTAAAAAATAATACAAAATTTTGTAACTTTTATTTTCATTATGAAGAAATTATTTTTTGGAATGATTTTTAGAGGGAGATCTACGATATCTTTCATTTTCATCCACATCGTAAATCGCATTAAGCTTGCGAATAATGTTCTTTGTTCTGTCATAAACAAAATTGTCCATTTGGCTCAAAACATTGACGAATTCAATAATCTTTTCAAATCCACGATTTATTCTTTCTGATCTTTCAACATCCGATGTAGCTCTTCGAAATTGAGATTCCTTTTTCGATGATCTTGCAAATAGTTTTTCGGCCTTATTTTCTGTTGAAATTGCAGTAGCACTTGCAATTAAGTTTGCAAATATCTGTTTAGCAAAGTTTTCATTAGAGAAATAATATACTATTATATATAATCTGAATAATTTTCAAATATAATTTTGTCAAATAATTTCCTCTATTATTTTAAAGGACTTATATATATTATATATATATATGGATGTGTACGTGTGTAAGTGTATGTATATGTTGTATGTATGTTTATATTTTTTCACTTTACTTAGTCTTACCGTGCATATAACAAAAATTAAAAATAATATATTTATTTTAATCACACATGCACTCATCTTTCTAATTTTCATATTTTTCAAATTTTCGTACTTTACAAAAACAAAATTTACGCACTTTTATTGATTCAATATTGAGTCTTCAACCAACAATGGAACGATTTGGCAATTCCCATCCTTTTATAAGAGCATATGTGTGCGCATATATTATCCAGCAATATTGCGTAGGAGGACAAAATATTTTCCATTTCATTAATATTTTGTATTTTAAAATTTAAATGTATATACTGCAAGATATTTAATTTTATTAGAATGATATCTTAATACAATGAATAATAAATTTATATATTAATTTTTGTAAAATGTTTTGTTAGTTGAAATTAATAGATATCTGATAATATACGGATTTAGGTCATATCGAATTGGGGAATTTTTCTTGTCGTAAGTAAATTTCGTCAACTTTTACGTTAGCAGTTTGAAATCAAAGCGGAATCCGCTGATTGTGTATAATCATCATATTGCCTTGTTGTCTCCTATTACTAAATTTAATGACATAATTAAACAATAATAATGGAGTGCATACGACAGAGACTTCTCATTTTAATTAATATTTACTTTTTATTCATAATATTGAAAATTTTATTATATATATATATATATATATATACATATATATATATATATAATATTTTTTTAATATTTCAGATTAATATTATAATTGTTAAATAATTAATTAAAATTAAATATTTGGAAATATTATTTATAATAAATAATAGAAATATTTTAACTAACGAGTTTTTAGTGGAAGATTATTTTTTTCATTAAAATATTTTCATTTATAACATTTTCATTATAAAAAATATCTTTATTTATAAAATATATATCTATTGTCTAAAAAAATTAATATTAATTATTATATATTAAGTATTATAATATTAACTATTAATATTAACTATTAATTAATTTATTCATAATATATATTTAAACTTTATTAATTTGTTAATTTTAGATCACATAAAATGATTTTTGAAGTATGATATTGACGCGATACATATTTTCAGTGATATTGTTTGAATGCGGAAACTTTATTTCTCAATACATCAATAAAATAATATATATAATTCCTGAGAATTTTCAAATATGTACATGTTCGTATAAAATTCAATAAACATCACGACACACCACGACGATTATTCAGGAAATGAATTTTTCTGATGGATCATTTTCATGTTATCGTTTCTTCGCGTTAATAAAGTTCGTGCAGTGAATTATGAGTCTTCACACAATACATGGCTATCAATTTTTATTTTATATTTATGCTATTTTATTGTTGTTAACGATTCATGCAGTAAGTATGTAAATTTAATATATATTGCAATATATTAGTAAATTTATTATTTGTAATGTAATTGTAATTTCCAACATAAATTTTCTTATGGTAATACACTATAATAATAATTTTATGTCTCTCTATTCTATTTATATATTATTTAATATGATATCTATTTATTATAACTTATTATATTTTTTCTCTATATTTTTCCCAGTCGTCATTTGCATCTACGAGTACCTACGCTATACCAATCAATTTGTCAGAAAGAAGCAACTTTAAACCTATAAGCTATATGACTTCAAAAATTATGAGTGCAGTCATCAAAACTATTTCATCCATTGATCAATGGCTCCCGCGTATCTCATGGACGAAACCAATCAAATCGAAGTTAACAGTACGACCAATCAACACTTATCATCGAGATGTTGACGATTTCTCTTCTAAAGAATAAGATTGTTAACGTTTTTTCTTAAACTAAATAATATAAAATTCAGTTGATTTGTTTGCTGTATGTTAATTAAATACGTAATTGGATAATTTTGATAAAAAATATATTATTAACCGATATTAATTTTAATATTATATTATTTATATAATATACATTTATGCAATACAATATGATTTATAAAATAAAAAATAAAAGCAAATAACTTTAACATGGTCAAATAACTTTAACATGGAAATTGTAAAAATTTACAAAATAAGACGGATTATATCATACAACTAAATAGTATTTCATATATTAGTAATGCATAATAACGATATAGGTTTTAAAAAAACAAATGAAAAGATAAATAATTTTAAATATTTTTATTCATAATCATTAGTTATTTATGATATGTGTGAAATTATGTTGGTTGAATGAAAATTCGATTTTTCCGCATATATTTATTTAAAATGTTAGCACACGAGTAATTCACACTGTATCATCTATTTTATTTTATGGATGCGGTGTTGTTGGCTGCAAATGATTGCTCAAGTTCTGAGAAGCCTGCACGGCGATGTCTATCGCTTGCTTAGTCAACTTGGAGATACCCTCTTGCACTTTTGCAGAGTTCTCGTTGATAGCCTTAGCAGTATTCTCAGACTCTGTTAAAATAGTTCGAACACCCTCTTGGAACTTGTTATTTAAATTATTAAGCTGCTCCGTAGTCTCGGCATCAATGTTTAGTTTGTCGGTAGCTTCAGACAATTTGGTCTTAAAATTCGTCCAGACACTTTCCAACTCCGGACTTTTGGTCTTTACCTAAAAACGATTCGTCATACGTGTAGCAAGACAAATCTCACAATCAGATTATAAAGGCCAAAGTTTAAAAAGTGATTAATAATATTAAAAAATTTTTGAAAATTTTAGCAAAATAAACGTTGATAAAGATAAGCAAATATAAACAAATAATGCAAAAATGCAAATTTAATTTTATATAATAATTCATTTTATATAATAATTCATTTAGAGTGTGTGTGTGTTTCTAGCAAAATTCTAATACAAACAAAATATGCGAAAGAAACTCGAGATAATAATATGTTAAACTTCCTGTTTTCGTTACTTTTGTTGTCTAACTTGATTCGTCGACCTTCAATCACGATATCATTTAAGCAATTTTAAATATGCATAATCGACTGTAGCGAAATGTGTACGTCAATTTTTTTATCAAGTATAAACTGTACGTGACTTTAGATATTTTTTTAACAGCATTAATATAACGAATAATATTGTTATATAATTTTCAATTGATATAATTGTCTAAAGAGAAGAAAAGAAAAAATGATGTTGCATATTTAAGATTTGCACCAGTTTATGCAAGTAAAAAAATAATAGGAAAACATAATAAGAAGAAGAAGAAGAATAAGAAACAAGTTAATAATTAATCATTTACTTGTTTTTGTTTACAATTCATTATAATAATATCATGATTTTTTAATAGTCTAACGCATCGAAAAACATTTTGACATGAATATACTGTGAATATAGATACATAAATTTTACATTGTACAATTACTTTTTTGTTACAAAATTATATGTATTTTATTGATTATCTATTTTAATACGTCCGTTTATGTTAATTATTTTTTATGGATTGATTAGAATCAGATATTTTCTCTGTTAATTTTCTCATATATAATCTTCTACGCGCAGAATTAGACAATACGTTGACTTTTTTTGTTTTTAATTTTGAAAAATGTGTCTCTAGGTAGACGAACTTGCGTGTGAATGCTGCAAACAAATAAGTTAATTCTTTATGTATATTGCAAATGCGTAAATAAAGAACAAGCGTAATATATATCTATCAAACGAATAATTTTAATCAAGTCGATATATCTCACAAAATCGCTTTAAGTGTTTAAAACCTTTACAATCACGATATTACGATATCACAATGTTACATATTCAACATGAGAAGCATGTAAAATATATTTATATGACATTTTTTAAACATTTATTGCTCACCTCTTCGGTCGCGTTCTTGATGTATTCATTGATATTATTAACTAAACCAGTACTATACTCTTTAAGTGTCTTAAGAAATTCGTCCTGGTTAGGTAGATGCTGCTCAATTTGATTGCCCAAATTACTGAAGATATCTTGAACTGTCTGGAACGGATTATTTGTGGACGCTTCTTGAGTATTGGTGTGCTGATTTTCGACATCGCTAGCTGGTAAAACCTTGCCCTCAGCTGCGACCAGAACGGCGGCTAGGATAAATGGGACTAAGTACTTCATCTCGCGTTGATGTTTTCTTCTTGATCAGAAAACGACTAATGTATAGAATGGACGTCGTATTCCCTTTTATAGACGTTTCTTATCGAAGAGGGCAAAGTGCTTAGTATCTCATTTTGACGACAACGACCTGCATTTTTCTTTACATTCCCAAGTACATTTTTGTAAAAGGACATTTTCTGTCTAAATTTACGTTTGCTTTAAGATATCCGACATTGTTCGAACAAAAAGATGAGGGTCAATCTGAATAATGCGTTGATTTTTTTTGTTTAACAACAAATTTTTATTAATGCTATTATTTGAAAGACTTTTTAATAATTTAATATTATATAATAAGCAATATTACAAATATTTTTATAGAACTTAGAAAAATCTAAAAAAATACCTATAAAATATCAAAACTTAGTGCTAGAATAGAATAATAATTAAAAAATATCTGATATATGTGTGTATATATATATATATATATATATATATATATATATATATATATAGTTATGCTTGTCTGTATCGTAAATATTCGTTATATTTTGATATTTTTAGTTTATCATTTTAATATTTAATAATTTTGTAATAATTAATATTTAATATTTAATAAGTCATGACATAGTATTTAAATTTTTGTTAGTTTCCATATTAAAAATAATAGATTAATTTCAATAGGCGATTATATGTTTACAAATAAAAGTGTTAAATCCTTCTTATATTTTAATATATGAAACGATTACGTATAAATGAATCAAGAAATATAGAAAGTAAAGAATAATACCAGAATTGATACAGTGAGACATTATTGACAATATAACTTAAAGATGTGAGTCTCACTTACTAACGGAAATCTCAGGTCAGGTATTCGGTCAACTTTTAAATGTTTCTTCTAATCTGGAGTCGTTTCTGTGAGTTTACGCGATAAAGAATACTTTATCAATGGAATGCTTACACAAGAATTTACACAATTTAAAGCTAAAAGAAAGCCTTGTGTATAGAAAAAACTGTCTTGAAAAAATTCTTTATTTGAGAAAAATATTTCATTTTTCTAATGCGAGATTATATTTACAATCAACGTTCTCTTTACGCTTTTTATATTTTTTATTTTAATATCTTTAAGCTTGCTAATTAAAACGAACTTTTTGCAATAAACAAAGGTTTTTTAATTTTAATTGTGTAATTTTGGTTATCTATTTTTTTGTTACGATAAGCAGATATTTTTTAAACATAGTTATTTAAATAGAATTTATAGTACCTAAATGTACCTAACAAGCAATTTGAAACAAATCGATGACTGAAATGATGCTGTGGATAAGTCAAGGTTCAAGGAGAAATCAAAATCATTATCAGTTTTAATTGGTATTCATTTCTCCGTGAGACATTATATCAGTCAGATAAAGATGTTCTAGCAAATGCACATGTATATATGTATATATATGTGTATATGTATACATATAATATACATACATATGTATGTAATATACATATGTATATATATAATATACATACATATGTATGTAATATACATATGTATACATATAATATACGTATACACGTATGTATATATGATATAAACATATGAATTGCTGATTTCGCAATGACGACTCACACTTTTTGAATGCACAGGGCAGAGATTGTACATTTTTCTCAAACGTTGTTTATCCGATATTTTATATTTAATTTTTCCTATGTGTGTATATATATATATATATTTAAATATTAGATTTTATAATAATTGCATTTATACTGTAAATTACTTATTTAAAAAATTACTTACCTAAAAATTAATTGAAAAGAAATATCAATTCTATTTAATATAACATCGAATTCTTCAAATCATAAACAGATATATAAATTTTATTTTAGTTTCCTTTTATCATTAGTATCAAAAAGATAACTGATTTCCTCGTAAGAAGTATTTACAAAATTGTGCTAATATATTCGATGAAAAATATAATATTCATAAATATATTTAAATAAGATATATTATATGAAAAATATATCTGAGGAAAAATATATGCAAAAATAAGCACTTTTTCATTTCTTAATTTATTGCAAAAATATTTACTTTATTCACGATTCATGTAATATGTGAACACACTTGCATATTCTTAGTAAAACAGTGCTTGTGTAACCTTTTAGTGATAGCAAGTTCTTTACATAATTATGTCGATTATTGAAAGCTTCGATTTGACTTAATTGACATGATTTTCATGAAATAATCACTAAATATTACTGCAATTAATACTTTTTTCGTGTTTCTTTTCTCTTATGCAAATATTTAATAGCGATGTGCGACTCGTAAGTTAATTTAAAACTGCTTACAGTTTTTAATATTATATTATCTAATATAATATGGAGTGAGTGTAAAATAATTTTATTTATAACGTTTTATAACATATATATAATATTTTTATTATTTTATTAAACTTCTTGCAATACACGTCGAGGTCAAAATCAATTTCATTACAATATTAATGCATACATGTTTCTCATTTTCAATAAATGCTAATTTTAACAAACATTACATAATTTTATGAATGAGGATGTCGTTAAAAAGAACGCTATGTAAAAGATTTAATAATCAATATATTTGAAAATTTAAAACCTGACCGACATGTGTGTATATGTGATATATATTTATTTATTAGTCTTAATTTTGGCTTGGTAAAATATCTAACTATAAGAAATTATCCGAACAATATTTGAAAAAGTGTATACCGTTTTCTGAATACATTAATTTTGAATTTCGATTGAATATGATTTAACTTATATTTCCTATACTAATTAATTATCTGTTAAATCGTTGAATGTCCTTGGCAGAGTATCCTTCTGTTATATTTTTCAATATTTCATCAATCTCTTTTGATTTTTGATAGAACGTCTTTACTCAGATCGTTCAAACGGTTGAACGGTAACTTTTCGATAAACGGCTTTTTCGATATGTTATCAAAGATCTCTCCTATTTGGCTGTCCTCAATTCCTTTCTTTGTTTTAGATTTTATCTCATTAAAACGTTCTATTGCTCCTTTTAATATGTCAATTCTGCCGTTTTCGTTCTCCGTGATTTTAAATACGATATCTTTTAAAAAATCGTGTATTGTCTTCAAAAACATTGGACTTAAATTTGTGATTATCTGTTTAGCACCTTTGATATTATTTAGCTTCAACTGTATAATATTTAAAAACATATCTTTTATGTTCTGCAAATTCTTCAAATTCTTAAAAACGTCGTAAATTACTTCTATCTTTTTATCGACATCGATCTTCAAGATACCTTCAACTATTTCTTTCTTTACTTTCAATATATTGGATATATCTTTCTTCTGTTGAGGCAGTTGCTCTTTTAGATTTTCAATCATTTTCTTCGAATCATCTTCCGACATCAGCCTTTCGATAACATTCTTGGACAAATCTTGCAGATTTTTAACATTGTTGGTCAAATCTTTCAGCTTTTTGACAATATTCTTGGAAAAATTTCTCTTTTTGTCTGTTATCTCTTCGTCTATATCTGCCTCAAATTTAATTAATTTCTCTTTCAAGTTTTCAACGTTCTCACTTATCTCATCCTTCTCAAATAATGTAAGAACATTGTTCATTATTTCAAAGAAGGACTCTACAAATTTTTTGCTGAATTCGTTCTTATCCTGTACGAATGAATTAAATACATCCTTCAGCATAGATGGTAGTTGATCTGTAAAGATCTTTTCGATATCATTGACATTTGCAATATCAATCGGGGCATATTGGGAATTTCGCCTGGTTCTTTGTTGTATTCTTTCGATTTGTCTCTCGATTCCTTTAGTTTTCCATTTGTTGTCTCTTATTTCAGAGTCTCTAAGTATTTTTTCTAATATTTCAAGTTTCCGCTTGAGGTTTTCCTTACGATGATCGTGCCAGTCTTTATTTTTAGAATCTTCAAGTTCATTTTCCGATGTATCGTCAGGCTGGTCAAGATTCTCCTCAGATTTGGGTTGGATTTGATCAAGAATTTCCTCAGATTTGGATTGATTTTGATCAAGGATTTCCTTAGATTCAGGTTGTACTTGGTCAAGAATTTCCTTAGATTCGGGTTGGACTCGGTCAAGAATTTCCTTAGATTCGGGTTGGATTTGATCAAAGATTTCCTTTGATTTGAGTTGCTCATCTTCCACATTTTCTGACACTGGGATGGCCTAACACGCAATTAATAAAATAACAGCAATTATTTATATTTTATGATATAAAATAAAACATTATGTATAGAAACAAATACTGTATTACAAGTTATTATATAAGTTATATATTATAAAATATGAGGCATCATATAGTAAGAAAGAAAATAATATATTAAATGTTATAAATAAAGTATATTAAATATTATATATTATTAAATATTATTTAAAACATTAAAATTACATTTCATATTATGAAGATACGTTAATCGCGTATATAGATTCAAAATTTGTAAAGTTCATTTATTAATTTAATCAATTATTGTTTTAAATTATATTATTTCCACATATATATTATAATGAAAGAACGATCAATATATCTTAGTTTTCTTTTAATATTTTACAATTTTTGCTATATTTAGCAATTATTATGTAATCAACTATGAATTTTACTATTTTTTAAAATATCCCTTGAATGATTGCCTTTGAGTAATAGCTTACCTGGCTTATGTAGACCACAGCCGCCAGCACGGTTACTAGAAGAGCAACGCGCGCCATCGTAATTTGGAAAAAATTTGTGTGATTCAAAGAGATAGAAGGTCCAGCTCCGTTTTAGAACAGAGAGATCCAGACTGATCCACAGTAATGATCTCTGAAATGAATACGCTTATATATTAGTCAAAATTTGTTTACTGTATCTGTTGCAGAATACCTAAAGCTTTATTCTAGCTCTCATTGACGCATTATTTGATATAGCACACCTGTGCTAACTTTGTTAAATAATATTCTTATGTATTCTTATGTGATAACGGTACATGATAAATTAAAATCATTAATTATTAATTCGACAAAGTCATACCAGATGTCATAATGTTTGATATAACAATATTTCTTTATACTGATAAAAAAATATGATAGAAATATTTGTAACTTTCGAATTATGTACCTATGAAAAGAAGAGCAAATAAAGAAATACATTGTCAATAACTTACTTTAATTATTCTTTGTAATTGATAATGTATATTTGTTCTAATTTTAATTATTATATCGTTATATTAATAAATTTTTTAGCGTTTATATTAATAAATTTTTTAGCGTTATGCAAAATTTAAAAACAAATTTGTATAAAAATTGTGAGTATAAATTTATTATTGTTATGTATTATTTTATTTAATCAATAAGTTGAGTTCTTACGTTACATATGAATGTAAATTTCATAAATTATGATCAATTAAATATCAAATATATATTTTTTTTTATTCTTAACAGTATACTATACATCAATTTATATTATGAAGTATATGGTTTGTTATATTAATCAATTTTTCTTATCTTTTTGTGTTTTTTTCATCATTTGCAGAGAAAAATAAGAGCAATACTTGTAATACACATGAAAAATTTCATGTGTATTCATGCAATTAATTTCTCATATTTTTAATAGACTATAGATTTCTTCGATATTGTCTTTTTTGTTGTTACGATAATATGTGGTTCAAGTTGATTTTAGCCTCAGCTCAAATAAAAAGTATCCAGTAAAAAAGCAGAAAATATAAAATTTTTTTTTTATTTACTTGTATCGTTAATTATTATAATGAAACGAGAGAGAGAGAGAGAGAGAGAGAGAGAGAGAGAGAGAAATAATCAGAAATGTTTTATTATAATATTTTGAAATGATGTATTATATTATTTATTACTTTTTATTACTTTTTAAAACCTATATAACCTATATGTTATAATATATTATATTATAATATAATTATAATATAATATATAATATTATAACATATTATATATTATATTATAATTATATTATATTACATTTTCTAATATATTATAATATAATCTCGAAAGAAATCGTTTTTAATTTAAAATATGAATAAAAAGAAATTTTTAATTGTTTTTATTATATATATATATATAATAAAAATAATTTAAAATTTCTTTTTATTCATATTTTAAATTAAAAAGGATTTCTTTTGAGATTATATTATAATATAATATGTTAAATCTATCTTATAGTAAGATCAACTATATTTAATGTAAAATGAAAGAGGGATATAAACTATATTTTTAAAAATTAAATCGAAATTGGTATATAAGAGCGCAGTACTTGGAGCGCAGAGAAGAAACAACATTTCCTTCTTTTTTATTATTAATTTATTACAAAACTCAAATTACAATAATAAAAAGTGAACGTTTCGGATCATATTTGATCCTTCTTCAGCACAATATTAACAGATTATATTACATTAAATGCGACGCATTAAATTACGCAAAAATATCTATTATTGGCGCGCAGATGACGTCGAATTGTATCAAGTGGAGATCTGGCAAGCACATTGTTTCCGGTAATTCATCAAATTACCGTGATGGTATACATTGACTTGGTACACATTGACCATGATATTGACACATTGGCATTGTACTATCCCGGTAATTTGATGAATTACCAGAAACAATGAGCTTGTCGGATCCCCAAGTGATATAATTTGATGTCATCTGCACGCCAATAATAGATATTTTTGTGTAATTTAATGCGTCGCGTTTAATGTAATATAATCTGTTAATATTGCGCTGAAGAAGGATTAAATATGAAACGTTCGCTTTTTATTATTGTAATTTGAGTTTTGTAATAAACTAATAATAAAAAAGAAGGAAGTGTTGTTTTTTCTCTGCGCTCCAACTATCGCGTTGTGACTCTTTTATGCCAATTTAATTTTTAATTATTTGAACCCAATCCCTAATTATTAAATATATTTTTAAACATTATATAAAAATAGAAAAAGTTTAAATAATTTTGAAAAATGCTTTCTTTGTATCATATCTGCCTATGTATATGAATTTTATGAATTATATGAATTATGATGTGAGCTTTCTTTTATAATTTTAAATCAAAGAAAATTATTTGAATGCTCTATTTCTAATAGATCTCAATAGAACTCATTATCAATCAATTCTAACTACAAAGTGAATCACGATGTTTTAATATCATATAAATCAAATTATGATAGATGGATTTTAATTTACTCTATATGCTATTTTTTAAAGTAACTGCGCCTAAAAATTTTTGATCTAAAATGATTGCGCACAATTTTTTACATATCTGTTATAGGATTTCTTCACATTTGTGCAAATATACGTCACGCTTTTTTATATTTTTTACAAGTTGCATGTAAAGTATGTTTTCCATCTGATTTAACTAAAAATTTTCGCAAGTGTTTCAATGCAAATAAAAAAAGTAAGTAAGTAATTGAAAATCAGCTGTGTTGCGCACAATGCAAATTTGCACACCGTGAAATATTAAACGTAATATTAAGATGAAGAAAATATAATATAATAATATTAAGCTAAGGTATAAAAATTATTAACGTAATTCAATTTCAAAACACATCTTTATTCAGAATCGATTGATTACAATTATTTGGTATATACATGTCGATAGTTGATAGTGATTTAGGACTAGTTATGAGATATATAGTATGAAATTTAAAAGGCGTGACGCAATAGATGAGGACTATTAAGTCTACGAACGCATTCGGGATCTTTGAAGTCCCAGGGTGAGAGATTCCAGACACGTCCACCGTGATGGAGAAGGGAAGCGCGCAACTTCGGTCTAAGGAAGTTGAAACTGATCGGGCTAACAGTGTCTAGTACGCGACCTATCAGGGTTGCTCTGTTCCTCAAATTAAGCGATATAATGTCGCCCGGTGTCAGATAGTTGTGACCTAGTGCGTTAACGATCTGTTCCCTAGGCAAGACGAAATTGAGGCCACCTGAGGAGGCAGTGCTGGCCGAACTAGCCGCGGCGGCACTTCCAGCAGCCGACGATGCGGCGGCTGCCGCGGCAGAGGCTGCAGAAGGAAGAGCTGCAGGGAAACTGTGCGAACGGCTCAACGGAATTCTGCCGCCGAGGTTCAAGTCGAGTCCTCTATATTGACCCGGTTCGATCAAGCTGTCTATCGAAGAGATCGCAGGTCTGATACCGGACAAAATAGGCCTGGACCTGTATCCAGTTAGTGAATATGGCGACCTGAATGGCATCGAATTAGTACTGATCGCTGGGCTGACATCCGATGAAGAGGCGGATGCAGACGCGGAAGCAGCTGCTGCGGTATTCCCTGAGAATCCTGGTACAACTTCTGGTGAGGCTACAGCTACGTTCGAAGAGCTACTTTCGGACACCGTGTTTTCGACAGTCTCCGAAACGACTTCCGACGTTACTGGTTCGATGAGAGGTGCGCAAGGTACAGCGGATTCTTCGACTATGGTATTGCCGATCGGTGCATAAATTCTTGGGGCAGTTCGGTAGCTCGATATTACCGGTGATGCTGAAGCTGCCGAAGCTGCTGCTGCAGCCGATGTCGCTGCCGCTGTGGCTGCCGCGCTTGCGGCATCGAAAGATGGAACAACCGGCACTGAGGAAATTATATCTGGTACCGTAGAAATCAGAGGTGCACCGGAAACCATCGGTTGTGTTTCAGTAACAGTAGCACTGGCAGATGCTGAAGAACTTACGGTTTCAACAGGGGCAATGGATGCTATTGTCGGATTTATTATTGGCTCTACTACTGGGCTTACTACTGGACTTACTGGTGTGCTGACGGAGCTCGATGCACTAGCCGTGCTAGTTGCGGTCACCGTAGGACCCTGTTGGAGAGGTGTATAATCGCTAAAGGAAGGCATTCTGGGTAGATATGAACGTATGTTAGTTAAGTAAGATGGTATGTTACTTAAGTAAGATGGCATGTTAGTTACATACGAAATCACTTTAGAATACACCTTAGACGTGGAAATGCTCTTCATGCCAGTTCTAATCAGATGGGGTATTCCAGATGCATGATAGCCATTGTAGGCGCCACGAAGAGAAGATAGCACTTCCGCCAGCGATGTGCGATAGTCTGGAGCAACTATTGCACCGCCGTCATCGATTGTGGGTACAACCGATTCACCAACAATCTCCTCTCCCAGTGGAAGTATCGAACTGAGTCCGTGCAGATGATGCAATCTTGCTAGTCGACGCTCGAGCAATCTCTCCCGTAAATGCAGACTTAAGCGATGTAAATGGAAGAAATGTCCGAAAAAGTGCCGAATATGGTTCAAGTGCAGCTCGTGCACAAAGTGCACTACCTTGAAGGCGGTGTGTAGAAGTCGTCGAAAAGCGCCGAAAATACTAGGGAATGGTACGCAATCTCGGAGTATGTCGGGAAAAATCAGCAGATGATGAGGTTCTCTAAGGATGGTGTGTAAAAGTCGCGGGATATGGAACAAGATACCAAAGATGCCTCTGCCGCCATCGATGACACTTTCAGCGAACAGTGGTCCTAAGCTAAGTCCTTCTCTTAAATTTCGTATAACAATTAGAAAATAGTGCCACATCTTTCTTAATTCGCAGAAGAATTCGTGCACAACCAGACCTGAGAAATGCACGTGACCATATTCGCCGGCTTCACCTTCACAAGAATGAGTATCCAAATCAGCGAGAGGAACAGGATCCCACATATTCAATCCTAGAAGACCGCCTGCGGATGCGGCCGCAGCTGCGGATGCGGATACTTGTCGTTTTGGTAAATTGCTAAGTTTTTCCGTGGCATTCTGCAAAAAATATCGTTAATTTTAAATTAACGCGGCATGTTTTACTTTCGATCAATCGTAATTATATAGAAAAAAGGAGTATTATTTTAGATTTTTTAATTAAATTTCTATTGTAGAAATTTAAATTAGGCATGTTACATCTAATTATGTTACAAATCAATTATTGTATGTCAGAAAAAATTTTTCTTTTTAATTTATCATCACTATAAAATAATTTGTTATTTTTTAATTTTTATTATTAATTTTATTATAATTTTATTATTCTTTTAAAATATTTTATTCGAAAAATTATATTTTTAAGTTAATTTTTTTTTATTTGCATTACTGAAATTTTAAAGAATTTTTATACAAATAGATTTTAGAGGAGACCTGAGACTGATTTAGAGAAAAATAACTTTCCTATCTATGTAGTTATATATTTATATATTCACTATATATATATATATGTAATTATATTTTCTAAATAGTTTGAATTTAATGAATTCCACATTAAAGTTATATATTATGAATTTTAATGATCGATTACCTCTATTTCTCGCAATTGTTGCAATCTCATAGCAATATCTTGTTCGTCCGCAAGAATGAATGCTTGGATGAGATCGTGCATACTCTTGTACGAAAATACATCATCCTGAGGAAAGAGAAAGAAAAGATATTAGATTTATTCTTGTTTCGATTTTCTCGTTCTAGGATTTCCAATCAATAATAATAATATATTTTAACTTTTACCATAACATCTTCCTCAATATCGTTATTCGTATTTGGCTCTTCGTTCTTCCTGTCATCCTTGTGATTTAATTTCTTTGTTTCTTCCGGGATTGCTCTTCTATCTTGGATGGTTTGAGATTCTGATGATAATTCTTCCAACTCCAAAGGATGTTTGTTCACGAGATGAACATCCTCTTCCCTTTTCTCTCGAAGAAATGGTTGTAGTTCCAGATCCAAATTCTTTTGAAAGTCTTTAGATATATCGAAGTCTTGATTAACGAAAGCCGAACTCAAAGACAAGAATGTCAGGAAGGCAACGGCAAAAGCCGCAAATATGTTGCACGTATTAGCCATGGTGAGTTTCAATTGGAACTCGATGATTCTAACAGCAATAGGCTGCTTCATATACCCCAAAGATTGTTATCATCATATTCAGATTTGGCACGCGGATCGTGACGGAATCAAACAACATTGGAGATTATTAGCCGACAATGATCGACAACTCAGATATATGCTGATGCGCGTGAGATTATCCATGATTTCATCTGCAACTTACCTCGTAATCAAGCACGATTTATAATATTATGATTTGAAAGATTATTAATGCGATAATCTTTTTGCATTCGTGAATAATTATAAAAATCACTTCTTTTTTTTGATAAAATAAAATATATATGGATATTTCGTACGTGCGAAAATACGTATACAACATGACCAAAAGAAAAATTGCAAAATACTAGATGATAAATTGATATTTTTTAAATTCTTGATTAATTAATCAACGAAAGCTTGAATATTTTCTATAAAACGGAGAAAAAAATAATTTAATTAATTTATATCATTCACATATGGAAAAGAATAGTGTTTATTCTTCATAACAGGTATTATTTCATGAATTAATTTTTAATTTAAATTTTTTTTATTAAAACAAATAATAATATTGTTACTAATAAAATTTATGTTTTACACTATTTAGAATATAAAGAAAGTATTTTGGAGTTTTATTGGAGATACCTATTCTCTAAAAGTGAATCAGTGTATTATCTGAAAAACAGTAAATAGTCACTAGTTACAGCACTTATAAGTACAGCACTGTAAATCAGTAATATTTTATTGAAAGAATTAGTCAATAATATTGGCTATTTTCATCAGTAATATTAAATTACAATTCATCCTCTCTATCTATTTTATATAAAATTTTATATATTTTATATAAAATTAAAAATTTTATTTTTATTTACTAAATATTTTATTTATTTTTATTATATCACAAATTTTATTTTATTTATATTACATATTGAACTTGTTATTTTAAATAGATAACAAACAAATAATTTTCATTAAATCGCCAGACATTTATTTATCTGACTTATAAAATCGATTTAATATCTGAAGCCTTTCTATTAAGATTGTATCAGAAATTAAATCGTATATTTCTAATTTTATCTGTCGCACTTTGCAAATTTTATATAATTCTTATGATTAAAACTTAAATACAAGAGAGATAATGATCATAGTGATAGACGAAGGAACTAGCGGTTACTAGTTTTACAGTGAAATTTATTGGTTTTACTTTAACTAATCTTTAAATAATTAATGAGATATAAGATAAAATAACAAAAAATAAGCATTTCCACTGAAGATCAGTAAAATATTTACTAATTCTCAAATTCTGAAATCTTATTTTAAATTAGTAATATTTTCTCTGATTCACTTTTAGAGAGTATAAGCTGTACGCTATACTATCTTATGTAAAATGTATTGATATATTTTAATTTTTATTACAAAATAGAAATATATATTTCTGATACATTTATTTCTTATACTTTTTATATAAATGCATACATAATTTAAACAATAATATTTAAATTTTATATAGAGAAATTATAATTTTTATATAGAGAATTTTATATAGAGAAATTATAATTTTTTTATAAAATATAATATTTTATATAAATATTATTTATAAAAAGTAATAACGTGTAATAATTTGTAGTAATTTATAGAAATATTATACAGAAAAGAAAAGTTAAATATTAAAATATTATATTGTAAATTTTGATAAATATTGTGTGTAAGATTATATGTAAGAATTGAAAATTGCAGAATAAATATTTTTATTTTTTTTAAATTTTTATTTTTGCTTATTAAATCTGTTACCTAAAATATATTAATTCTATCTTGCAAAAAATAAAACAAATTAATTATATTTTTATAATAACAATAATTATATAAATTAAATATTAATTTTATACAACAAAAATGATTGAAATGGAATGACCATTATTTCTATATACCTGTATTACGATTTATTTATCCAAATATTAATATTGTCTAAAATTGTTCTTTATATGTATTTTTTTCTGTGTGTATAATATTAAAAAACATTTCTATTTAAAAATATTATATATACTTCTATTTATATTTAAATAATATTAACTTACATTGTGAACATGATTTAATATTCGATTTATACATTTGTTGTTATATATATCGCATACATTGCAGGCAAATGATGTATGATTAAAAAATTCGTACATGTAAGCAAATTCTAATTCTTTCTCATGAATAAGGATAAACTCATATTACTTGCAATCATTGCATTTTATTTTGATTCGTTCTTTTACTACTATTTTATTAAGTACAACATTAAATTTATAAAAAATATATATGAAATATTGTAATTATTTATAATAATATTAAATAAAAATTGAAATAAACATTTTTATAAATATATCAAAAGAAATGAAGAAAATGAAAGTGTGTGTGAAAATTAAAAATTATGATAAAAAAATACGTTCAATAAAAATACGAAGATAGGAAATATGGAGATAAAGGCATATTAAAACTCAAAATTATATATCGTTTAAATCTTTTTATTTTTTATTTGTCTCTGAATATTATGTACTTTTCACATTTCTGTGAAAGATACAACTTTATCAGATGTTCTTTCATGTTTTATAGGTTTTGTTAGCTCACTTGACAGGCGCACTTCGTAGGTGATTCACAGGCGGGAATTAGAACTCTATCAATTCTGCTGGTAAGACCTGTTAAAAGTTTAACGGACTGTGATTGTGTTGGTATCTCACTGGCATCTCTGAAATAAAAGTAAATGTTATCAGATATTTGATAAAAATATATTCCTATTAAACATATATTGTTATTAATTTAAAAAATTATCAAATTAATGATATAAGCATTTTTTATAAATAAATTTCGATAATCCAAGCGTAATTTTTGTAATTAATATAAAACAAAAATTTTAGAATGCTTACGAAGTTGAAGATGGTGAAGGTGGCACATAAAGATCAAAATTGTAACTTGTTGAGATTGGCACGGACGGAGATGGTAAACTTTGGGTATTATACGTGTAGGATTTTCCTCGATAAGGATCCAATTTGACTATCTCTGAGGATTCAACGGGTACTTCATGTACTTCAGGTACTTCAGGTATTTGTATAGAAACTGGATAGTTTGCTTGCGATTGATAGGGTATAGGAGGTTTATCGGCGATAACTTGATAGTTTAATTTGAGTGGTTGATAGGTACAAGGTTGAGTGGTTGCAGGCAAAGTATAATCCTCACTTACAGGCTTCAGAACAGGTTCCTGTAAATTATTTTACAGATACGCGATCTATTCATTATGAAGTCACGCGTGATAAAAAAATAAGCAAAAATATATTTTAACTCTTCTATTTTTGAACTATTGTAAAAAAAGAAAGAAATTAGAAATCATTTTTAAGTGTTTTTTTGGACGACAATAATACAGTTAAAATAATTAAATTTTGCATTTTTTAACTGCTACCATTGCTTTAATATAATGTTATTTATTATAAGACATGAAAATTATATTTCTTTAATTAAATGCAATTGAAGTTATAGTTCAAGTTACAATATATGATAAAATATTATATAATATATGTATACCTCGATTGTAACAGGCAGATAATTTGATGGATAACATGGCTCACCATGCGTAACTATTTTAACTTCGTTATATGGCAATTCATAAGGAAACCTCCGTCCATAAGAGAACCTCAATTGTAAACAGATTCCAATAATGAGAAGATATTGTAATTTGTACATCGTCACCATCGTCGCAAAGATTTTACAAGATATAAACTGGTTTCCAACCTATCGCACTGTTCATATAGACATGGATTCATCAAAGACAGGTATAAAAAATACTTCCTGTTTTAATAAAATGTAAACGCAATAAATCTTTAAATAATAATAAAATAATAATATTTCTTTATTACGTGTCACGACCGGAACTTATTTTTTGATTAAAAAGTAGAGCAGGCACGTACTTTCCTTTGTGCGTGTCTACATGCAAAATTTCTTGTTTCCTGTTTTAATCCTGATCATCAAATTTATCTGATTCATAAAAAAATTTTTTATAAACAATAAAACGATATGGATGTTACCTGTCTCAATTTCTATTAAAAAATTTAATATTACATCTTAATATATAAAATGATTTACTTTATTACTAAAATACATGCTATTCTTCTTTCCAAATATTTGAAATAAAACATTTTTAAGAAAAGTTTTTATTTTATTTTTTTCAATATATATATATATATATATATATATATATATATATATATATATATATCAAATCAACGTTTATTTTTTTATTAGATTTATATGCTTTTTTACATAAATCAATTTTTTTATTATCCTGTTTATAAAACTATTAAAGAATTGGAAAATAAAAATATACTTTACTAAATATATTATATATATATTATATGTGTGTGTGTGTATGTATCAAGATATGTCTTTTATAGTTATATTTATTATATAACTGTAATTGTAAAGTATTTATCAAAAAGTAAATAACTGTAATTGTAAATACTTTACAATTACAGTTATTTACTTTTTGATAACTTTAGTTTAATATTTTTATTAAACTGAATGATAGAAAGAATTTATTTATGTAAGAAATTAATGCAATTCCATAAAAAAAATCAATACTGAAATGTTTCTAAAAAAAGATTTTTAAAGATCTTTTTTTAAAATAAATAGATTTTTTTCATTTATTTTTGTATCATCAAAATTAGAAGAGATATTAAAAAACGATCACATAAAATGCTTCCTGTATATATATTATGCATCAAGATAAAACTCGCATCCTTAAATGTTGCTATGCCATCATTATATCATAAATTAATATCTCATTCGTTCGCAGTCATTTCATGGATTTTTTCATTTCATTCAACTCGCTGCTTGTAATTTATGTCGCGTATATGTAAATGAAATAAATCACAGCCCGATGCGTGCATACGCATCGTAAATTTTACGTGTGCGTTCGCGAGGAAAGAAGAGAAAAAGGAAAGACGGTTTGAGAAGAGTACAAGAGAGAATCCGTAGCGTATCTTTAAATAGCGACCGCGTGCGGGCTTCGTTCTTATACTTTCGGAGATACATTATGTTTCCTTCGCAACCATCATCGTGCATCACCATGTGGTGCTTCCCTTTTCCCGGCCGAAACACTTTATGACGTGCTGACAGTCATGTTTTAGCCAGGAAAGCTGAAGGGAGCTCATAAATCTTATTGGCGATGTTGCCATGCACATTTCATAGACGATAGATAGAAAATCATCCAGCTTTTAACAAATCATTTCGACGAACTCTTTATGACTATAAAGATATTCTATTTTTATTATTATAAATTCTTATATAAGATTATTATAAGAATCCTTTTATCGCATTTATTTCAATAAAGATCTTCTAGTGTTATAAAAATGTCACATTTTTATAACAGGAGAGATACATTTATTTTTGAATTTATATCATTTTTATAACAGGAGAGATACATTTAGTTTTGAATTTATTATAAAATAAGTTAAAGATATAATAGCAAAATAGAGCAAAGTGGAAAAGATATTTGTATATTGTATATGAATATATGTGTATATTTAATAATTTAAAGTTTATTACAAGGATTTGTTAGAATAATTTCTCTACAAGTACAATTCTTATTTAAATCTTTTAATAGAATGAAAATACTGATTCTTAAGATTTTGCTTGTTATATAATGTCGATTTTCTATAATATTTATTAAAAAGTAGATCATTTAACTTAATTCAATAATTAAAATATTTTAATAAGTTTTCTTTTACTTCATTTTTTATTTGAGTAAGCATATTTTGCCAATCAATAAAAAGTCAAGGATGAGAAGAAGGGATTCTGTAATAAATTCAACGATTTCTGATTCTCTTTTCTCTATAATCGCTATATTATCGTAACATTAAGACATCACAAAGACGTAGGACTAGGACTAGTACAATATTTGAGAAGATGTCTACGTCTTCATTTCAAAACAACTAAGACTCAACTCGATGGATGAATCGTCATTGAAACGAATGTTTCTCACATTTCGTATTTTTTATATAAGAGATCATAGAACCCCACATGGATGACCGTATTTTTGCGCGGAACTTCTGAGCCTATCGAATATCCCAGACGAGTACTCGTCGTAGTCTTCTTCGTCGTCATCGTTGTGTTCGTAATCCTCATCTGTCTGGATGCCATCCTCGATTTCGTCTTCATTCACGATTTCTTGATTGATCACGACAGTGCCAGGAACATAGTCAGAGGCTGGTGGACCTACCGGACCGCAACCTCTGTCATCATCTTCTGCATTGAACGTGTCGATAGCACCCATTGAGGGTACAGGACTCGACAACTTCCCCGGTAGCGCTCCATTGATTGGCGTAAATCCTAGGTCCCTAAAACAAGTTATACATCCAAATATATGAATGTTTGAAGCAGTTTACTTAACGAATTAATCATATTTCGCAAATTTATCAGTTTTTTAAGTATTACAGTACTTCGTATGTAATAATCGAACTAATATTTTAAGGATATATTGCATCTTCTAAAATTTCTCGTTTTCTTAAATAGAAATGTAATTTTAAAAATAAATCATTAATTATAAAAATGACGAAATTCTGATTTTAGGAATAAATTTAGAAATGTATACATATAATATACATATTGTGAATTTTAAAAGTGACTTTTTAAAAATATGTTTATATAAAAAGATCTCTAAAACGCATAAATATTTAAACACCACGAAACAATTAATTAATCGCGAAAATATTGACGGATCATTTGATAAACACTTGCTCCTAAAGTATTTCTCTCGACTTACCCGTATGTAATAAAATGTCCTGGCTGTTCTTCAGCGACTTCTTCCTGATGTATTCTTTCACGTTCAATGGCCTCGAGCTCGGCTAACTTAGCTTCTTCCTGTTCATTATAAGTGATGGTGATAGGAACCGATGGTATCGGTTTTAATTCTACGACGGGTTTATCGAGAATCTGAAGTTTTTCTTCAGGAACCTCTAATTTCTTCTTATTCGACGGTGTTTCGTTTGGTATCGTTCTATGACCAAATGACAGTTTATCTTCCGGCACGAATCTCACTTTCTTATTGTATGCCACATTTATGGGCGAGAAGATATTTCTGTATGCCAAGGAGAGCGAAACCGGATCCGCAGGTAATCGAGGATACGAATAATCTTTAGGAAGATCTGAAATAAATGAATGTATCATTTTATTCTTGTAGTCTGTCATAATGCATAAAATGAATATATTATGTATTTAATGTGCGTAATTATAATCGATCGAATATATATTCATACAAATAAGTATAAGTTAATCAATTAATTTTGTCTATGAATAATTATAATTTTATCGAATTTGAAAAGAAACAAATATGATTATTATTAATTTCATACAATTGTAACTTCTTGATTCATCCATGTAAATGAAAATAGAAAATCTCGTTCTATTTTCATCTCTATTTTAGCTTTATTTAAAATGTATTTCTAGAAACATACCCGCTTCATCACCAAAGTCACCACAATTAGATCTGTAGCTTCCAGCAACTTCAACGTCGCTTCCAAATTCATTTTCATAACTGCTGGTTTTGGAGTTAAATTGTCCTAGGCTGCCTACGCTGGTACCTGCATATCCTGATCCGTACGTATTGTATCCTCCAGTTGAACTGTATCCTCCAACACTGCCTTTAGCACCACTATATCCTACACTGCCTGAGCTACTGTACCCTCCAAGACTGCCTGCATTATTGGAAATGTATTTACCCAAACTATTTGCGCTACCAAATGCATTTATACTGCTTAATCTGCGAAACAATCCATCGGACGCTACGTTATATGTGGATGTCAAGCCGAGTTTTCTCATTCCAGCTTCATCGACATGTCCATTGAGTGTCTGTACGCAAACTTGTACTTGCTCAGGAGTGGGAGAGGAACATGTAATTTTGCTGGGATACGCCGGTGTCACTTTAGTTTTAGTTGTAGTAATTGCTTGGACTTTGCCGTTTTGAACTTTGCTTGGATAACACAAGTCACCGATCGGTGGGAAGCTATCGATAAACAATTATAGATTATCATTTAAAAATGATTAACAAGTTAAATATGTAAAGTAGCAGATTAATCCGTGTCATCTATAGATCATCATAACTTCAAGTTTTTTAAATCGCAATACATGATACATGTTAATGAATGGATAAATGAATGCACATGAAATACCTGGGCACGATTTGTTTATTAGTATCGGAGAGGAGTTCGCGCATCGTCAGAGGTTCGGATTTCTTTCCGCATCCGCAACCAGAATTGGAGCTCGCACCATTCAAGAAAGTATTGAAGGAAGAGCTTCCTCCAAGAACACTGACGGAAGATGAGGAAGAAGCTGAAGAGCTGCTATGACTGCTGCTGCTACTGCTGCTGCTAGTGCTAACAATTCCGCTAGAATAGGGATTGGAAATGACATTAGATGCTATGCTTCCGGATCCCGTTTCTGCGGAAAATCTTCCAACCGCTTCGCGTGCTATTGCAGCTTCATTGATTGCTTGTGGCGACGCATATACCAGTGGTTTTTGCACCTTTGCTGCTTTCACTACCACTTCCCCGCATTTGCAGGCATTGATACCTGAAAATTGAAAATACAAATATCTGGACCCGTATCATTTACTTTTTATGATTATGATTATGATTATTATTACATAATCTTATTGATTATGTCCTAAAGAAAATTCTTTGTACAGAAAATATTAATATATGTTGTGCACTAAAAAATATTAATAATATGTGTTGTGCACTAAAAAATTGAAAACAAAAGCAAAATTAATATTGTAAATAAAATATTCCATTCTTTTAAGAAAAGAGTTTTGAATAATAATAAGATATATTGATATAATAAGATAGATTGTAACAAAAAATATTTAATTAACTTCTAAAGGTATATAAGCAGAGATATTTTTATATAATACGTGACAAATTAAATATATAACATCGATTATAATAAATGCAAAAATATAAGAAATGTAATAAAGAAAAAAATGCTACAGGCAATTATTTTTTAGCTTATAAATTTACAAATTTTATGTGTTGGATATATATAAGATTCGTTTGAAGATAAATAAAAAATTAAATTTTTTAATTTTATTTCTCTTTTAACTATCTTGTGAAAATTCATATTTTATAATTATAATATTTCAGTTTATCACATAAAATAGCAAAATTTTCTTATAACAATACATTTTAGGTATCTCAAAAAATTTGAATCATTTCGAATGAAAGAAATTCTGATCACTTTAAAATTGCATATCGCAAAGATAAATTAGAATAAAATTAAAATTATTAATTTGTATGCGGAATGTATTTCACACATACCTGGACCTAAACTTCCGCAGGTGTGTTCTGATCTGGTTTTGGATGGATGTGCCTGGACGATAGACGTGGCCGCTATCGTCAGAACGGCAATTCCCAAGATCAAAGAAGACCTCATATTTGTCTCAATAACAATACTCTTTCTTTCTTCTCCTCTTTTCCCGGCGTTACATTTATATGAAAAATTGCCGGATTTTCAGCGACTGATTTGATTTTGCAATTGATAAACAATGACTGTTTGCGCGGATCCGAATATTTCCTGTTGTAACGTTTACGCGATGAATTTGTTATGACTTTACCGCCGCTTCCTGAATTCGCATGTTCCGTTAAATACAAAAAACTGCATTTTATAGTTTCACGACATTTACGTTCGTCGAGAAATATAATCATCTTGTAGAGGAAACGAATCTTGTCCGGTTGACAATCGGTTATTTGATTTCCGTATTTGTATGTGTAACAATAAACGAAATGTGTGCAAAAATACAGCAGAATGGAAATAGAGGGTACGCGGATTTCAATGAATGATGAAAGAGTTAGGTCATTAATCGTATAATTCAACTTTTTTCATAATTTTTTACATTATATACATTATCAAAAAATTCTATAAATGAGATAAAAGTTATTACATAAAGACAATATTAATAAGTTATATTGTGCAGAAAAGGATATAAAAGAATAAAAATTAATTATAGATTGTAAAAAACTTTAATATAGAATAAGATACATTTTTTACATGACACTTCGAAAGTATCGTATACAAATTAAGATATTTAAAATTAATCAATATTCAAATATTAATTACATTTCCAGATAGAAAAAATTTTTGTTTTTCCAACTTTTCTTTAATAAATCTATAATTATATGTAAAAAAGAAAAAATATAACATTAATTTATACAGAAATACATTAATTAGAAAACTATAATATCAAATATGAAGCAAAATATATAATTGTAGATAATATTCAATAAAATATAAATTTAAAGCTTTGTACATATTGTAAGAACATTATAATTAATCATATTATATCATATATGAATAATCTCTCTTTAATATTAATATATACAAACAAACTTAATATTTATACATTGTTTGAGTTCTACATGAAAATTCTTCCACATATCTTTAAACATAATATTTTCATTTATTAAAAAAATCCGATGCTCGTTGACGTTGCAAAGGTAGATTAAGTAAATTATCAGTAAGTACGGGCCCTTGTATTCGCGTAGTATTTGTTTCCAGTTTTTGGGAGATAGCGTCTTTAGCTGACGTAATTGCACGTGGTGTGTTAGGTGTCCTGATACCTACAGACGGAGTCCTCGACGATAATATTCGTCGAGGCGATGGTGTGCTCGATATCCGGAGTTTTTGTGTCGCTAATCTTCTCGCTGCAGGAGACATTGTGCTCAAGCGATCTATAGTCGATCTCGGTGATGGACTGAAAAAATAGATTTATTATTATTATTATTTTATTTTTATTAGCCTTTTTACCAAAAATATATCATACATTAAGTATATGATAACCGAAAAGACGATAATTCTACATGCAGAAAAAAAATTAAAAATTTCTCTTTATTTCAGTTACGAGATAACTTATATTATAATAAGCAAATATTTCTTTATTCAAATTAATTTATTTTAAATGCTTTTCATATTACAAAAATGTAACTCAAAGTGTAACTTTGTTACATTTTTTTCTACTGAAAATTTTATCAATAAGATTATTAAAAATTTCCGAATCAAATTTAATAAGAATTTAAAGATTTAGAAAAAAATATTAAATAACATATGTCATGAGCTAAAATACTTTTCTATACAAAAATTTATATTTTCAGATACAATTACTTCATTAATTTTATAAAAATTTAATTTCACAAATATCAATATGTTAAAATTGCTCCTTTTAACATTGATATTATTTAAATATTACTTACGTGGCTAATGACTTTCTAGCTGCCTCTAAGGCTTTATTCTTCCGATCTCTGTGCCTTTCACCAGCTTTTTCAGCCAATTGCAATGCCAACTGCTCCCTTTTTGGTGGTTCTGCTATTCTAAAAGATGGACCTTGACTTGTTCTCAGTAATGGAGTATCACCACCATCTAATCGGAAAGGTGTCCCTTCAATCTGACCCCATGTCATCAATGGACTTTCACACTCTCCTGGTCTTGGACTTGGCGTCGCCACAAAACTGAAGCCATTTACCCGCGGCGTCGCATTCCTAACTACTTCTTTGCCGTCCACACCGATTTTACCATCGTTAGCTCTGGATTGCGATTTGGCTAATTCATTGATAGTTTCCTTATTTTGTTGCTCATTAAATGGATTTATCCTCAATCTCGTATTTTCATGTGTTACACTTTGCTTGTTTTTAGCTAATTCTATTTTCTCTTCAGCTGTAAGTTCCACTCCATCAGGAATGTACATAATGTAATTTTTATTCTTATAAGTCCAACTATCAACTTGTTTGGGCCTGGAGTTTGATCCTTCGATTGCTAGAACATCAGTCGTAGGTTTGTCGATAGTGAGCCACGCTTTTGACTTCTCTTCTGCTTCATAAAGCCAGGCATACTTCAATTTACGTTTATTTTCCGCCTCGACCATCATTTCTTCAAAACTAGCATTATCTTCGCTTGTGTGAGAACTCAAATAATCATCGAGGCCGGTTTTATTTTCTTCTTTACTATCTTTCTTTGCATATTCGACAGGTGTTTCCTGGGATGATACTTCAGAGGTACATGGTAATTCATCTGATTCAGCTCTACGTTGCGGAGTTTCAAAAGTTGCTGGACTAACTGGTCTTTCTGTGACAGGTCGACCAGAACTATATTTTGCATATAACTCTCTCATTCTTTTTATATCATTCTGCTCTAAAGCATCCAGATATTCATTCTGTGCTTGTAATTTTTCTAGATGTGGAAAAAAATCTCTTTGTATAATTTCACTCATTTTCTCAATATATGTGTCTTCATCTAAGATCTTTGGTTGAGTACTTTTGCTTTTTTTCGCAGATCCAATAGGTTTCTTAAATATAGCCAAATCTTTTATATTCTTGGCAGCTTCGAGAGCTTTAGAGCCTGGGCTATCCATGATGGAATCTAGAAGATTGAAATTAATATTAATAAGAATTTAAATAAATAAAGGAATAGAAATTTTCTTATTTCTTAACATAAAGAAATAGTTTAATTACGTTTATATTGACACTTAATACTTACTACTCATTTTGAATAACACTGTAAGTACAAATACAGGTTATGTAACCGAATTCGTGTTCACTGTTATTGTTACAGAGAACATACACATTTAATAATATAGAAAATTTTCTTTCTTTGCAAATCTCTTTTATAAATACATAGCTATACGTATTAAATCATGTTCCTTTATAAACATACAGAATATATTTTGGGTCACATGACATACTTCACTACTATGATACACTCACACGTGATAAATTTGTTAGTTTAATTGCACTTGTAGTATATTCTTTCGATTTTCACTTGTTGTTTTGCCTTTTTTCTCTTTCAATTATATCTCATTTTAAATGTAATAGAATGCAAAAGATATAATAGAGTAAATAGTATAGCTGAGAACAGCTGAGAATAGAAAAACCAAATCTAATGTCACAATGTTAGTGCGTGTAGTGTGCGACATTACCGACATATGATAACGCAACATCTGATATGCGACTTGGCGCCATCTCGCGTCAAGGTTGTGTATCGTTTGGCAGTACATGGAAGTTCAATTCGCGACAGAATTCCCAATAAAGTTTTGTGCATTATTCGAAACTTGTACAACATTAAAAATGTATTTATAAAGTTGAGTATATTTTATTTTTATCTGACAGAGAATACGTGATAGAGAGGTATGTGTAAACTGATTTAATAATCATACTCCATGATTTGAGAACTTTAATTATATATGAATTTGAAATCGCAATGGCTTCCGAGAACATAGGTAATATGCGCGTTAATGGAATGCAAACATTAAATTATTTTTATTTACAACTGTTCCGACAGAACTCTTTATTCTTATCTTTTCTTGTGCATGTAAAAAAAGTATGTAATCATGTTTTAGGTTCTCGTTTGATTTATATTTAAGTTGTCTCTTGTAATTTCATATTTCAGCTACCAAACAATAACTTTCTCGAATCTTCTCACTGTTTTTCAACCGGTTTAACCTTTATATATATATATATATATATATATATATATATATATATATATATCTGTATTGAAAAATTAAATCGAACCATTCTCGATATCACCATCTCGTATTTAGTCTGTTCTCAACTGTTTCCGAATAAACATCGGTGTACTAAAGTCTTTCTTTAATCACTCTTGCTTTCGTTTTTAACTCTCTCAAAAACTCCGACATCACCTACACCTTACAGTCTACAAATTCTGTATCCTCGCGAAACAACAACATATCGTCATTAAATTACTGTGCATGTAATTTATTAAGATATTAAAATATCATCAAAGATATATTAAAGTATCATTAGCTCTCAGATATTGGCAAAATGCTAGAGCTAGATATTACAATATATATACATATTTTTAATTCAATATCAAGTATGCTTTTATATATATTTTCATAAAATATTCATTTTCATTAATATTTATAACAATATATTCTTGTACGTGAGAATGTTTTGCAAAATTATATATTGTTGTAAAGATATTTTTTCCTTCTCAGCCAGAATTCTATTTAGCTTTTATTTAGCTCAATAATTAAAAACTTTATATAAAAATTTTGTGTATTAGGATATATTCATATTTTTGACACATGAAATCACAAATAAAATGATCTCTCTGTTTCATAGATCATTTAAAATAGATTTAAGATAAAAATGATGTATCAGAGAAAGGGAAGATTAAATTGCAATCGTCTCATATATATTATACATAAACGTTTCTGAATTAATATCTCTTGTTTACAGGCGCCGCGGTGAATATACGGCCCTGAGCCTCTGGCCACTAATCGCCAGTGATATTTTGGTCCAGCTGGGACAGTGGGATGGGACACGAGATATCGTTTGCAACGTCTCGTATTGCTGGCGCGCTCGCACGCTCGCGTGAGCATCCGCGCGAGCAAAGTGATCCGAGACCCCGAGGTGTTGGAGAATCATGTTGACAGACATATGAGGATTCCAGCGGCGAGATAGGATATGCGTGCCGACTGTATGCGCGACCGAAAACGCGAGAGAATCGCATCAAAATGCGCATCACCTAGTTTCCATTTCCTTCTTTCTCGTCAAATCGCAACGAATGAGTGACTTATAAGAGAATTCTTTTATTACATAGACATATACATAAATTCTTAATTTATTTTAAAAGTTTTAGGCACTCTTTAATTTTTTTTATCGATCAAACTAAAACGGAAATGTGATAGAGATCTTAAAAATGTTTTGTCTTCGCAAAACCGATGTAATCGCGTCTAAATAATCTGGTTTCAATATCGGTGAATTTTAATGTGATTAACCTTTAGAAATAAGTATCTTGATTGCGTTAATAAGCGTCATCGTTATTTTGCACTGCGGATTTATTAATAATAATGAATAGACACGACTATTTTGCGTGAACTTGTTTCTCATAATTGCATGACCGATGACTGCCAACATTTATGATTTAAATCTGTCGTAAATTGCACTTTGTGCCAACACCGAAAGCTAACGTCGTTTCTTCTTTCAATTCCGCCCACTCGCGGAATTTCTTCTAGATCATTACAATATGTTACTTTGTAGTAAGATATTATTATTAAAATTTGATATATAAACAATAATAATTAGTCTATATTTCAATAAAAAAATTAAAATTAGAATTTGATAATGAAAGAGTAAATCAACAAGAGTAATCAAAAAGTAAATCAACATTTTAAACATTTAAAATACAGGGAAATAAGGAAATAATATTAAATATTTTATTCTATTTATTAAGAGAGATATTTATTTATTTTTCAGAGAAATATGTGAGACATGTGAAGCCTTTACGGAAGCAAAGATACAAAAAAGGAAGGAAACGGACATGCCTATCGGCGTGGGTGAAAACTGTCCAAGCAAGCCAGCGAAGCACGCGTAGACAGACACTGACCGTGACTCCCATGGATGCCTAGAAGAGGTTTACTTTATGTAAATAGAGGGGACGATCTTCTGTCATTGCAACATCGGGCCAAATCAACCGTAGCATATATTTGTCGCGTTTATGCCGCATTTCTAAAATTTTCTCTCCTACATGACGCATAAAACATTCAAAAGTAATCAAGTAAGTGAATTTCTAAGACTATAAAATTTGTTATATTTTTCTCTTATATTTTCCCGTATTTTTATATTTTTTGTTATTAATTAATTATTAATAATGTATTTAGAAAAAAAGTGATTTTATATATGAAGAAGTAAATCATATATAACGAAAAGATGTATATTATAGTTATAATTTCTTCATATATAATTTCTCCATTCTATGATATATTTATACACTTTGTGCGAATATTTTAATTTTTACGTTTATCGTGGAGAACGCGACACTTCACGCGGACATAAATAACTACATAAAACACGCAGGACTGCGATGGAAAGTCAAAATACGGCGAGGATGGCGGCAGTAAAAGTAGAAGAGAGCAGTGGGACAACGAGAGGGATGAGGAAAAGGTTGCAGACGTAAAGTGTAAACAGCCGAGGTGCGATTTGACGCGCACTCGGCCTGGGCCGTGTGTACAAGGCGCGCCTTCCGCTTTAAGAATCGCCCCGTGGAAGAGGACGATGGCTGGAATCTGTAAATCTGTCATTACGGCCGTATTCGTGCGCAGGATATGAACTTCTTGGTCGCGTCGCACATCACCGCGCCGCGCCGCGACGCTTCCTCAGATCTGGCCGGTTGACTTCTTCAGAGGGTCGCGGCAAGAGTTTTCGATCTTTCGAAAGTACATGTGGTGTACATAACAATCGAGATATCAAATTAAGGTAATATTATCGATATTTATTTATATGTAATATCTGTTAAGAAAAGAAAGACGAATCTCTGCGTAGACATGCATAAAAAATTACGTATTTAATTTATTATAATCAAACCAAGATTATATGCATATCTTGAGGAAAATCATCATTTATCATAATTTTATCATATTACACATTTTTATAAACGCTTAAAATTGAAATTCTCTTTTAAAGTTTATTTGAAATCAATAACTAAATAGAATTAATATCTTTGAGCATTAATTAAGGTCGCGCGCATGAGAGTTGTGCGTGACTATTTTATATGTATGTATATGTATGAAACAAAACTTCTCAAGATCTTCTTCGAAAATTCAAAGAGCGTTTCGCCATGTTGACGACGTGGAAACTATAAAAGCCCTGCCATAATATGCACGCACGAATTGTAGGGCCGTGGTAGCTTGCGATGACGGATTCATGGTCCATGGGATATAGCGCCTTCCTCTTAGAGACGTGGATGCGTGCTCGCGTTTCCTCTTACCTCCTTTTTCCCTTCATCTAGCGAGCGATTCATTTGTTGGTCTTTGATCCGCGACCAACGAGCAACCTCCGGAAAATTAGGGAGATTTATTAAGCTCTTTCATGCTGCGTCTTCATGCCCCATCGCTTCTCGTTATATTCGGGTTACGTTCGGTAATTGACAGCACGCGTATTCTAAATCGATATCGATGAATGAAATAGCGATAACGAGAGATCTAAAATTTCCAGGATAAAATTATCCAATTAAGAATTATCTCAATAGTAATATACATACGTATAATAGAAAATACAAATCTACATAAAATACGTAAATCTTAGTCGCAATTTTAATGCATTTTATATAATTTTTACTAACTCTATCATTATATATATAGTATTCTTATATAATATAATATTTTCCTTTAATTTTAATGAGAATAAATTTTCTATGGAGAATTTATCTTAAATCATAGGATGATTATAATAGTTATATAATAATTATACTAATCGTCTATAATTTTCTTGCTTTAAAACGTAGCAGAATAATATATAATTCAATTTATTGTCTGAAAGATATTTATCAAGATGAAGCAATTTCTTTAATATATGAATGTAATACTTAAAATTCTCACACTCGTAAAACAACAACATGTTTCCAAATTCCAAGTTCCAATTTCATTCGGGAATACTAGAAATTGGGTGGTCAGAAAGATGCTACGATGAGAAGAGGGTGAAAGATTCCAGACATTTCCTTTTTAGAAGTCAATGGTTACGCCTCTGCAATAAAGTGAGTTTACAAGAGCTAATAGAGATATATGAAAAAAAACTTTAGTAAAAAAAGAAATACTTCGCATGTCTTTAACTCCGGCAAAATTAAAAAACTCGAATGTATTTGTTTGTATAACTTGTTATTAATTATTCATAACTATCAACAATCTACAGCTATATGTATAAATACTATTTTAATATTTTATTGTCAATTTCAATCAAATTGTGGCAGTTATTTTAGATTAATTTTTCAATATCAATTTTAATCAAATGACAATCGGTCTCTTAATCTACTTTATAATCAATTCCTTTATAATGTAATAAAAACGTTATTCTTTCGGCGAAAGACATGTGGACACATTCCTTTCGAACAACGTTGGTGGTAAAGACTTTTTGCGCAGTGCTATCTTTTTTTTAAGTTAACCAAGGGGATCTGTTGCCTTTGACTTGCAAGCATAAACTCAAAAAGGGTGTCACCAACGGCGATACAGTGTCAGGTGACCTTTTGGGGATTAACTCTGGTTAGCCGCAACACCTACGACGAAGATGAAAGAATATGCAGGGCAGGGGGGCGGCTTTTTACTGCCGGCGCCGTCACGCGCCGTCGATAAGCGCTTCTCTGTGGACCAAGAGTTTCGCGGTCTTATATTACTTCTAGGGTTAAAGTGTCAAAAGTAAACGGACGCGCAAGACCCCCCTTTGTGCCGACATACAGTGTATGATACTTTTGCGTTGAACGTAAAAGTTCTTTCGCAGAACAAGTTAATAAGTTCCTCTTTCGCGAACTAAATTAATTTTGTCGCGCAAGAATTTGTTTGAAATTCATAATTTTTTAATTTATAATAATGCAAATCAATTATTTTTTAATTCTTCCTTTATACTTGCATATCGAACTTGCACATAATTTGAATGAGATATGAATATATATTGATCGTTTACTTTCCTAATATTTACGCATACACACACATATCTTGTAAGATGTAATTCATACATATGTAATCTTTTAAACAAGAAAAATGATGAATATCTTTTTATCAAGTATCTTTTAAATGTTGTGCAACAAAAGAGCCGTTTCATATTTTCTCTTCTTCCTTTTTCTCTTTTAATAAAGAGCGAGGACATTTTTGAAAATATGGACGAGTGCAAAACGTTTAGCTGAACTGAGACTGTAGCTACTGACAGTCATTAAGCATACGCTTGTAATATGTTTACACAACGCAGTTCCTTGCGCAGCCATCAATCACGGTGTACGTCGTGGTCGGTCCACGGAGGCTTCAGACGCTCGAGTTCCATTTCGCTTCGTCGCCGTTAGTTCGTCATTTCCGACAGTCGCGATGTTAAGGTATGGTTTTCGCGATGATCAGCGAAGATGTATCCTCGGGTTATAATTCCGATTGCTAATTTAAATTATCATGTGAAATCAATACGATTCTTTCAATTCAAATCAATTCTTTCATAGACAAACGTCAAAGGAGAAATTTTGATAAATTTAAGATTTTTTCAAATTGAATGAAATTGTGAAGTATTTTGTATAACGAATGTTATACACGTTTTTTAATGTAAAATATATGCGTGTTTGTCATATATTTTAATCTGGCTCTCTACTATTTATCCTTGCAAAATTATAGAAAAGAAATATACACTTTCATATCACGATATAGATATTGTATAAAACTGGTATTGAATATTTATTAAAAGTTTCTAATTAAGAATTTATGAATTCAGAAATTAAAGAAGAAGAAAATTTGCTTGTAAAGTAGGATATTCAATCCACATTCGCGTTTTCTATAAAAAAAGAGGAGCAGGTTCGAGAGAAATAAGTGCACATATTTCATTATATTTCTTATGTTTATTCTTTGTTTGGTCATAAAAAAGAATATCTATTATATAACAGATGAAGGTCTTTAAAAAGAGGCACAATAGCATACCCGGGCGGCATAATTTATTAAGGCACTTAGTAGCCACGTTATTCTCACGAAGTGTCACGGCGCGTTTACTTTCCCGTCTTGGCTCGAGAACGTTTTAAGCTCGTTCGGCATTTGAGATACCTAATATAAATAGACGCACTTTGCTCCTACAAAAGGCACTTACTTGCCCTGGTCTTCCGCGACTTTACTAGCGACTTCGATCGGTCGATTCATCTCTTACGCGCGAAAAACCTAACTCGAAGAATTTAGAAAAATTTGAAAATGAATGATATCAAAATTAATTAGCGAATAAAATCTTAATTTATATTACTCATTATGTTTTGTTATTTTTTTTTATTGATATTTTTAATTAAGCTCATGTTTTAACGTAAAATGAAATGTTTACTTGTACGGACGTTACACATGAGAGAAAAAATTTGAATGTAAATTTCTAGATCTATTGTAATTTTATTTATGTAGACCCGCTTAACATTTTGCAAAAATATATTATGAATATTATCAATGTGATTAAGTAATGAATTAGTCGCTTAATATTATTGCTTATAATATAAATATATGAACCACTAGAAAATTTTTATTGCACGTAACTTGAATATATATATATATATATATATATATATATATATATATATATAGATTCATAATTTATATGTCAAATATTGGTACAATCTTTGGTACAAATTACATTATCGAGTATTAGCATTTAAGGCATCTCTATTAATTATTTTATCTTACTTTCAATTTTAAATAAACTCAGAAAACTATTATTATAAATAAAAATATAGCTATATCTAAACACTACAATATTTTAATTTACATAACTTCACGTAAAGCGATTCTCATGTTCGAAAAAAGAATCAGGACGAGAATAATGTGCAAATACTTTGATATTCCACTTTGTTTCTAAACATTAAGAAGGCACTAGGAAAATATAGTTTTTTCACGAAAGATCACATTTTTCCATCCAAAATAGACGCAAATTTCTATATATAAAAAAGAGAAATCATATTAACAATCGCCAATTTTCACGATCCACAAAGGAAGCCTTGAGAAAGACACTGAAACTCCATTCTTTATCTTTAGAACATATTAAATCTTCAGCGATAAGAAGTTACACAATGATTGATTGTCGCGACCTATAAGGAAAGGCACCAGGATACACGAAGATATATTTCATTCCCACTGTTCCTTCAATATACATTGAGTTCTCAATCAATGAGTTTGGTTATCACATTGTCCACGAAAAATAACATAACGAACGATATAAAAGTATGTTTTAATCTTCATCACTTTTCTTCGAACATCAAGTTGCCGATGTAGAAATCGATGAGAAGTAACAATGTGATACAATAATGATCAGTTATCGTGGTCCGTAAAGAGAAGCTCCTGAATGATGTGGATGCGGTTGCATATGCGTCGGATAATGAACCGCGTTGACGTGCGCCGACGGTTGTCCATGATGACTCGGATAATGCGTCCAAGGACCAGAGGCACTCGTCGCACCGTAAAACTGATGATGCTCTTGGGAGGTCCCGGTGCTGATACCCACTGGAATTTGCATCGGTGCTGGCATCGCGTTGTAACTGGACGACAGGACGGCAGGACCAGCGACATTTCCGGCCGCCGTGGCCGGCCTCTTGGCCGGACTCTGCATCCCACCGGCTACAGCAACAGACTCGCACTCGTCGGATTCGCAGTCCCGAAAGCCCTTGGCGAACGGATTGCTGGCGATCTTCAGCTGGGTTATCCGGTGATTCTGGTATGCGGTCACCGCGGTGAACCTGGTCTCCGGAAAGGAGAACGTCTTGAAATTTTCCGTGCGAGGATCCGGTGCTGAACCGGGCGGCGAGGGTGCGACTACCACGTGGCAGCGCGGCTGATAACGATGCATCGAGTTCAAGATAATCTGCAACGTGCGAAAGGATCAACGGTCTCAACGTGCGCGGAGAGAATGTGATTCTATTAACAACTTTACCATATTTTTTGTTGTGGATTTTTTATCATTCAAATTTTCAATCAGGTTTCACGCTCTTCTTGACAAACGCGCTAATAAATAAAATCGCAGAATATGAATCATTGATTTGGAGCAGGCGCCTCAAGTTGCGTTTATTATGAATTTTTAAGAAGAAAGCATATCATTATTTAAACTCAATCGTGGAAGATAAACTTTGTGATATTTATTTAAATTGATCAGCTTCACTTTAAAACAGAAAGAGAAAGAAAGTTGAAATTTAAATTTAATCATTAAATTTTATAAAGCCAAAATATTTTCTTCTTTTTCAATTTTATGATGCTACTATCACCACAAACTGGTGATTAAAAAAACACAGTATTACAAATATTGTGACAAATGTAGGTCGACAAACGTTTTCACGTAGCTCGATCGATGGCTACAATTTGGTAAAGTCGTCATCATCAGATGAGAAACTGACGGAGAAAAAAGGGTCCAGAAAGGAAGAAGAAGAGGAGGAATGAGGACACGTGAAGCTCGAATTCGGTGGAAGGAAGGAGCGCCACAGGGGGGCGGTCGCAATGTTTGACAGCTAGAAGAGAGTCGGTGACTAATTAGTGTAAAAACTAACCCCCGGCCCGCAATCCGACACCCTCGTCCTTCCCTCCGCGCACTCACGCGCATATGCTCCACGATGGCATGTATGTGTCAGTAGGCCCAAATACACACACATGCACACGTGTGTGTTCTACAACGAGAGGAAAAGCGCGTGTGGCCCGAAAATTGGGACGCCTTTTCTAGAAAGCGTATTTTTCACGATCAGTTTTTTTTGCTCTCTCATATTCTTCCTTCTAATATTCCTCTCTAATATTCTCCCAAAAATTTGAAATAATCCTTTATCATTTATACATCGCGCATTTCATGAGTATTCTACAATTTTTTTAAATCTGACAATTCTTTAGCTTATCTTGAATTTTCTCAACTAAACCTTAGACACGTCATGTTTTTCACGATTTCTTTATATCTTTTAAGACTTGGCTCTGTGTTTATACTAGCCTAGAGTTGTAATTTTACTCTCGTAAAGTCTATTTGAAGTAAATGAAATCTGGAACATTACAGTATGTGTATCATGTATACACAATCCATTTTTAAGACATTAATTATCCCGGAAACATAATACGCTTATTTTAAAATTAAAATTTTATTTCTATCAACCCATTGTGTTTCTACCTTAAAAATATGAAATCTAGGATCTAAAAATATTTAAAGAGCCATCTCGGAAATATTCGGAAACACCCCGCGATAGCGAGTATGTCAATTAAGGACGAGCATCAGCGGACATTCCTGACCCGCCTACGGATTTTTTATAGGGCCCGGTGCCACATTTTTCGATGCGCAATTAAAGGAACAAACTGCTCTGTGTAGCGCGAGAAAAAGAACTGCCTCTCGTCACGGGTCAGAGGTCTTCCCGCGAAAGAAAAGAGCGACATATATTCTTGAGAGAAACGCGAGCGAAGAGTCTGAGCACAAGTTTCCTCTTCTGTCGAGGATGTTTCGAGTGTCGAGAAATAAATCACGTCTCGAGAATACGTCGACTTTTATGATTTTACAAATCGAATGCTATACAGATTTCGTAGTGAATATATAGATCGATCGTGATACACAATCGAGGAAAGAAGATTCTTTATAAAAAAAAAATTACGATCGAAAATGTCAAATAAAATTTGATTACGTCAAGATTCATTTCTGAGGTAATTAAATTTAAAAATTAAAAAAAATATTAAAATTTTTTTCTATCTTAAATTTACATAACATTATTTCAGATATATATTATACATATATTCTCAAATATGTATACATCAGCAAAGTATGGCCAGAATATAAATAAAGATATAATATTACATCTCTGAATGACATGCAACTTTCTACTCGCTAATAATTCGCCCATAATTTAAATTATTTCTACCCAAGGTAAAAGCTCAATATCCTTAGACCTAAATCTCGTTCGTTGTAGGACCAACGAAACGATAATCAATCGCAAAAAAATTATACGTAACATAATAATCGAGAGCACCTGACCTCCTTCGCGACCAACACATGTGTACGATGTCGGCATGTCGCATGTCGTTCATTGGTATGCCGATACATCGCAACACTGAATCCGTTTCGCGATTACATTCGCGGTCGGCTTGATGGATTTGGCACGAACGCGGCCACGAGGAATTATTTTGAGCATCGTAAGCACCACCGCAGGTGCACCACGCCGCACGATCGAGAGAATCGAAGCGAAACCTCTTACGACAGCAAATGTATGACATTTGAGATGTTTTTTAAAGTCTTGACAATTCGTATGTTTAATATAGATAGAGAAAGAAGGTTCTCTTATAAAAATCGCAGATAAAACGCGCTTAAAAGAAAACGATATTATAATTAGAGCCAAAAGACAGTTGGTCGCGGTACATAAACATTTACATACGTTGCTGTTTTGATAACGATTCGATAAGAATTGCTAAATCATTTATATCATTTATATCATCGATATCATCGATAATTGTAGAGAGAAAGTTTTTGACATTCTCTTGCAAAAGTTAAAAATTTCAATCCACAAAATATATATCATATGAAATATTAATCTGAATATCTGTATAAATCAGTATAATGTAGATATCGGTACATATCAATCGAAAAAGAAGATTATAATCAAAGAAAAATAATGAAGGATCTGTGAGAGCCCGTAACGCGATTATTGCACGTAAAGAATCAAAATATCTTTGCTAAGAGATTAATCTGAGACTCAATACAAGTTGATATCGCTCTTATAAGACATGATTTTATTAGAATATTCAAACAATTCCAAATTCTGAAATAATCTCTTATTTAAAATTTGTTGATTTTTGTTATCTTTTGACTTAGTAGAATTATTCATTTAATTCTTTAATTAATTCTTATTCTATATTACACCAAAATAATTCGTAAGAAGTAAATTTTTTTACGCCTCGTAAGCATTACGCTTCTGCGAGAGATTTCACAATCGATTTCGAATCAAGATTGACGTTATACGAGCGAAAAATGAGTCAATATGCTGATCACTGCTAATTCTTTCTCGAAGTATACACTGAACGTTACACAAAATCTACGCCTCTTTCCCAGAGCCTCTATGGCATGCATAGTTTATATTACATCTGTTTACATTACTCTTTATATACATACGATGCTCTTGGCTCTACTCGTGGCGACAGGAAGGCAAGATTAATATGCTGCAGACAGGACTTGAGCCTTTTTAAATTGCATTAACCCTTAAAAATGCACAATTATTACAATCTCTTCCCACGAATAATTCTTCTATCTTTGAAAAACTCACATTACAAATAACAGAATAAAAGCTTACAATACAAAACTCAAAAGTCATATAATATGTAATAATTGCAATCATAATATTGAAATTTTTTAAAGGAATGGAATATGTATTTAACGAAATTTTCACGGATGTGAGACTGTTTTAGAGATTTCTTTTATATATTTATGTAGATGTAATATTTCATATCGTCGACGTATTTCGTGTGATAAAATAGAATCGTGAAGTCTTTAAATCGTCTTTAACCGCGTATCGGTCTCAGTTATAAAGTTAATTATTTTAAGACAACCGGCACATGTGACGCATGTTCCTTTGGAAAGAAAGAAGTGTGATCGGCGAGATACATTAATCTACGACCGGCGTCTTTTAAACGGCGAACAATCCTCGTGAAAATGTCGCGTTGCGCTGTTTCTCTTCATAATTTCTCTCGTAAGCGACAGGCTCGTATCTCAGGTCAATTAAGGCGAACTCGTCCGTAAACGACAAACACGTGGAAACCCTCGTCTTCTCGTTCTACTTTATTACATAGATGTATTTTACGAAACGACTGATTGAAAAATTCGAATAAAGTTACGTCATGGTAAAATCATATAATGGCGAATTTTATGATTTAGCAAATGTAGCTCTGCTTCAATTACACTTCTCACAAACAATTGGTACTTGATATTATAAAAGAATCAATTTTCTAAATTAATTGCTTAAATATCTTATTCCTTTCTTCTTCTGTAGATGAATGTAAGATGATATTAGTTATTTAAAAGAGATTCTGTAACATTAGATAAAATCTAATAGAAAAAGAAATAGATTCTAGAAATCTAATTGAAAATTGATATTGAAGGTTGTAAAATTAAAATTTGCCAAGTACTAAAACATTTTTGATAACGTGTCTTTTTATATCGTTTAAATAACATGAAAAAGATTATTTATTAAAAGAGATAATTTTAAAATACTCTTTAATGCATTATTATATTTTCTGCTATCGTGAATGTTTCGATCGATGTCATAACTTACATGTCCGTTATCATCAAGTTGATTGTTCGTCAATTTTAATTTGTCGAAGGAGATTGGTTGCTTCATCCAGTGAGCGCCGCTTGCAGGACTGTCAGGATGCACGTGAATCCTGGGGGGTGATACAGGATCAGCACGACCCGCGACAACCCAAGCGCTGCTGTGGAACGCATATCGGTACCTTTTATCATCACACGGAACGAAATCCATCACCATCAGATATTCCGTGTTGGGATCCAAACCGAACAGTCGACACTGTCGATTACCAAAATCTCCATCATTTCACGTACTTTCTTCGTCCATTTCGCGTAAAATATTCTTAATCAATCTGATTATCTCGATAAAATCGTTATCACGATATTTTAGATTAAGAAAAAATCCACGAATGAAATTTTCTTATAGCTTTCCTATATTGATGTAATTTAATTTGAAAAAGATTCCGTTATTATATTGACACTAATTTGAAAAAGACAATAATTCCATATAAAAGAGCATCTCGAAAATTTAAAATAAAATTTGTTCGATAAGGATTTATTTTCAAGAAAATTAATATTGAAAATTGATTGACTTAAAGTTGAATAACTTTCCAAAATTAAACTTTTAATTACATCATCCAACGACAATTAAATAGTGGCTATCAACTCATAAATATAAATAAAATTATATTAAAAAAAATATTATTAAATTATCGAATGAGAGTTATTTATAAAATTCATTTTTAATCTTACTCAAGTATTGTATATATTTATATATATATTTTAATAATCAATCTCTTTCAGATTGTATCATCAATAATAAGTCTTTACATCGTCTCGGTGTTTTGTTTTTAAAGTTTCAAACGAATATTATCTTCACCTGAAACGTGGGAAACATTCTTCGTCCTGCTTTCGTAACAATCATCTCGGTGCCTAGTTGATGAAATTCCTCCCATAGTGGCTTTGCCTCCAAAGCTGCACCGGCGCCAACTAGCGCCGGATGAAGCGGCCGTTTCGCACCTAATTCCTCGACGGAGGATGCACCGTCATCGCTCGGATGATGATCACCGTGGTGACGATTGTTGTTATTGCTGTCATTGCGAGATTCTGTGGCTGACGGAGAGATTGGGTTCGCCGTTTGGACCGGCAAGGCGACCTTCATTGGATTCGGACTGCGCGATCGTTTTACTCTTCCGGCGCTCTGCAAACAGGCTAAAAGGACAACGAAAAACGATTCAACAAACATAAGTACAATATTTGATAAAATTTATGAAAAATAACATTATGTTTTATTTAGAGTACTTCGCATTAAGCGTGCTCTTTTTTAATTGCGGATTTTTTGCAAATTTGTAGACAACTTTTCTTAATTAAAATGTCAAGACAAGTCATCTTATTTGTCATAACTTTGCGATTTTTAAAATATTATATTATTAAATATATATTTTTATAATAGCCGCAAATTAAAATTCTTTTCTTCTTTCTTTCTATTATAATATAAAATGAACCATTTCTATTACAATTTAATTAAAATGAAAAAACATAAAATTTCATTATCTATTTGTTCCCTCTTTTGAAAAAATTTTCTTAGTTTTCAAAGTCTTTCATTTTTATCTGCTTTTAACTCAAAAACTCCAAAAATAATCTTCGATTTTTTTATAAAGAAAAAAATCAACTCAAAATTGACTGAAAAATTCATAATTTAAAGAGTATTGTTAGTGGACTTATTATTAGTGAGAGATACTTCCATAGATATAATCTTAATCAATTGATTTGCATACGAAAAAGATAGTGAAAAATGATTGAGAAATTGACGAATTTAGACTTACCAAAAACGCATTACATATTTAGCAGGTTGTTTGTCAAGTCAATTTTATTAAAATTAACTTGTTTTCCAAATCGCAGTTGAGTTTTCTCATTTTTACTTTATTTCCATCGTGATATAAATTATTAAATTTTTATATAGAGCCGTTCAATATTGAAAACATCAAAAAGTTTCAACATTAATAATTTAAGTTTTTTCTAATGTGATATTAATGTGATAATGTCAAAAAGCTTGATGAATTTACAACACTTTCTATTTCGTTCAACATTTTTATTATTACGATGGATCATATCACGTAATTATTTTTCTATTAATCCACTAACATTTCTTTTTTCCTCTTTTTTACTCAAGCAAATGTCATTTTATACAACTTGCTCGACATTAATTAATTTATATCATTTTTTAAATTACGAATTCGAAATTTGAAGAACTATATTGTAGAATCAATGTGTTTTCTTTGTCCTCTAAAAAAACCGATAAGTACCATGCACCGTAGAATGCAATGAAAAAACTCGGAAAGCTCGATGTGCGAATTAAAAAGAAGCAGTTGTGAAAACTGAGAATCGCGTCGCCATTTCGACGCATACATAAATGTATGTTATTTGGACTTTCTATAAATTTTGTATATATAAAAACATGATATTATAATAATATGAAGATACATGAAGTAAAGAATCAATTATTACAAACAAAAAAATTATAGAGTTCTATAATTTAAATAAAATTTAATAGAGAGACAGAAAAAAATATATCATGTGTGAATAATAGTGATAGAATAGTATAATTTGAAAACGTATCTATATCTCTAAATAAGATAAATATGATATTTAATTAAAAAGTCCTAAAGTTCGGTTTTGAAATATAAATACTATATAGTTTATTAAAAGTTAATTAAGATTAAAATTCCATCTAAATTAATCACACAAAAATGGCTTTGAAAAGATATAATATAAAAACGCAAACATTAAGCAGAATTTCGCTATTATAAAGATAATCTTAAAAAGGATCAAAACATTCGGTGAGATCATTTCGTTATTTTAATTTATGTTTATATTAAATAGATTAATTACGATGTAAATTCGCGTCTGGTTCTTATTGGTTCTGTATGTATCGTGTGTTGTATGTGGTTTACCTTCCATTTGTTGCATCGGTGATGGTATAGCAGTCAAATGTGGATGCTGGTGATGGTGATGATGATGATGATGATGCGTCTGCCATTGCTGGTAACAGCAATCAGCGGTAATTTCGCGTCGTTGTTCGTGTTGCGGTTGCATCTTCGTTGACAATATCAGTATCAATTATTATTATACCAATTGTTGCGATGAAAGATACACACAATTCACGTGTGGATTCGTAATCCATGTGATGAAATTTTCAATTTGGTCTACACTGTAATCACAATTCGTTGACATTTTGAACTTAATTAAAAGTTTGCGGAAAAACAACACTTTGCGCACTAACAAATTATTTTCATCATCATCATCGTTAATTCATCAATAAATTTTCATTCAAAGATACACACGTTCAATGCACCTTTAACTGAGAAAACACGCACTCTCTGAAAATTATCCGAATAATTATATATGTACATAACTATGTATCATAATTGATAATCGCGTGCACTAATCGTTCATTAATTATTATCTCAACTCGCGCTTTACAAGATAGCGTTTTCATCGGGAAAATTTCTAGTCGTCTCCCTTTCTCACTTCCTCTCCTCTTTCTCTCTCTTCATTAATGTCGTCGACAACGTAACGCGAAACGAGCGATTTCTTCAGCATCTCTCGCGACTACCTATTGAAAGAAGATCCGACCGTGGTTTCAGCAGTGTCCCGATTCTGACCGAGTACCCGACGAGCTCCGACATCGTCGAGAGGCTGTTCTCTGCCGTCAACAGGACTTGTCCTCACCTCGGTGTCCGGACGCTGACAAGGACGCTCAAAGCCGCGCGGATCCCGGATGAATCAGAAAGAACTCGCTCGTGGCTACTACCTCGCGACTTATCATCGAGACATTATTCTCTCTCAAGTAAAGAACGTTATTTCTCTCTCTCTTTCTCTCAGTTTCTCTTTAGCGGATTCGTTCTGAAGAAGAAAGAGAGAGAATAACATAAGGAGGCACGCGGAAGAAAGGAGGGCTTTTCTGAGGATCCTCCTACACGAGCACCCACGCTGATCGGCGATGGGATGCTGCATGGATCCTCTGTCTTCTACTTTGATGTTGGAAGGCGGAGTCTTGGTGAGTCAGAAATGTTAGGGGTAGGTGCAATGGACTCAGGAATGGACCTTTTCATCTTGCCGCCCGGGAATACATTTTTCAACCCTATATGCAAAATATATTCCACATACAAAATGATTCATTATGTGCATAATACAATCGCGAAAGAAAAACTCTATACAAAAAGATAAGTTAAAAATACGTAAAGGTTTTAATTTTTAAAAATTCAACTCTGAAAATCTTTGGAAGATTAATAATTTTAAAATTTAAATAATTTTTAATTTAAAGTTTACTTAACGTTATTATAAAGTACGAATTATACATATTGAAGAAAATAAGTTATATTCGTGGAATAAAGAAAGGAGAGAAAGAGAGAGGAGATATAAGGATTAAGTTAAGATTTTAAGTCTTTCAATTCAATCACAGCATTTCCTTTCACAGAGTTATTTAATAATATAATTATATTATACGTACATATTATATATATAGTGCCGAATGGAGTATAATTAACTTTACTTAGGTTCACTATACTTATACTTATTTCATTCTGACACATTCATAAGAGTCTCAAATTTCGTTAATATATTCAATATATATTTGATAAATTCGCATATATATACACATTCGAAGATGTAAAATTTCTTACGCGCGCGTAAGGAATCACTCTTTCTTTTCATCGTAAAACTTTTTTTAGATTGATCGATTAATGGTGTGCGCGCAAAAAACATTTGTATTTTTTTTATTTTTATGAGAAACATCTTGATGGAATTTTGAGCATCGCAATAAGTTAAAGCCTTAAATGTGTGAAATAAGCGAATTAAAATAAATTTTGCATAAATTATATTCTTTGCTTTCAAAGATCGATAGATTATACCATTGGCAAGATTGTTCACTTATATCGATAATCATATTATTCCGATACTATAATACATGAAGTAGAAATAAAAATATAATCTTTAAAAAGATTATAATTTTCAAACTCAATTTTTATGAGACTCCTTGATTTAAAAAATCATACTTCTTTTAATTCATCTACTTTTCATAGATAAGTATTCTTTACTCCTTGTTTTAACGTACTTCTTTCATGCTTCTCGGTATCTCTTTCACGGTTTTTGCGAGTTCGATTAATTTATCTTTAGATTGCTATTGGTGTACTATTATTTTTTTTCGCGATATTTTATTTTTACCATCGCTTCGCATCGGTCTTAAAGAAATATCTCACTTAGTAAGAAAAAAAATAACAGCTTTCCAATAAAAGCGTTTTTAGAGCGTACTTTGGCTTCCTGCGGCGCATATCAATATCCCATTTTCTTTCTTTCTCTTTCAGTAATTAATAAATTTTCAATTATTAATATTATATGTATATAATTAATATTATATGTATATAATTATTAATTATCAATAATGTTAATGGAATTGTTAAGAAAAAGAGAGAAGAAATAAATATAAATCTATTATTCAAAAAAAAAAATAAAAATAAAATAAATGATATAAATGTTTTCTTGGCTATCTCATAATTTTGACTATATTTATAATTTATATCTATAATAATCCTTGTATAAGAAAGATTCTTAATTAATCTATGCTTTGAACATATCAGAAAGTTATGTGAAGAAGATAGTGATTGATACGTTATTGATCATAAATCAATGTATAATTTTTTGTTTTAATTGTGCTGTCTACATGTAAGTTCTACTTTCTTTTCTTTTGATTTAAAATATATACTTATTATATTTTAAACGCAAAGATACAACTAAAATAGATCTTTTATTTATTGTTCCTATCAATAAATGAAAAGTTTAATTCAAGACTTAATCGTATTAATATTGTTCATACTGTATTTAAATTTCCGAAGATTACGAGTGATAGTGAACGTGCGTCGCAAGGAGCTTAATAAGACGAGATGATAATTGGTGTTATCGGCTTAGCCCTCTTGTACACATGTATCTCTCTTAATACGACGCAGATAAAATTACAGCCGCCGGAACGATCATATATCTAAATACAATACGATTAATGAGAAAAAACTTCGAATTAATGTTTTTTAGATGAGCAGATATTTACATAGATGTGAAGACTATGAATGCGTTACGGACGTTCACGTTATTCTAAGTATCGTATATAGTGCCTATATCGCGCATTTTTCTTATACATTTTACATACATACGAGATATTCACGAGACAAAATTGAAATATATCACGTTCTATTCGCTCTATTCACTTCAGAAATAGACGGGATTGAACTCTCATATTGGAAATTGCCAACCGGAATGATGGATATATGTATGTATGTATCGATTGAAGAGATGACGGATGCTTTTATGTGAATTTTATTTATAAAAAGAAATTAATGTGTGTACATGTATGAAGAGAGGAGGCTAAACATGATCGGTCTCAAGATCTCGTAAGATCCTTACGTCGTGATTTTTTTACGTAGATATCGTATTTTCTTTTTTTTTTTTTATATTATCGAGGATGAATCTGTACTCTGTGCATTGGCTAATGGAAATGCTGAAGATAGAGATGCAGTAGGGAAACTAAATAAAATGAATGTGTGGAAAGCGAGGAAGATGGATAATGTTAACAATAGTAATGATTCGATTCATACAGGACTGTCTTGATCGAGAGATGGAAAACCCTCGATCGTAAAAAAACACGTTTCTTTCTTTCCGTATTATTTCATAATTAAACGCCTATCATAAAGTGATACCAATGTGCGCTCTCGCATGTATTTATTAATCATACGATTAATCTTCTCGCGTTTACAGATATTGTATGTAGTGTCGTTGATATTAATTAATCCAGAGAAGCCTTGCTACCATAATAATCACAATACAAGTACTTATTTTCGTCATAAGACAATAATGTATACATTCGAAGTTCATTAAACGTTTTTGACACTTGTTTTTAAAGCGAAACTTATTTTTTTGTCTCTCTTTTTCTCTCTCTCCGTCCATCTATTTCTTTCTGTATTTCACAATTCATATATAAATGTATATTTATAAAAGTACGTATGATGTAATAGAAGTCGTTTACAAATTTGTGCAACTTACAGAAGTATCGAGCTATATAAATACCTATTATATTTTAAAGAATTAAGTCTAGGCAATCGCTCTAGTTATTACTTGTATATCGATATTTTCATTAACAGCGTACTTACATAATGAAATGAAGTGAGAGCAGCATATGTATATGATTTTGCAATATAATTATCACGTCGATTTTTGTCACAGCGCGAAATGATTGAAAGAGGTCTTCTTGGCAAATTAATGCTGATAACACTGATGAATGAATGAAAAATGAACCCCAAGATAATATGAGATTAATTATTGAGAGATAATGTGAAGAATTGTGGTGAGTTTTGGTGCCATTTTGCTTATTTTTCAACCTTGCAATTGTTAAGAATGTTATTGGCAATCTTGCACACAATCTTTTTTAATCTTATCGTTGATAGATCAGGTTTTCTACTATTTTATACAGTAACACATTTAGCTACAAACATACTCTATCATTTACTACTTTCGACAAACTCTGTGAAAAGCAACGCCTCTCCGGATTTTCTGATAATTGTCCCGATTCATTATTACTACTATTTCTGCAGGCTTCATAGTCAATTGAAAATAATAATAATAATAATAATAATAATAATAATAATAATATAATTATAATAATAATAATTATTATTATAATTCTTCTCTCTTTCCCTCTCTCTCACTCTCTCTCTCTCTCTCTCACTCTTTCTTACAAGGACGTAACGTCTTAATAGATGGTGGGTCGGGGAATAGCAATTGCAAAATCCTAAGCATCCCATTTGAAAAGACAAGTCTAAGGATTTCACTTCTTCTTATTTTTGTTATTTGCGCCTCGCGGTGGTGTCACTGGCCGTCCCGCATTCAAACCACCGTAAGTGAATTTTCTCTTATCGGCTGGTTTTAAAATCTGAAAACTGCACATGAGAGTTTCGTCTACTGACATCATGGCACCTGCATTGTCAAATTCGCCGCAATAATTCGGAGCTGAGAATAATGTCACCAATTGCCGTTTAGCAAAGAATTCATAACCATCTTCCACCACCTGAGCAATAATATTTAGATTTTGTGTGAATGCATTATACAAATTATACAAAAAAAAAAAAAATATCAAATTATACAAAATTATAAAAAGAATATATCAAAATATATATTTATATATTTAAAATATTTTTACCTGATGTGCACGACATATAAGATCAAAGTCATGTTTGTGTAAAAATTTGGCAACGACTTCTGCGCCAAATGTGAACGATACACCACGATCGTTTTCGCCCCAACCCATAGTGTCTTTATCAGGGTCAGACCATAATAAATCACAGAGCAATCCTTGATCAGGTACATCTGTTGGTCTCATGATACGTCTGATTTGCTCCATGCTCTGCAAATCTGGACTCAGGCCTCCGTGACAGCAAAATATCTTTTCATCTACTATCGCGGCAACTGGCAGGCAATTAAAGCAATCGGTGAACGTTTTCCATAGTTTAATGTTGTAACGACGTTTACCTAAAATATAATTATATTTATAGAGATAAGCAAGTGAACAATGGGAAAAAAAATTATGAAGATATTTCATATTCACAATAAATAATTACATTCATCATAAAATCCATATATCCTATTGATGGATGCACATTCATGATTTCCTCTCAACAAAAAAAAATTTTCTGGATATTTGATTTTATAGGCAAGAAGGAGACAAATAGTTTCTAAAGATTGTTTCCCTCTATCAACATAATCTCCTAAAAAAAGATAGTTGCTCTCGGGAGGAAAACCACCGTACTCAAATAATCGCAACAAATCGTAGTATTGCCCATGAATATCACCTTGCACAAAAAATGTTATATCAATATTATTAAACATATATTTTTCGCTTGAATTAAAATAACTTTTTTTTTACTTATAACATTTGCTTACCACATATCTTCAATGGTGCTTCGAGTTCTAAAAGAATGGGTTGTGATAGAAAGATCTCACGTGACTTGAGACATAATCCTCTAATCTCAACTTCTGTCAACTGAACATTTTTGCCTGGTCTTGCTCCTCGTACTAGAAAAAAAATATGAAAAGATCATACTTTGATGACAATAGTATTTATAAATATATTACAATTATATATTGTGAATTGTATTATTCTTATAATACATATTTTCTATATATAATTACTCATACATCTTTCAATATATAATTACTCAACTTTTGTAATAAAAGAAATCTAGAACATAGAATAAATCAATATCATGTATATTCACATGTGCAAAACATTAGGTGCATTTTGTACAATTGCTTAGTAAGCAGCTATTGATGATAGATATACATTATAACATCTATTCAAAATTTTAAAAAACTATGCCAATTATAAATGTTCAATAAGCAACGCTGTGCTAAATGCACCTGCTATAATAATTAATTCGATATTCTCAGCACCATTAAAACTTCAAATATATATAAAGAAGAAATAAACATTTCAACCATTTTTTAAAATATGAAACGATTGATCGTAAACTGATTGACAATAAATCATAATCAATCTATGTTTCATATAAAATTGCAAAAAATCTTGTACTGAACATTTAAATCGATGAGCTACACGTAGGTCATTATATAAATGAGAATTTTGTCAACGAAGACACTTGCTTCATTAATATATTCTTTCCCTTATTTTCCAGGGTACAAAACAGTTTAGGCGTCAGATAGTTCAATGCACTCATAGATAAAATGAATAATCTTCGTTTAGTTATCGACGTGAAAGTAGAGACCCGATATGCAACAATAGGACTTTATCACGGAGAGACGGACCTCGCCCAGAGTCACGGCGAAAGCGAGATGTATATGCGGTTGTCGACCGCGCATTTTTTACGTAAACAAACTAACGCGAGGACGCGAATCTATCGAGATGCGATCATCTCGGGGATCTCGGGGACATTGCGTAACGACAGGGGGTAACAAGACTGTGATTCAGGGCGGCGTTTTCGTGCCCTTTCGAGGGAAAGATCGAGTCGCGGGCGATGTCGTAGCATCGTCGAGGGAGCGTAGCGAGGAGGATCGCGAGGATGACGACATACGAGACGCGACATACGAGAGCGAGCCGAGCCAACGACGTTAGCCGCGATGCGTCGCCATCCCCCCCTTTTTCTCTTGCTTGCTGTAGTAGAGCGCATCGACCAGTTTTACCTTCCAAGAGCCGAGCTATGATGTTGTCGATGTTTAACTTGTCGGTTTCAGCCATCGGGCCGGAGTCTAGTGCGCGTCCCGGGCCTCACACGGAGCACCTTATCACGAGGATGACAGTCGATCCGCCTGGATTTCTTCGCTTGCGTGTCGCACGACACTCGGGATCGCGCTCGCGACTTTAACGTACAAGGTACCTCGCAATGGCCGCCCGGATAACCGCGCACTCCACTCCCTTCCGCCTCTTTCTCTTCCTTCCCTTCCGCCGTCCCTCCCCCCTATTGCTTTCGGAGCCACGCCGAGAGCTCGCTCGTCCGCTTCTCGATCACTCGAGCATGCGCACTAGCCGTGGTTCTTTTTTTTTTTCTCTTCCTTCCTTCTCGAACGACGCGCGACGCGTTATTCGGCGCTGCCAATGTAACGAGATGATCGTACACACCCGGTGATTCCGGTTAGAAGAGAATCCCTACGCACTACGCACGCGTGGAAAAATCTCACGAGGGAGAAGTTTGGGAGCAACGATTTTTTTATACATCGCAAAACTATCGCTGGTGTAAATTGTGACGATTGTCAGCTTCTGTAATCTGTAATTTTCTAGCCAACACCGATAAGAGATGCCGGAGAACGTGGTACTTATACTGTATTTTGAGGAAATTTTCTTCCCTCTCTTTCATTATTTGTTTTCTTTATTTAATTAAATTAATACTTTGCGATCTCGATTGATTCATTACCGATCGAGATTACATCACAAGAGCCGATAGGTTATGCGTTATTCTTTCGAGATAAAGTACAAAAGGCGGAAACATCTTTTTTTTAATAGCTCGGTCTGTTTTATTTTGCTTTCAACTTCCATGCATATTTAGATATACGTTTATCTTGCTTTATATTCTAAATCTTGTATTTTGTAATTTTTCAAAATAGTTTTTTGCTTTTTGTTTTCTTTTTTTAAGCTTAACGGCGATCATATTGATGTGAAAGGTGCCAACTGCGAGACTCAGGACAATGATGAAGAGAACGTTGAAAATGATGTACATTTTGAACCTATAGTTTCTTTACCTTTAATAGAAGTGTCCAGCAATGAGGAAGATGAGACAGAGATGTTAAAACTGTAAGTTAAATAACTATAAGAATATTTATATAATAGATTTACAGAATAATATACGTGTAATATTTTTTTATCCCCAGACGAGCAAAATTATATCGTTATGATACATCGAATATTCCAGCAGAATGGAAGGAGCGTGGCACAGGAGAAGTCAAACTGTTAAGACACAAAACAAAAAATACAGTTAGAGTAGTTATGCGCAGAGACAAAACCCTTAAAATTTGTGCTAATCATTTTGTAACTCCATGGATGGAACTGAAACCAAATTGTGGTAGTGATAGGGCATGGGTTTGGAGTGTACTTGCTGATTTTGCAGATGAACAACTTAAACCGGAATTACTCGCAATACGTTTTGCGAATGTTGAAAGTAAGTTTTAATTTAAATTTTAAGAATAAATACATTAAAAATCTTATTTTTATAAAAAACAAAACATGATAAATAAAAAAATATATTCATATATTCTTTTATTTATTTCCTAGATGCATCAATGTGGAAAGAAGCGTTTGAAAAAGCTAAAAAGATTGTGGGATCTGAATGTGAAATATATGCTGGCAAAAATAATCCAGAACAGAAGCAAAATATTGAAAGCAATAGTGAATCCAGCAGTGATGTAAGTTATGATGAAAGCACTGATAATGAAGACCAGGGAAAGTTGCTTAAACAGACTGGAGAATCTGCTGTGATTTCTCAGCAAAGAGAAATTGAGAAAGTACAGACAGCATCAGCAGAAAAGGAAGATGTAGTAACAACAAATGAGGAGAAAATAATCAACGAAATAACAAAGTTAAAAGTAAAAGATGAAGGTGAGAAAAAGTAATGAATTACATATATATGCATATATACATACATACATACATACATACATATATATATGTGTGTGTGTGTGTGTGTGTGTATGTATCCAGAGACACAGATAACAGAGGAGTTTTTATTATCAAATATCACATTCCGATTTTATGCACACAGACGTGCATATCACATGCCATTAAAGTTTTATTATTTAAGCATCAATAAATATATAGATACATTTTTTAGCAATGTTATAGAAAAACTGAATAAATTTTCAAGTTACGCGATAAAACTGTATTTATACGAATGTTACATATTATCTGTGATTTTTTTAAACTGGGAGTAAATCAATACAAAATTGCATTTGTACTGGAAAGAGTGTAAATGAAAGAATGTGTGTGTGTCAACTGTTAGAGGAACAGAAAATTAATAAATACAACGACAATTGTATCAACAGAAAATCTTCCAAATTTTATTTATTCTTTAATTCAGGAAGATGATTTATGCATTATATCACATTTTTCTATTGATAGTTAATGATTGCATACCATGTCTGTCTTACACATTAACAATATCAAGTTATATGTTGAAAGAATTGCAAGTATATCACATAATAATATAAAATTGGTCAATTTGTTGTGTATTTTACGACATAATATCTAATTTATAATTTCTGATAATAGCATATTTTCTTTTTGGAAAGTAATATTTGTCAATAAATATTAATTTTTGCTGTTTTTTTTTTTTTTTACATATAACAGAGAAATCAAATTATTATATTTACTTAAATAGTTAATAATTTGATAGATAGATATATTCCTGGATGTAAAAAACCTATGTTTTTAATATTTATCGCCTAGTTTGTCTTATATTTATATTTTGAATCTGTATAAAGGAACGCAAGCACAACAAATAACCAATTGTATAAATAGCAAATAGTCTTTTACATATTGCATAAAGTATAATTAAGAAATGCTTCATCACAGAAAAGTTCAATAAGGAATGAAACAATATTATGATATTTTGAATAATATCCAAATATGTGTATTCCAATTGACATTTATATATAATTTGATGAAACGGATCAAGGAAGCCATTAAAAAAGCAAATAATCGATATTCGAATTAAAACTCAATTATTAAATGACATTTGGATAATTAATAATAAATTTGATTATAGTTTTCTACAGTTCATCCCTTGCTGAAAAAGATTGTAAGATATTTCGTCTTTCTTCCATCGTACGTTTCTTTTGATTGGATAATTTTCCTCTATAAAGAAGCCCCTGTACTCGCGTTTCTTCTGTTTGTACAAATATATCTCCCCGTTCCAAGATTTTCTCCATAGTCTTTACGTAAATCTTTGCAGCTTCCCGTTGCTCTTCTGGTAGAGTCTCTTCAAAGATCCTTGCTTTCTTTAATATTTCCTAAAAAAAAATGGAACATCCTCTTGTTGTTTGTTCTATTGTTTTATATTAAATTTATAAATATACAAGGTACATACAAGAAAAATTAAAAAATATAAAATACAAAAGAATACTTTTTAATATCTATAATTACTCCGATCTTGATTTTAAAAAATTTCCAAATTTTTGCTTCTTGAAAAATAATGTTCTATTCATCTAACATTTCAATAGAGTATATCTTTCTCATTTTATTAACAATTAAATTACCTGTCTCTCCTTTTCGTTCGCGGCTTTGAATTCCTCAGCTAGCTTATCTAACCGTTCCACACATCCTGGTAGGCCTAGATATACTCTCGACTTGGATCTGACAAATCGCTTGAGGTATTCACCGGTGAAATCAGAATCCCTCTCGGGGATAAATCTGATCGGTCCCGATTTACCTTGTATGAATAATAAGACTACTGGGAAGTCCTCCTTCTTGATATTATAGCGTTGCGCTAGATCGGAATTATCCTTATTGCCAAAGTCTTTGACTCCTACTGTAGCTATCAGGAGATCCTGCGAATCCTTGGTATCGGCTGCTACTGTCGCGTATTGTTCGTGCTTGCCACCATACGGAAACGCAACGTCGAATTTAACAAGTACTGCCTTGAATTTAGGGATCACCTGTGGTGATAAAAAAAAGAAGTTTTCTATGAAAGGTTTCCAGAGAATACCTTCTGCAAAATCCTTACGTATTCCTAAGTATTAAGTAATCCCTAAATATTAAGAAAGTTGCAAACAAGTGCTAATAATTGAAACCGTTAAACTGTTTCACGCTTGCGAAGAGAAAGACTATTGATATATTTTTTGGAGATATACTTTTGAATGTGGACATCAATGTATTTGGCTATATGTATATTTTTCTTTTCTCTTTTTTTTATAGTCGAATTATATCTTCCTATATCCTATATATTTATAGTACATTTAAAAATGCACATAAAAGAGTGCAACGATAGCATTATCACCTATTCTTGCTTCAATAGTTATACAAATGTCAGTCACGATTTTAGCGATTATTATGAACATATTGTTCTATGGAAACTATTTTTATTGAAATTTGTATCATATTGTATTTTGAAGAAGTTAATTTTTTCATGAATTTTAATCAAATCAAATAAATTAAATAGTCAATGGATTAAATAGTCGTTGGATTAAAATGCCTTTTGAACTATGAAAACATCGCTATTATAAACATTTCAAGCGATTATTTAAATAAAATATCATATATACACATATTAATTTTTTATAATATGTTCTGTCTCATATATTATTTCATTAAACTTTTAGCTATATACATAGCTAAAAAAATAAAAGTTTTATTTTAAAAAAATAATTAACGCGCCTTTAATGATTTCATTAAATTAAAATTAATTTAATGAAATCATTTCGTTTTAAAACTATAAAATAAGTTGAACTTATTGAACTTATTTCTGAAAAATTTTAGTTCTTTTATTATAATTATATCTGTGATAAATTATAATAAAATATTCGTGATTAAAATTGTGTATTTGCAATTAATTACAACTATATAAATTCTATTCTTTCAAAGAAATGTGTCCCGATTTGTCCTAATAGAATAAATCAATTTACTATGAATAAATAACATTTATGAATCAAAGAGTACGAAACTTGCCAACGTGGCTGATTACTCGTAACTATAGTAACTTTAAAGCTAAGGTAGTAAAAATCGATCGAACATTTCATCTCCATCACTTTTTAAAATTGTAAAGAAAATACAAATACACACATTTCTATTTTTATCTCTTTTGATTAAATTATTTGTTAAAATTTTCTAAAATTAAAAGCAGTTTCCGCAACTATATTAACATAATTAAGTCAAATTTCATTGACAGACAAAATTTTCTTATTTTACATACCAGATATAAGCAGCTCGTATAATAAAAATAAAATATATTTTACAAATGTTAATCTAATATATTTTTGCGTATTGTTTTTAAATTAAAAGAATCTGGCGAATCTCGATTTATACTATTTGATATCGAAAATTATCGATCGTGCTTCCCACGCTTTTTTTCCATACCTTGTCGAACGAATAGGAGTCCAAAGGCACGCATCCCTTACAATCTTCACCGGTAGTAACATGTGAAGCGATGACGATGACGAGCATAAACACGAGGCTCGATCGAATCATGATCCGAGAGATTTTGGTGTTCGTGCGATTTCACCTGTCTGCTCAAAGTCAGTCAATTAACTACCCTGTTCCTTCGACTTTGCCGAAACGAACGGCACTGTCCTCTCCGCAGTCCGCACAGCTGTAAATGACACTTGCGAAACGCGCGCACGTAATACGCGACTGGAAAACACAGCGACGACGTTAACCGTTCAATGACCGGCCACGTACCGGTCCCGGTTAACGCGTCTGATCGAATTCGTGTAATTATCTATCTGCATGCGCTTATCAAAGTGGAGTAGATCAAGTAGAGTAGAAGATCCGACAGAAACATATACAGTCGATTTCCTCTATATTCTAAGATTCTTTATTCTAAATTTTTCTCTATTCTCAATCAGCTGTTTTCTCTCACAATTTGCTTCTCCTCTATATTGTTTTCTTGCATTCGCCACGTGATTATATGACCATCATGAGTGAGAAAAAAATTAATACATGACAGAACTTACGATATTTTAATTTTACGAATGTACTAATAGAATAAGTTTTAATATAAATAAAAGAAATCGCAAAAGGAGAGATCCTAGAATACAGAAAATATTTGATCCTGATAATTTTAAAATAGGGGAAATTTATCCTTTACTTTTTTTTCATAGTGCTCTCCCCATTATTATGAATTAATGACCAAACAAGTATCTTACTCCAGTATTATGTACTTAAATATATCAAATTTCTAAAAAATTCAAAAAAAAATATTGTTAAAATAATATTTCAAAATAATATATTTGTCTAAATAAACATAAGCTAAGATAAAATTATTTATAGCTTATAACTTTATTATCTTGTGAGAAAATAATATATAATGCATAAAATTATTGCAAAAATTATACAAATTATATTTGCACACATTCATTCATTCATTCATTTATAACCAATTTCACATTTGTTATACAATTTTATAATTTGTCAAAAGAGTTTTCTATATACTATTTACTATAAATATTCAAATTTTGTTGTCTCTCTCTTCTCTCTCTTTCAATACATTTTATTATATATTAAATCATTTTCCTTTTTTGTGTTCTAATCTTGGCCTTCCCTTCTTTGTGGTTGGTTTATCCTTCCCTTTGTTTAACAAAGGATGAATTTCTGTAAATTATGTCAATATTAGTAATGAATATTAGTATTAAATATTAGTATAAAATTAAATTACTATTCATGATTGCTTCTAAATATAATTATTTTACATCAGCAATATCTTACCATCAATTGGTGCCCCTTGTAAATCTATATCGTGCGAACGATGTTTCTTTATTGGTACTTCGTGTGGTGTCGCTTGATTATCTTCAGAATCTTCGACATCTGGAGATATAGGTAAAAATTGAAGGGAACCAATGTCTTCAGTTTCCTCATCAGAGCTGCAAAATGCAGCAACTCTATCAATTGATGCAACATCAACCTCTATTTCTTCATCCTGGGCCTCTTCTCCCTGTACCACAGACTTATCTTCATCGCTTAAATCAAATTCACTTTCTCTTTCTTCATATTCAACATTTTCATCCAATTCCTTGAAATCTGGTGCAAATGCAGACCAATTTTCCACTTGGTTTTGTGCCCAAATAGAAACTACACCTGATGATATGGATGCAATTATTGGTCTAACTGGATGCCACTATTATACAGAAAGAATGGCACATTATGAACATTTATTGTATCACATTTTAGTTAAAAAATTCAATTTCTTACCACTACATCGAGTAAAAGCTCGCCCTTAGTTCCATGTAAAATTTTCACCAAATTTCCTATACTTTTTTCCCATACATACAATGCATGTTGTCTCGCTGATCCAGCACACACATATTCTCCATCACCCGAAAAACAACATTTTTTCCACATTGTTTTATTTACAAGATCTTGCAATTTTTGAATTGGTTCAGGTTCACCATCCTTGCCACATGCTAATATTTCAGTACTGTCATATACACGTATTACTCTATCAGATGTATTAACTAAAAAACAGGAGCCTCGTCGTGCAAATTCTATACTCTTCACTGCTGTATTACTAGCTGTACCCTGTGTTATTTTGTAAGAAGCTTTCACAGTTAATGTTTCAGCATCTAAAACTAAGACTCTACCACGAGCATTTCCTGTGTATACAAAATCCCCGCGTCTATCAAATGATGCTACTATGTTTAAATCACTCTGAAATGAATATTTTTATCAATTATTTTCATTTTCAACTATATGTGTTGAGAAAAGAATTATTAGAATATATTAAGATTGAACAATATATATGCATATCATATTGTACATACATCTTCGTCAAGTGGTATAACTCTATGTGTTCCTTCAACATCAACCATAACAGCAGCATGGCGCATTGGGCATACCAGAAATTTGTTAAGATTTCTTGGATGAAATTGTACTTTCAATATTGGAGAAGGAAATCTGTATTTTTGATCACATTCGCCTGATAGAACATCCCATATGCATACATTATTATCTGTAGAAGCACTTAACAACTTATGACCATTTCTAGACCAACTAAAAAATGTAATAAATTTAATATTTAATATTTAATATTTAATTTCTCTCAAAATATTCAATTTCTTTGTTTTCTTTGAACCCAATTATTTTTCTCTTAATAAATTTTCATATATTTTCACAAGTAATAATCTCAATCATTTTATATACACAAAATTGTTCTATCTTTTCATATACTATATATAACTTACCTCAATGAACAAACAGGATGCACATGAGCACTAATAATCTTAGCTATACCACGAGTTAAAAAATCCCAGATTACAATTCTCCCATCATTGCATCCGACAGCAAGTAGTGTCCCTCTCTTATTAAATGTACATGTCACAGCAAGAGATATACAATCTAACGTGCCATCAAATTCCTAAAAAAATAATTATTAAAAATATGATTTTAATATTACTCATCATTTCATTGATAAAGGTAAAATTAAAGAGATATACTCATACCTCTGGATAGTTTTGACCAAATGATTCTGTGAAAATATAAATGTTAAAGTATATTATAACCTATACTAAAAGTATAATCTACTAAAAGTATAATTTATACTATGAAATTGTTGAAATTTAAAGCTTTTTTGTATCTTTATTTTTACTAAAAGTTACAAATAAAATTTATATTGAGAAGAATGAAAAATACAATATTGCAAATGAAGCTTTATCGTTTCCCAGATATTTGCAATTAACTGCATACATAATTGTGAACTCTATAATAATTTAATGATTACATTAGATATTATTTATCACATGTATTTTACGAGAAAACCACTTACTTTAATAACTTTAATATTTACCTAATAGTTCTAAATTCATTTTGACAATATCAAAATTTACGTGTTTACTATGGGTCTGTTCTTTTTAGCTGCACTAGTGCAATTAGTTAGAGTGAAAGAAAGTATGTTTGTCTCTTTCCAACTTATTGCACTAGTGCAGCAGTGCAGCTAAAAAGAACAGACTTTATGATTACTGCACTTTCTACACTTAGAATGTGGGAAAGTCGGAATCCTTATTTTTTTCTCTCTTCAATAATACCTTCCTGATGATATTCATGATACTATAGTCGCATTTCGATATTCACTGATACTGTCAGCAGAGAAAAGAAAGACGGACTAGAGAAGAGAGAGGTGTCACGAGTCATAAGATAAGTCGTCACTTCTCAGTTTTCTCTTTGGTCGCAGTACTGAAAATCTATAGTGTACGTGACGTAAATTATAGATTTTCAGTCTGGCAATGAATATGGAACCACTGGAATACGGTCTATATATAAATATACAATTTACTATACTATAAATCTTAATAAGCTATAAATTGAAAATACATTCTTCGTATATCATCAATTTTAATTGATGAACTTTTTTAATATTATTTTTGTAATATATTTCTATAAGCAGAATTTTGCTATTTTAATATTTTTCTTTAGAGATAATCACATATACACACATACACACATACATACATATATATATATATATATATATATATATATATATATATATATATATATAATATAATAACAGTACATAAACATATAATACGTATAATTATATAATATACTAATTTAATTTGTGATAATACAATCTTAGAATGTGTAATGAAGATTTCTGATATCTTTCACATATTATTACTTTATGGTATATTTCTAAAACATTCAGTATATATATATATATATATATATATATATTTTTTTTTTTTTTTTTTTTTTTTAATGTATTTATATAATAACAGTAATTATTTTTTTAGTTTAAATTATGCTGTAGCTTATTATCAATGGAACTTTTTACTTTTTCATATTGCTCCAATATATACCTGAAAAATACATACAATATATACATTTTTTAATAACTAATATTATTATATAATTTTGATGACAAAATAAATAATTCTAGTTTTAGTAATTCTTTTATTATATAATTGATGATAAAATGTTCTAGTAATTCTATTTTCCAATATTGCATTTCATAAAATTGTACCATAAGAATTGTAAATAGTTTTATAATCTAAATGAGATATATATCGAATTTTTGTATTACTTTTAAATTTCTTAACAATTAAAATGTTTCCTTTTCCATTGTTTTCTTAAATTATTATATTTAATTTGCTATGTGACGAAAGTAGAGTAAAAAAGGGAAAGAAATATGCATTTTAACATTTTCATTTCATGTGTATATAAAAATAAGAATAAAAATTAAGAAAAAAAATCTTAAAACAAAGAAAATGCTTTAAATATATAGACAAATGTTTAAAATATATAAAAAATACTTAAAAGATATTTAAAAAATGTCAGATTATAGATCAATTTTTACTTTTGAGCTGCACATTCTCCTATCCAGTCAGACGCATCGATCATCATGTGGAATAATCGTTCTAAATATTTACTAATGCACAGTGTAATTGTGTTTTCCGAGTGATGTTGAAGCAATGGATGATATACGTCACCTAAAGTTATGCTATTGTTACAACTTTCGATTTCTTTACCAAATATCTTCCATACCTAGAAAATGCATCTATTAATTCATTAAATATATAATAATTGCATTATATGTTTCATTATTATTATTTATATATTAAATATTTATTATATTATTATATATTTACTTTAATTTTATTGTAGAATAGAAAAAATTTTTGCATTTTTATTTTTTCTTATATGAGAAACTTTTCTCACCTGTACCCATTTTGTTGATAATATATCTCGCAAAGATTCTCTATATTTAAAGCGTTGTAAAGCATAAATAGCTTCGATACCTTCCTCGATTGTTTGGACTTCTTCAAATATTCTGTCAATCAGATTTACAATCATATTTTCCAATTCTTTCACGGATTCTCTAAATTTTTGCATGTTTTTTAGCCATGTGGAATTCGTAACGTCCAAAATGTTATCGCGAACTAGTTTGATTTCCTCGAGATTTTCGTAAAACAAATTTTCTATTCGACGACAATATTCTTCGTGTTCAGTACCCTTTGTACCACCAATCATTCCCACTTTATTACACCTACAAAAATTATTTATACATTAACATATTAACATTTATATTCATATATGTATATATTAAACTATTTATATTCTTTGAAGATATTTATGATTTACTAGTATATATATGGACTAATATATATATATATATATATATATATATATATATATATATATTAGTCTATTGGTGCTCTATTTTTTATGTCCTACCTTCCAAATACGATTAAAGCATTGTATATCTCAATGACATCATAACATCTTTGAGTGAAAGTGTCGATACGTTTAAATACGAATTGTTCATTCATTTGCCAATCCCTATTTGATTCAATGTGCACAGTTATGCTCGTGACCTGTTTCGATTTTTGAAATAACAAATAAATTATTAACAAAAATTTACAAGAATTATATGACCAATTTTATCAATTTTCCACAATTTAGAATTCATTAAATTTACAAAAGTTTCTCTTTAAATAAGTCCTTTGATTTTAGCTAATTCTGAAATAGTATTAAGCTTTTAAAGCATTTCGCATTTAGTTGATAATTTAATTCTAATATTGCGGAAAAATATAATTCATACTCTATTTCAAATTTTTGATAATTAAAAATTTAGAAGCTCTTGATAGAATTGGTCATTAACACATACTAATTGTAAGTTTGCATACTTTACTGTATACGATTTTGTATGTTTCGCAACAAGAGATACATTTCTGAAGTATATTTATTCCATTTTTCGCTTCGCCTTCTAATATTGCTTGTAAATCGATATAATTTTTACATTGTTGTACTATTTGAGCGCTTATAGCTTCACAAAGTATCTGTATGTTGTGTCTATATATAAATATAATTCTTTTTCATCGGTCAATTTTTTTATATTATATATTACGATATATATAGAGAGATTTCTCTTCTAATTCAATTAATAATTATTAGACATTACAATATTTTTTAATGAAATAATTAATAGTCTAAATGTAGTCTAAATATAATTCTAAATATTTTAACAATATATCTAATAATATTAATTAAGTGATATACTAAAAAATCATACGATATGTTATAAAACGGAGATTCCGTCCAGATAAACAGTATCAAAAGCAATATTTTTGTTACAGGTTCTTCGATCTCAATCGGGCATTTCAAATCGTTACAGGCATCCGATAAGATATTTAAATATGTCACATTGGATCCAGCTTGTTCTAATCTTTCATGAAGCTGTAGTGTCAAAAGTTGAAAAGAGTCCACGCTCGGCGAATGAACATTCTCCAACAGACGTAATATTGATTGAATTTCCTCACTCAAGAGCTGATTATGCAAGCAGCACAGATTAAAATCTGTGAATAAAACATTTTAGATCTTATCTCAGAGAGATATTTTAACAAGTAAACTTCCAATTTATAATATTTAATAAGAAAGAGAACAATACAAAATGACTCTTTTATGAGATAAAGGTTTGAAATAGAAATAATTTTATTTTTCTAATTTTTTAAATAGTAAAAATTTTTTAAATAACAATTAATCGCTTACGATTTAATAATATATAAAATGTATGTAAAAATGTAACAATACATCATACATACACACACACATATTTATTTATTTATATATATGTATATATATTTATAAACTAACATATTGCTGTCCAATGTTGCAACTCATCGAAAATGACTCCTCTAGTTAGACTCGTTATATTCGTTAATGCTTCTCGTATCTGTTTGATCCAATATCGTACAATCCTTTCAAATCTATCTATCTGTGCCTTTTCCGATTTTCGCAATTTATTAGAAATATATTGCCCATCTTTCTCGGATAAATCCGATTTTTCGTTTTTCGGCGGTAGTGTGACATCAGGTAGAATTTCTTGCGGGACATAAAGCTTAGTCAAACCCAATGGTTTGTAAATCCATTCCGTTAAATCCATTAGAAAATTATGCAAATTGAAGAATAAATTATTTCTGATAACTGTATTTGTTAAAAAAGAAACTTTTGTTTATTTTGTTTATAACTTTATTTGAAATAACGTTGATTGAAACAACCAATTAAATAATTTTAAAATACGATCTGTATGTTTACAAATAATTTGAAGAACTAATAATTTCATATAGAATAATAATTAAATTTAAATTTTTGTATAATAAAAAATTAATTGTTAAGTTTAAAAACATTAAATTCAACAATTAATTTCCTATTATACAATTTTTTATTGTTACTATTAGTATTATTCATTACATTAGTGTTATTTACTATATATTTATTGGATTGTACGAGTTTTCTAAAAGAATTAAAATGATCGAAATTGATTATTTTCAAATTCCGATTATAATAATCGGATTAAATAATATGTAAAAGGATACTCTCTGGCCATTCGCTGCTGTTGAGTACAATAGGTGCATATATATTTTCCATTGTTTTCAACACGCACATCATCGTATTACAATTGAGACTGCCGTAGATGACTGTAGCGTGAAAATTATCTACGGTGAACACATGCCATGGTGTCCTCAAGAAATACATAAATTCATTTTGATCATCTTCTGGAACACTTAAGCCTGCTCTTAACGTATCCATCTCGAAATATATACTTAATAATGCGTAAATTGGATTCTCGAAGTACTCTCGCACAACTGTATAACAATCTTTCCAATCGGATTCCTTAATTGAAGGAAATATCGTAAGATCTTTTACATATTGCACCTAGAATATATATATATATATATATATATATATATATATATATATCGCGTTGAATATAATATTAATAAAGCATTACAATATAAGCATTTATGAGAAGAATTTAATTATAAATAAACTTTAAAATTGAATTTTTTCAATGTTTTGTGCAAATCAAGAAACATTGTAAAAAAGAAATACATCCAATTTATTATTTAATTTAAATGTTAATTTTAAATTTAATTTATGTAAATTGTAAATTTAAAACAATTGGAAAATCTAATCTTTTAAGAATATATATATATATATATATATATATTACTAAAAAATTAAATTTAAAAGTAACAAGGATATTACATACGTTATAAAACAAATTTTGAAATATATTTTTAGTAAAATACAACGACAATTGTTGTATATTTAGTATTGTTATATATTTAGATATATTAAAATTTATATTTATATTAATCACAAAATCACAAAAAAATATTAAAACACTTAATAAATTCAAAAAAGTAACAGACCAAGTTATTCAAATCCTGTTCATTAAAGACTGGCTTAACTGGTTCAGGAAGAAGTTCCTCTTCGGTTTCCAGACTTTCTAAAATATCGCAAAGTACACACAGATATATATGCGATTAATTTTTTTATTTTTTTCATGATTAATTAATCCATCGATATGAATATGTCAAAAAATTTAAAAAAATTGTTTAGGAAAAAGAACCTTGTCGACTAAACTCTTCTTCATCCGAGTCCATGTCCAAGAATTCTCTATGAGGATCATTCGATGATTTTTCTGTTTTCTTCATTTTCTCCTTTAATTTCTTTTGTTCACCGTATAACAAACAATATAATAATACACAATCGAATATTATATCAACAATAATAATAAATATTTACTATTGAAATGAAAATATATTAAAATTTAATATATCTCGGCTCGTAACTGAGGCGCGTTGCCAAGTGATATTGTATACTGTATCGATTAAACGGGTAAACCCTTGTAGAAAACCTCTATAGGCAATAATAACTGTGAAAATCGTTTCATCATTTTTTGACTAATCATATTTTGGAACTGGGAGGATCTATAATTACATAAAATTATATGCAAATATGCAATTCAATGCAAAAACATTGCTCTTAATAACTCAAAACAAGTTATTTAGAAGCACGATGTTTTTATTCATTCATTTATTTCTTTGAATTTACAATCTACGCGTGGAGTTCACAAAAAATTTGTCTACTATAATTCGTCAAAAATATTGCTATTAATGCAATTCATTTATAGTAATATCTAATATGTATAAAATATGTTACTTATATGTGTCCAAAGCTTTATGAGAAATACTCACGATAATTTTTACTGATAAAACTTTCAGATAACAATCGCGAAAAATATGTAGAGTTCTCTCTTTGAATATCACCAATTTGATTGTAAATCAAGTCATTTCATGTTCGTAAATTTTAAACTCTATCAATATGTGATACAATAATTTACGAAATAACAATAAACGAAAGAATAAATTGATCGCAGTAATTACATTTGTCTGTTTTATGTCTGATTTTTAACAATGGAATATAAAGTATATAGAAGTATACAGAAGTATATAGAAGTATTGTTAACTATAATTAACTATAAAGTATATAGAAGTATTGTTAACTATAATTACATTATCAACTATACATAATTAAAAATAATAATATAAAAGATTGTAACTTAATAAATTATTTACATAAATATAATATAATTATGAATATAGATATAATTGTTAATATATACAGATATAATATAACTAATATGCGTACATATGTGTTAAAATTTTGCATAAGTTTCATTAGTTGGTTCAACTTTATTAATTAAGAGCATGTGCTGCTTAAGTTGAGCCATACGTACTATTATTTTAGCCGGCATATAAATTTTATAGTCCATAAAGTGTGGACGAAAGAAATATTCCTAAACAGAGAGAGTTTTTAACATTTAAAAAAAACTTATTTTTTCATCATAAAAATTTGATACAACATAATTTCTGACATAATTAAAATAAGATAGTACATATATATCATATATACAAATAATAATAAGTTTAATAATAAGAGAATATATTTCTATTGATAATAAAATATATCTTATGCGATTATTCCTTTTGAATAATTAAGTCATGCTTAACGTAGTTTGTTTGTTCTGCTTTCTTTCTTCAGAATATTATTCATGAACTAATTTATCCAAAATAAATTATATTTTGATATTTATCAGTAAATAGTTTATTTTGCATTATGCGAATCTAATGCGACATAATTTCTCGTTTTCATAATTTCTCGTTTAAAAAAAAAACGAGAAATTATGTTGCATTAGATTTTTTATAATTATAATAACATGCAATATATGTATATATGACATATCACTTGAAATTAGATAACCTCAACAAGTAAGGATATAAGTTCGTAAAATTTACCTCATTAAGTAGTTCCATAGAATGTATATTATTAATAAGAATGAGTAATGCTGCAGGCATATTGATTAGACTATAAAAATAAAATTATAACACGTATACATTAGATTTCCACATGTGTATTATTACAAACAGTATATATATAAAGAAAAATATACATGATATTATATATACGTGTATACCTGGGTTTTATATATTGAAAATTATTTAATAAATGGTTGAACGTTTCATAACTCTTTGTATTATTTGTAACAATAAAGTGGAAATGCCTCAATGAGATTTGAGTTACTTTTCCGGGAATTTCTTGTAATTTATTGTCATATATATCCCCTTTCAAAATATTATAAAGTTTATCTCCCGTATAAAGTGCTGATATATATTTGTTTAGCTCAACTAGATGATTTGGACAAGTTAAAAGATACAAAATTTCATCATTATCTTCTTTTATTTTGTTCAGCATTTCTGACCAAACAGTACTGTTCATTTTAACCAAACCATAACAATATGCCCATCTTTGCCTCTGTGGCAAAAGTCTATGATATTGAGAAAAAAAATTACTATAGAAGATTATAAGTTTATAGTTTTATATCTTGATCGAATAATTCACACACATATATCTCTTTTTTTCTTATAATATATCACATATCTTTACTTTTGCAAGAATATATTTATAAAATAACGTTATTATATAAAAATATTTATGTACTTTGTAGATAGCCGGAGATGATCTTGTAACAGATTATTAGCCATTTCTAGGCACTCCAACTTTCCAAGCATGCATATCAATTGTTGGGCTTCTTCTCTTAAAACTTTAGTAAAATCATCCTCCATAGAATTTTCTTTATAATCTATATTCGACATGAGCTTACTCAGTATACTCTGTAATATTTCCTAAAAATCATTAAAAATAATAAATTGTAATTGATTTAAGTATCACACTTTATAACGTTTAATATTTAAAATCTAAAAAATAAAAGACATTTTGTTTCTTTATAATTTCTTTATAATTTTGATCTAAATGATATTATATAAGAAAGCATAATTTCTTCAGCGACATATATTTAAAGTAATTATTTGTTTTATATACAACAATGTAATAACATAATTTTATTAATAAAAGTCTATCATTATTTACCTTAATATGAATAACCCCAATTTCTTGAAATGGAAAGATACTTGACATGTATTTAATAGCTTTGAGCATAGGATACCATGCTATGAAATCTCTCTCATGTGATAAATATCTAGTAAGTTGCCAGAATATATCAGGTTTTAATTTACGCACTAGTAGAAAATGAAACGTATCATCGATAACTTGAGCGCGATTCAGAACATGTATTTTCCAATATTCTTTGCTATTCAGATATTCAGCAATTTTTTGCCAATTCATATCATCGTAGTTGACGCGACAATATGCTATCATATAATAAATAGATTTTATATATTATTAAATTAGAAAATGAGAGAGAGAAAAGAGTGAAAGAAACGCAAAGAAGAAATTTTGTTTAAAAGTTTTGTAACTTAAAAATTAGTTCTGGTTATAAATAATAATCAAATTATATATATTGTACAAAGAAGATTTTATCATAATCGTTTCGATGTAATCGTTTTACTATTTTATTATTTTACGTTTTATTATTGTACATATTTTTCACTTTCAATTTTATGTATCTATGAATGCATAATTGGAAGAAATTTCGTGATATCTTTTGTAGTAGAAATATTTTATTCACACACACACAAAATATTGTGTTGTAAATTAAAGACAGTATTGTGTATATATTAAATTATTTTATAGTATTATCCATATCCATACGTTTATATAGACATTTATATAACGAGAAATGTCTTGTATTATTAAAATAGTATATATATAGTAATGCGAAATAATATGTACAAAACCTTAATTAAAATTTATTAACTAAATTATCCAGCAAACATGATGACATCTTATTGACATATTAATGATATATTAAAACGTTATTAAAATATCTTTAGATGTCATCATGTGATCATGTTTGCTAGGTAACTATATTAAAATTTAATTAATTAACTATATAAAATAAGCACATACACGTATACACATAAGTATATGATATATTTATTGATCAATATTTACCAATTTGTTGTATGTTATACATAATCCAACCATCTTCTTTATGAGAGAGAAACTGTGCATTGTACTTTTGCGGCCATTTGATCGGCTTCTTTGTCGGCGGAAGGAACCAAATAATTGGTGTAGTTTGATTAAAATTGGGATACGTCTGTGTGACATAAGACATAGGTATCCATACATTCTCATCCAGTATATCGAGATCATCTATCGATATATTTATGTATTTCGAAAATTCAATTTTATTATCCTTATATTTATGATCTCGGAATGCATTAAACACATATCCTTTTTGCTTTATCCAAGGATATAACATTTTATTTATATCATCAGATGTTGGATTCTCTTTAATGTAAGTATCTTTCAAAGTTTTCCAGAAACTATCGTAATCATACTTCCTAAACACAAAATTTACAAAATTTTTTAGTTACCGTTACCGATAACTATAAGAAATAGAATTAAAAAATATAAAACTTATGTTCCATTTTTATTATATCACTCGGAAAAGAAAGATAAATATGATTTTTAAATATATTTAAAAATGTGTTGAAAAAAAGAATAAAGTGTAATGTAAGAGAAGTAAAAAGAGAAATAAATGTAAGAGAAATGATAAAATAGGAGACAAAAAATAAAAAAAAAGATTTTAGTCAGAAATCGAACGAGACAAAACAAAAATAAAAATAATAAAAATAAAAAAATTAACATAAATGAAAAATAAACATTTAAATTAAAAATCTAATCAAATTAAATTAAAAATCTAACATTTAATGAAAGCGATAGTCAAAAATCTAAATGATTTTGAGAAATATTTTTTGTAGAAGCCATCATAAAAAAGGAAAGAAATAAAAGAGTAAAAGAAGTAGAAGAAAAGCTGATAAAAAGGGCTTAAAATTAAAGTTTGGAAAATAAATAAACAATGAAAGATTAACAAAGCAAAATGAAAAAAACATTTCGAAACATTCAATCTTTTGTTATCTTTTTTTATGTAATTAACTCTATAATTATTATATTCTTATATCTTACTCACTTTGTGTCTAAATATGTATGAATACTCTTCCAAAACCTCTTTTCACCAAATGCATGATGTAACATGCGCAATATAACAAGTGCTAGAATAATTTATATTAACTTCTATTAAATACAGTTGATAAAAAAATTTTAATTTTAATCTGTTAAAATGTAATAAATTTCTTTGATTTTCATTTTTTTGTTATATTAGAATAAGAATTTATATATAATAATTTAATTATGCTTAATCAATCATACTTCTCATGTGATTAACAAATTCAACCGTAACATTTTCTCTCTGAATAAGAGGCAACATATTGTTATCAACATCAAAATGAAGGCACTCATGTTGAATTTGAACTACGAATAAATCTGTTATTCGGAAATTTGGAAAAGTCTAGAAAAGAAAATTTTGATACGATTAAATAAATATTCAATTGGAAGAAAATTCATTTGCTATATCAACACTGTTAAATGAAGTCTTATTCTTTCTAATGATATAATTAAAATATATAATAAAGTATTTTTTTAAATAACATGCAATAGTTTCAGATTAAACATATTTAAAATTATTTAAAATGTATTGTTATAAAAATCTTTCAAAATTATTTTATTTAAATATATATGTGCATGCGTGCGTGCGTGCGTGTATATATGTGTGTTGTGTGTATACGCATGAGCACTTTTTTGACTGACATTCTCTTTATTTCTTCTTATTAGATATATAAATTTGAAAAAATCAATCATTCTGATTTAAATTGAATAATAAGAATTTACAAATATACAAGAATATATACTTTATTATATACATTATATATATATATATATATATATATATATATATATCTGTAAATACTTTAACGACTATTTCATGAATTAATTGTGTAAATGTAACAGGTAAAACAACCTGATTAAGGAAATGCGTTGCAAAGAACATATTAAAACCTTCGCTCAACGATGAATTAGGCCAGTAAAATGGATTATCTAAACTCTGGAGCCATTCTCGTATTACTTGATTTCCTACTGAATATATTACATTATATTTGGTCCCAATATTGTCTATTTCCTCATCATACATAATATCTTCTTCTCTAAACATCATTTGTAAAAAATAAAATTATGTACAAAAAATCTTTATAGAAACATATAGATATACATACAAGCCGTACAGAAAAGTTTAATGTAATACATTAATTATATTTTAATAATGTAACATTAATTCGGATGTTATACAGAATGTATGTGCGTATATCATCAAATACATTGTTAGATAGAAAAGTTTTTATCTTCAATAAGTATGAATAAGAAATTTCTTTTTCAACTTTAATAAAAACGCAAATAACTCTTTTTAATATAAAAATTATTTTATACTATTTATAATAGATTATATTTTAACATGTTTTATAATAGATTCTGTTTTATAATTACATATAAATATATTGCTATAATAAGGAAAAGATATATCTTATATATTCTTATATGAATTATTAATTTTTTAAATGGAATCTTACACACACACACACACACACACACACACACATATATATATATATATATATATATGTATATACAGGGTGATTCTGAACAAACGTTTGTCTTTAAAATATCAAATTCTTTAATGAATTCTAAGACGATTTTTCTTAGAAATGCATATAAATAATAAGAAATGTGATATATTGTATAAATTATTATCATTATGTATTATTATTATTTCCTGACATATTTTTAAGTAATTCAATTTAGGTACACGAAAACATGCTTATCTGTACATCCTGCAATATTAAATGTGAAATACTATATTTTTTGTTTCAATAAATTAAAATATTTTTCGGCATATACTTACTTAGAAATCATGCTTTTCAAATTCATTACACTATCGTTTTGCTCTTGAAAATTCGGAATTACGATATAATTTACTGTTTGAGATTGCAAGTACTTCCATTCATTTTTCAAGTATAACGTAGTATTTCTAACAATTGTCAGTGCAAATTGCAGGGAAGTTTTTGATTCTTTTCTGCACCACATGTTGACACTATCATATTTATCAATAAAATTGGGAACGAAATTAGTTACAAAAATTGCTATTTTATAAGGAGATTTTGCAAAAATGCCATTGCTGAAATGTGTCCATTGCATGTTTTCTTCATCTTTAACCACTGTTTGTATCAACATGTTTGACAATACTCTATATACTTGAGAATGTAGTACAGAAATATTGAACGTGGACTCTGATAACGGCCAACATGGAAAGATTCGTCGAGCCCATACTGGTTGGAAATATGTTGCGGACAACCATCTAAAGCATTTAAATGATTAGCATTAAATAACGAAAAATAACAAACATTTTGACGAGAAAATATTCAAAAAATAATACTAAAATATTTCTATTATAATAGCATATGTAGTAGTATAAAATGTAAAAACTGAAAAATGTACGTTTGCACAGATGTGCAATTTCTCTTAGAATAATATTTAAAAAATAAATTTAGTTTACATAATTTTTCATTATATTATTATTATTATATATGTTTTAACTAAATTTTTATGTACGTAACTATATTTTTATAATGTATAAAGAAACATTGGAAGTTATATGAATAATATAAAAAAATATTTTTATAATATCAGAGCAAAGTTTAGAATATGCAATAGTATCTTTTAATATTCAAAATTTTTATTTGATTAATATGTCTCCAAATCTCTTTTAATTTTTTATATTTAAAAATTTTACAAAAAAACATATATAATTAAATGATATTATATGAAAAAAGTATACAATCACATGGAAGTAAGTGCAATTATATCTACTTTGATAACTTGTATATGTGAAAATTATGTTTAAATAGTGTTTTATTAATACCTATTTCTATCAACGTTGTTTAACTTTAATCTTAGCTTAACTTACTCTTCGTCTTCTTCTGTTCTTTTAGAACTGTTCCTTTAGAAAAAGACAAAGAATGAGTTAAGCTAAGATTAAACTTGAGCGACATTGATAGAAACCGCCATAAGTCTTATATGGTTAAAATTAATTCGCACATCTCATAATAATCATTAGTTAATTGAAGTTAATAATGAATGATGCTTATATATTATAACGATACATATTTAATAATTTATGTATTTTAATAATTACTCACATTGCATTATCATTTATATTGTTAAATTCAAATTTCTGAAAGCCTCCTTTAATAGATATAGCACTATATCTTAAATTTAGAATGTAATGTCCTGGTGATAATACATCATAAAAATAAAGCTTGACAGTATTATTTTCATAATCATATATATAACTAAATACTTTATGTGTACGAGTTTTGTTCTGATCAGGCAGGTATTGAGTATAGTTAGTCAATATTGCCGTTATGATACCCAATTTTTCTGAAAGCATGCTTATTTGTTGCGTAGTTTTAAGAATTTGGATATTAATATCGCATTCACCGAAGAAAATATTTTCTTTCGTAGTTTAATTTATTTTTCGGTTTTTTCGTCACGTAGTTTAATCTTAATGTTATAATGCTGCGGTTTTATGTTGTATAATATGTCGTTTGAATTTTTGTCGACAGAATAAACCGTCACGATAATGAATGTGAATAGACCGTTTAATAACAATATTGAACGTGCCATGTTGCTTCATCTACCTGTAAAAAATGTTCTTTTTGTAAAATGATGTAAATAAAAAAATATAGTGTAACAAAGAATTCTTTTCACTCTGTGAAAGAAGAAACAATTTAGCAAAAAATTTTTCTTATAGTGAAAAAATGTGTATCATAATAAGTATCATTTGAATCAGAAACCTTTTATTATATTGTTCCTATATAAATTAAACTTTTTTAATAAAAAATTATTTTATTATAGATAAAATAAAAAAAGCTTTAAGATGCTTAAATTGGAAGATATGTAAGTTTCAATTAAATTAATAGTTAATTATCAATTTAAATGTAATAGAACATTTCAGTTAAAGAAAGAAAACATAGGATAGAAAGACTTTGTATCTTATATTCCTTACAATCGTTCTAAATTCATTATTGATACACCTTGAAAGTCACATATTATATGTACTTGATTTATTACTCCTTTTGATCTTTTATTTTTATGGCTCGATATATTTATTTATTTTGTACACATGCCTTCAAATTACGGTCATTATTTATATAATAAAAGTTATTTTATTTTCCTAATTTATCTTATAAATAGGTATATGAGTATATATTGAATCAAATTGAATTTGTTTATTCATACTTACTATGATATATTCATTTTTTTTAACAAAGTAAATTAAAATTTGTTTGTTGAATACATTATAATGTTTGTTCGCTATTATTATTACACACTTATATTTGCCTTAATATAATTATAAAAGCTATTAATTATAGACATTTATCATAAAATGTGTAGAACAAAACGAATGCAGATTACTGAATATTTCTACATATCATATAACACATTGTACATACGATACAATTCTTAACGTGTACAAATTACACACGTGTAATACACACACACACACACACACACACACACACACACACACACACACACACACACACATATATATATCTTCTTTATATCATAATATTAATATTTTTAATATTCTCGCTTTGCTTGAGTTTTAAGTTTCTGAAAATAATTTTTACATAATGAAGTATGATACATTTTGAAATTTATCTATATTAAAATAGATTGAGATTATTACATTAATAATATAGAGATCATTAGATTAATCATATTAATAATAATAAAACTGATTATGAAAAAGAATGTTAAGGAAATGAAATTATATCCGTTATGCTTGTACTTCGATATTATTTCAATTTGATTTCAATAATTTACTTTCGTGTGATGCATTTTTGAAAAGAGATATATGTGTTCTAATAATAATGACTCACTTGTTGAAACTTATTAAGATGTTATCCTTGTAAGAATTAATGCATTTAACTTATTGGTACTTCACAAAGCGTTAATATAGAAAATAGATTTATGTATCTTATTATCTACCGAAAGACCGTTCAAGACTAACCCAGATAGCACAAAGGAGTCACAAGATATTGAAAAGTGTTTAAAGGACGATACACATAGCTGACCTTATTATAAATAAAGCCGCATATAAACGTCTTTCATAATTAAAAAATCTTATCATGAAGTCAATAATCGCAACCAACCATTAATAAATGTCTACCGCTTTAAAGTTTAAAATAATTTTTATTTCAAATTTTTCAACAATTTAAAAAAATATATATTTATTGACAATATATACAGTAATTTTATTCCTTAAAAATTAATCGCTCTCTTCGCTATGCGCGCACTATTTAATTCATTTTATTATGTGATATAATCTGAGAAAAAGTACATATATGATTAATATATAATTAACTAATATAATTATATAAAATTATATTTAAATACACGTGTATAATTATGTATGGAACTTAAATACATGTTATATGTATAATAGTGCAATTTTTTGGTTTTTTTATGTTATAATTGATATTAAATTATATTATATATTTTATGTATAATTACATACATAATTTTATATTTGATTATATATAGGCATCTTTTTCTTTTTTCTTCATTCTCTCTCTCTTTTTCTCTATGTTATTAATATTATATATTAATTACACCATCATCATTAATTACACATAACTACATTTGTATTTGGATTTTTTGAGCATAAACATATTAATATATCAAGTAATACGTTCAGGTAATATGTTCTGAGATTACTTTTTTATCGATAGACTGTGATAACTGAATTAGTCCGAATGACCAACAGTTGTCGCTGATTATCGCGCATGTTTGCGGTATCATATTCGCAAGCGTTCTTGTTCTTGGTCTTTGGAATTATAACAGGCTGACAGGTCAATTCGCCTCGCCGCAATCCTTTGGTCGTATAGTAATATAAAAAGGCCTTGTGACAGTTTGCCGTAATGATACGTGAACCGTTTCGGACAGACGGTCCAGTACAATGATGACAAACGATACGAATCGACGTATCTTCAGATCGAAATATGCAAGGTATATACGTAACGTGTATGTGCGATCAATAAATTATTCTTGCGGAGAAAATGCTGTCTAGATAGCAACAAATTCGGCCTGTTTATGATTTATTTCGAAGATCTTAGTATGTTGCGGTGCTGATTATTGGTATATCGCGATGTGATAAAAAATTATGCACGCATTATACATTCTTGGATATTTATTGAAATTTATCGTTTTGACAATAGGGGTTAGCCCTTAAATCCGGCTTTTTACATTCGCGACCATCAAAATCGTGAAGTAATCTGGAATTAAAATCAAGTCTCAATATTGTAGAATTCCTCACTCATTTACATATATACAAAGAATTTAATTATATAAAAAGTTAAATTTTTTTATATAAGTTACATTCGACTCTTATATTGTTACAATACTTTGTTTTCTTCGAGGGAACAATTTTTTTTTTAGTAGTTTTTGGATTGTTGAAGACAAGGTGCCTTATCTTTTTTTAATGGAACTACATACATATGATCTCTTTTTATATAAGTTAATTATTAATATTCTCACACATATTCACATAAGTTAATTCTAGTTTTACATAAAAATATTAAAGTAAGGTTATACAGAAATATGAAATCTTAGTTTACATTCTATTTATTAATAATAATAAAATGATTTGTGTGTTTAGTGCAAGTAATTAATTGATTACAATAATTTAAATCTTTATAATAGAATCTTCAGAAAAAGAAAAAACATTTAAAATAAATATGTGATATTTGATTAATAAATACTTGATAAAAGATCATTGCAATATATTTTAATCAATAATTAAATCTTGAATAACAATTTCTATTTTTGAAAAATGAAATTATTCTGATATATAATCTGATTTCTGATATATATATTAAAATAATCTCATTTTACAAAAGTGTATAATCCTTATACTTTTGTAAAATGAGATTATTTTGATATATAATATCCTTATACTTTTTATATATAATATTATATAATTTTTTAAGGTAGGCAAGTATGAAACAGTAAATATGCCTCATGGCTGGAGGCAGGAGCGACAAGCAAAATGGAAATTTAGACAAAACACATCAGTGGCTATGCCACAGTAGTTTTGATTCTGTCACATTTCAGTCTTCTCTGAGTGATGAATTTAAAAAACGAAAAAGTGCGGAACAACATCGCACTATTGTTAAAAATATCAATCAATTACAAGACAGTATTCTAAGGTAAGAAAGTATCATATGTATTATATACACTTTTTCTCAATAAATTTTCATACATTAATGCATTTTATGGAGCAATATATTGTGTATTTAGTGAAATGTCGTGTAAATTGTAATATATTGGTAATGTGTGACATGATGTACAGATAAACATATGTATCAAATTTAGTCAATATTTCTTTTGTGACATTTTTGAAATAATTCTATATATATATCTTAATGAATCAATTAATTATTATATAATTTTATCTTTTATTTTTTTGTAATTGTGTAAATGTACAATCTTTCCTCTCAATTATCTTTTACATATAAATATTTATATTTATATATAAAGTAAATTTAATTAGATATTTAAAAAGAATGACCATGAGATTAGATTAAAACTTGAGACATTTATATACACACCTGTGTGTATATATATGTTCAACATTGAAGAAGAATATTTTATTATAGAATATTTACGGATTCCTTGTATTGTGATCTTAATATAATACATGGTTATAAAGTAATACGTATAAACCAATGTATTGTTAGAGCAAGATCACCACACTTGTATGAAGTTCTCAAGCCTTATTTCATTTACATTAATAAAACAATCCATTGCATTCTTGATAAACCTGGTCTTTTTCATCAGATTGAAGATTTTGTAAGGTATTGCACATTAACTATTTGTATTGTAATTGAGAATAAATATCTTCCTTACATCTGTCTGCATATGTGTTTTTGTTTAAAACAATTTGATATTTCTTTTAAAAGTAATACATTTAAAATAACAATCCTTTGCATGCTTAAATATAAATTTGTATCTACTCGATTTCACAAACGAAATTATGCACTTGTTAATTTTTTTCTATTTTTTTAAATAAAAAATCAAATGTATTGCTGAATGGTATGCTCCTAAATTTTTTTATTTATAATGTAAAAAGATGGGATCACATTTTTCTAAATATTAATATTAATATTGTGTAAGATTCATGTATATATATTTCCATATGCCACTATTAAAAGAAGTAGTATGATTAAATAATCACAGATTCTTATTGAGAAATTTTGTTGCACATTTTTTTAGATATAGATGTATAAGTTTGTTGTGCACAAATTTTTTAAATCATTATTATTTTAAGCATGTTAAATAATATCTATTTCAATCTTTGTTGATACTTATTAATTAAATTTCTTTGGAATTGTATTAAAATAGAAACATATATTTTTTTACTCATATATTACTTATAATCTTTATATATTTGTATATAAATTACAGACTTCTATACAGTAATTTGGACTTTAGTCAAGAAGAGCAATTATTAGTGGAAATAATTCTGAATACAAATTACAAGTGTTATTCTTCAAATGAGTCTGATAGCAGTATATCTCACATTGATGACAGGTTAGATTTATTAATAAAATTTTTGATATGCTTTATAATATAGATTCTTGATTTTTAACAAATTGAAATCTTTTAGAAATTTCAAAATTTGATAATTTGAAGATAAAAATTAAGACATTAAAAATTCACAAAAATCAAAATAAAATATTGTGTTTTGAATATTTTTGTCATTACAAGCATTATGAATTTTTCTGTCATATTTTATTAACTTATATTATCTGCAGAATATGCGAGAAATGTTTGACGTCAGACTGTAACACACAACAACATCAGCAGAAGGTGAAGAGACATGTTGTAACGGATGCAAGTCCTACTGCATCAGAAATGGCTGATTCCGGTCTGGAGACAGGTTCGATAAGTCCGCATGAGAATACGACTTATTCTGAGAACTCCAGCACGGACTTGGAAGTAATACCAGCAACCACAGAATATACTTCCACCAATGACGACGATTCGGATCGAATACGTGCCGAACGAATACGCGAAAAGAGCGGTCGTAAGACACTCTTGTTATACGATAAGCATCGGGAATCACTCAATAATGACGATTTCGGGAAGAGTACAACACAATCTGAATCGAATAATCATAGCACAACGTGCTCCTCCCTAGAAACGGAACATCCGCCTACGGATAATACTTCGGACAATGCACGAGAAGCGAAACTGAATGCTGAAGAAATCTTTCAATATGAGAGTCAGATGTTGAGCGAGCCATTCTACGAATCGGACTGCGGCAGCGAAAATGAGTCGTTTGAATTTATTGAGCCCGTCCCTTCGGCAAGTGGCGATCACGAAGGAAAATGCTTCGCGAAGCGTAAATTGGAGCAGAAAATACAATCAGATGCGGAAGAGTCGGAAAGTACGACGGTCGAAACGGAATCTGATCATTCTCGTCCCACTGATGGCGCGACTGGTCGTAACAGTTCATCCACGAGCGGTTATTATTTCATCGATGCATCTACTCTAAATGACGAAGTGGATATTGTTTCTACGAATGTAACAAAGAATCAGTATGCCAATAATAACGCGCCATATTTTGCGTTTTCCCCGAATTACACGGATTACAAGTCATCGGACAAAGCAAATAATCCCGTAGAAGAACAGTCGTATAAGTTTACCCCGCTTAAGACATTGACTTTGCAAACTGGTCACGAACGAGTAGCGGAATTTGAACGAGAATTGAAACTCACGGAGTACCTGCAACCGCTTCCAGAATCGCGTAAAATAAAGCGAGTAGATTCCGTATCAGAGGAGAAAACGGATGGAAGCAAGCCGACAGAGAAGGAATCACTGGCGGTAGAAATCAAAGAGGCGGACAGTGGAGAGAGCGCGCATCCCTCCCCGTGTCCTGACAACAACACGAGATTAAGCAACGATCGAAATGAAAAACCGGAAACGTCGAGCAATACCGAGACGACGGAAAACGAAAATGTTAAAGATACAACTGTGAATGAAGACAGACGACCATCTCTCATCAGAAGAAACACATTCGAGCTTGACTCTAACGACGAAAAATTATCTGCTTTAAGGCAAGAATACGAACGCCGACAAGGTAATCTCATCTTTCAGAGCGCCATTCCGCAATACTCGGGACATCGCGTAGATGGAGATTCCATTTGCCATGCACCTTCCGATTCCGTAGTTTCTGTTACAGTCACTGAACCATCGATTACTTTTACACCCGATGTTCAGGCAACTAACACTCAGCACCCAATTACATACCAACTATTGGATGGTTGTGAATATGATCAAAGGCAAACGCCGCAAAAAAGTTGTTTACAATCCAATCTCAATAAATCTTGCACGATTTATCCCGTAATTAAAAGTGCCAGCGATAAATCTATTTTAGATTGTAGCACGGATTCGGACGATGCGTCCAATCATTGCAGTAACAGTTTGCCGGTTACTTTGAACTCTATTTTGGAAAAAAGTCGATTAAATCCTATAAAGAGAATTAAACGAAGCGATGAAACTACTCCAATTATCTCTGGTGGTGTTAGCAGTTCAGATTATTCCTTCAAACCTTCGGATAGTCCCACAGTACGGCGCAAAACAGAGTCTACGCCGATCGTGTCAGGTGGTGCGGTGATTATGAATAAGCCTGAAGTCAAGACGCGACCCTTCAAAATGTCTTCCTCCATGACTGCCTGGGTAGTCGATATGAGCGACTGCAGTAAGCAGGAATCCGGGTCCCGAAATAACTCGCGGAATATGTCGCAAAGCTTCTCGACTTCTGAATGTGTCAAGAAACCTGTACAGAAGTCCTCAATCAACCATGAGAAACAGAGTAGTTTAGGATTCTTCGTTAATTTAAAGGACGTGAATGACATCGAACCAACTAAACGCGATCACTCGGTCGAAAGGAAAGAGCGAGATAGTAATGATAAATCCTATTGTGAATTTTACGTAGATATCTCTGATAAGAATAATGATATTAAAGCCAAGCCATCCGAGAGGCAAGAGGAGAATGTTAAGAATGATACTTCTAAGGAAGGCGAGAAGAAGAATATTTTTTCAATGTTTATCGATCTGAATGATACGTGCGGTGGAAAGGATGGAGACATCACGGTTCCAAAGCACAGACGAAGCTTCTCGACGATACCTAATAAATCGATGGATATTAAGACGGATGATAATAGTTTTAGAGATAACAGCAGCGCCGCGGGAGATAATCAATTGCCACAAGAACAAAAGAGAGAGAAAGCCAAACCCAGCGTCTTTATGTTTATAGAATCTGATTCTCCCGTAGTGAGAAGACGGACGTTATCCACTTCACGACCGACGTTCAAGCGGCATTCCTGGAACACAGACAAGACACAGTCAACGAATGGCAACGGTAACGGTTGTGTGGCAAAGGAACTTATGTTCAGGAAGGAGCACAAGCGCGCGCATAGCGTATCGATGGACAGTCGCAGCATCTCGAAACGATCCCAAGCAAAGACGAGCTCATCTAGTCACTCGTTAAGCGATGCGGCCAAAGCAGAGTCTCGTAATCATAAAGATTCCAAGACTTTGCAGGATCGTGAAAGTAACTCCAACAACATGGATACGTCATCCGAGGATGTGTTCGAATTCGATGTAAAGGACACTCCACCCAACTCCCACGTGGAGATTGAAACCGAAGAGCAATTACGCAGTAGCATAAATCAGCGTTGCGAGTACAAAGATATAATTTCTGATCGGACAGAAACCTTAGAAGCCAATGAAACGAAAGGATATGAAGACGAGTTTTCGGAAACCTCCGCCTGGGAAAAAACGTGTACAGAGAGCACGGAAGGACAAACACGTAAAAGTGAAACATTTGATATCAGCAGCGGTAGTAGTGGGCCATCGCCGGACAGCGATAATCATGACTATGAATTGACTGACCTGTTGAACGGTCAAGTTGAAGTTTCAAATGTCAACGATAGACCGCAAATAATAACCGCAGGAAACAGCAATAAGATATCGGAAACTCGCAAGTCACTGAGCGAGACCATCAAGAAAATCGAGAGCGAATTGAAGGAGCCCGAGTATGATAATGTGAAACGACAAACTTATGATTGTCGCTCATCGAAAAAGGACGGGAAGGCGACCGGACATAATTTGAAGAATTTGCATTTAGATTCCGATAAAACGAATTCCTCTAGTTTCGTACGTTTGTCGGATTTGGATAAAACACCGATTGCTAATCATAATGCATCAGATGTCTCGATGAAGGATGACAGAGAGACGCAGTATCGAATGAGCAGTAGTATTCCGGAAACATCGTGGATAGAAAGTAAACTGGCGATAACGAGAAACACAGGACCATTCAGACCGGTGTCTAGGAAGCTTGTTTCTGTCATGAGCACATCGCTTCCATCCAAACAGAAATCCCCGTTGGAAGATTTGACTGCGGGTGACTGCGAAGGGGAAGGAATTATTTCTGAATCCGATCTCAGTAGCATGCAAAGCAGTATGGGACGTTCCGGAGCGGGTACGTTATTGCTAAAATTTTATTAAATTTATATAAACAACGGTATCGCATAAAAATTGAAAAATTTTTTTTATTTGTATTACACAAAATTATGTATAATCACGAAATTTTCCAATTTTATAAAGATTTTAATTTTTTTTTCTTGCTTGACTAAATATTTAAATATTAAAAATATTCAAATATTTAATTTTTTCTCAAAAATCTTTTGATTATAGAAGGCAGCACGGAGGAAACTGAAACGTCAAGTATAGCTGGCGCAAAACCGTACAATAGATTGGGTGAGGATTTGCTAAGAATGTTTTTGGAGGAGATTAATCCTGATATTACGATAGATGTAGCCGGTCGACATATAAGAGCGCATAAATGTATATTAAGTTCTCGTTGCCAATACTTTGCCGCAATTTTGAGCGGCGGATGGATCGAAAGTGCAGGAAATGTTATTTCTCTGCAAGGGTATGTGTCAAAATTTAAAAATATTTAATATATCTCAAGAGAAAGCTGTATATCCATGAAAATTTTATATTGTTTGTATAGTTTGCATATTTAATAATTTAAATAGATACACTATGCTATTGATATGCATTTCTCATTTTATATAATTATGATTGAATATATTGAATTTTCATATGAATAATTTTAACATTTTGTTGATATTTCTATTTTAGATATTCTTATAATGCAGTTCATTTTGCATTGTGTCATATCTACAGTGGAGAAAGTAATATACCAGATTCTATAAGTATTGTTGAATTGGCGACGTTAGCTGATATGTTATGTTTGGAAGGTCTTAAAGAAGTTATAGGATATACGCTTAAGCTTAAATATTGTCACTTGTTTCACAAGGTAAAAATATTTTTATATCATCTCTTTTGCTAAAAACCAATGACATATGTAAGAGATTTTTGAAATGTGTAGCTATGATTAGAAATTTGTGTTATGTCATTTATTATGATGAAATATATTAACTGCTATTAAATATACAGAAAATTTATAATCTACAGAATTAAATAGAAGTTCATGTCACATGTAGTTTTTTTTGCATTATTAGTCTTTTGGATATTATTATCTTCCAGCCTTGCCAAATATGTGCTATTGGAGTATTAGAATGTATGCCGTTAGCTGCAGCTTATGGTCTGGATGAAGTGTATCGAAAATCACTTAGGTGGATTACAAAGCACTTTGTACGAATATGGCCATGCAAAGCATTTGCGACTCTCCCGAGAGAATTAATGGAAAAATGTTATCACCAGCATATAGTACACATGGTATATACATTATAAAAAAATATAATTGTATTATGAAATTATAAATGTTTGACAAAAAGTTGTCAGTATTCTTTTCTCAGAGTTGCAAATTTTAATTAATTAATTTATGACTTATATTATAATCCAATTCTGCAAAAATAAAAATTACAAAGATTTAATACACTTTTTGGATGAATATAATATATTTAATATATAATATATTTATATTACAGTCTACCGACAATGTACTCCAAACTATGATGGATTGCGATAAACTTTTGGCGACTTTGCCAAATGTACGATGGGCAGAGCCAGTATTTCGGATGGTATCGAATCTATTGGAAACGTCGATCAAATTCCTGTCGGAGAATTTTGCAGGCGTTCTAGGAAATGAAAATTTCCAGTCGCTTGGTCGCGAAATGACATGGAACATTAGTCGCTTAGAAGATAATTTTCTAGCGGCCATCGAACAATTATCGCCCGAACAAGCATGTAAAAGTTATTCGAAATTGAATAAAATGCTACTCACATCACAGACGGACGATCCTCAAGGTAGGATCAAATGGGGACCGCTATTCATCGATTTCTTACACAAACTTCAAACTCGCGTGGAAAAATGTTTGGTGCGCGATGCAGCGCGTGCCGCGAGAACTACTACGTGGCTGAAAATGGATTTAGAACTTCGTAGAAGGATACAGGAGTTAGCTTGTCTTGTGATCTTGCCTCATGAGACATCAAAACGTCTATCCAGACATTCAAACTTTTTGAAGGTAAATATTAATTTTCCTAAAAAGGTTAAAAAAATGTTTATAATGTTCATCTTAAAAATAATAATATAATAATAACAAAAGAGATAAATTTAAAATTGCTAAATTAGAGTTTCTTTGGTATTATTACTTTTATATGTGCAGCATTTTTTTTCTAATAAAATTTCATACTCTGTCTCCGTATTAAAGGAATCTCAGATACCGCCTAATCGCTCGACGATAAACCGCAACTTAGATTTGAAACGCGTAAAAATGGCAATTTCGGAACATAATGATAAATCTTTGAAACAAGTACCATCATCCAAGCAAACGAAGAAAGTTTTCGGTAAACCAAAAACTGATCCGCTTGAGCGTAAAATGCAAGAGGATAAGCAAGTTGTTTCTGAAACTGTCAGACCGAAATCATGGCCTAATAAGATAGAGGTATGTCTAAAATTTTTAAAGATTCATTTATAATTTGAAAATTACTAATAACTAACATTTTCCAGAATTACTAATAACTAACATTTTTCAGAAATTAATTTTAAATTTATTTTTTAAACAATTTATCATTAAAATTATATGTTTAAATAATCATATAGGTAAAGTCTAGATATCTGGAACCGAGAAACAAATCGGTTACAAAGGAGAGTGTACCCACAATGCAACACGATAAGATAGTGCAACAACGGCGCAAAATTATGATTTCTTCATCTGATTCATCGCGCACATCCAGTCCGGCTATGAAACGCGCGATAGATAAGAAGCCGCTATCCAAAATGAAATTGCCAGTCAAGAAAGATGTGAAAGCTCTCTCATCAGACAGTTTGACAGAAGCAAACGCTTCCGGTCGAAGTGGCGGGAAAAGGGACTTGATTAGCAAGAGTTGCGGTATCACAAGACCCGAATCACCTTCCTTCAAACAAAAAACCACTGAAATAGGATTATCGATTGATTCTTTAGAGACTAAGAATAAGCCAGCTGTTGTCAAAAAGAAGCCCAATAAGATGGACACATCAATGTCCACTGATAGTCTCATGACAGAGATAACGGCAACCCCAAAGTCCAATGCGTCCAACAAATTATCACCTACTTTGGCAAAAGCTACAAACAAAACACAAATTTATGATAGGTGAGATAAAATTTACATTAGTACTACTTTTTCTTTTCGACAATTTGCAATAAACGCATTAATTCATCAATTATTTCTTTAAAAAAGCTACATTTTATGTAATAGTTTAAAAAAATGATTTGTTATTATTCTATTAATTATCACGGCTTTACTTCATTTATATTTGATTCTTTGAATCATGTATCAATTATCATATATTTCTTGATTCAAATGATAGAACGAAGAAAAGCTCGCCACCAACACAACAGAGGAGTCCACTGACAGCTGTTAGAAGACCTCTAAGGTCACTAGAAAGTTCTACCGCTGCCAGTCGCAGCAGAGCCGCTGCCATCAGCAGCACATATTACGGTTCACCAAATTTGCGCAGAAACTTATTAGATGCTGCGAAGACACCGGATGTTCCCAGTAAATTGATGAATGCAGTCGCTCCTTTTAAGACGCGACAGATCACGCAGACAAATACTCCTCTTAACACAAGGAGAGAAAGGAAGGAGACGCAAAACTCACAAAGTTCTGACAGCCCCAGCAAAAAATCCTCTCCAAAGTCTAGTGCCGCTAATAGGATGAACAAATCAACAATCACTGGTAAGAGAATTGCCAGTAGCAAAGTTGATGACAAAGTTAAAAGGTGCCATAACGGGGAAGCGCAAAAGCAACCCACAGTAGGTTCGAGATCCGGTACGTTTCTTAAGGATGAACCTACAATACTTAAAAAAGTGGACATTAAATCGTCGCAAATTAATACTTAATGCTATTAATAGTTTCTAAAGCTGGATAACCGATAAAATACGCATTGTCGGCATTTATTTCTATGCTACATGTTATGCAATGTTAAGAAAAAGTTTTGTTGTTAATATTATCTTTAACCGCATCATAAAAATTCCTGAGATATCAAAACTTAAAATTATTTTGTATTACTATATAGTTAAATGTTTATGCATTGTATAATTATAAAAATAATTTATTCTCTTTATGTGAAAGTGTACCTGAAATTATTATATTTAATATTTCTGATAATCATCATAGATGTGGCATAATTTGTATATTAATATATATTATGATTAATGCATATTATAATTTGCTCTATTTGTACTACATATCTAATAATTTTAGCATGTGTCGACAATGCGTTAAGCATACGTATCTCAAAAAATCCAGATTGATAAAGATAACTGTCGCTGGTAATTGCAACGTGATAATTCCAATCGAGGAATCGTATTATATGTAAGATAGAGAAATATAATTTTAATTTAAAGGAGTTTGGGATTATCATTAAAAAAATACGCTCGAATTGCATTTATTAGTTAAATAGAAAATGTGCTATAAATATATCTTATGACGATCATTCAAATAATAGAAAAATTTTCAATTTTGAGTAAGCAATTTTTAATATTTCCTGCTCTTCTAATAGTAAAATAATAACAGATCGAAAAATTTCTCATTGATGAGGAATTAAATATACAGATTATATCTCTAAGAAAAGTGTATATCAGTATCAAGTCTTTTTGTTTTTCATAATCTTTATGTATTTTACTTAGAAAAAATTTTTTTCAGAATTTAGATTCTTAAAACTATCAAATTTTTTTGATTAATTTTATAGAAGCTAATATTTTTATAAATTTTCTAATATTTTTATCTTTTTTTACTATGCCTTATTTATACATATAATTTTATGCAAATCATATATTTTTAAAATTATATACAAACAATTGAATATATAATACACTTCTGGAATTTTCATCGAGTTTTATATATACAGGCTATTGAAATTTCCTAAGAATTTTTGTCTTATTAAATTGATAATTTAAAAATTTTAAATAAGTTTATATAGCTGATTCCATATTTTTACCATTTCAGTATAAAACCACAACACAAAATGATTAATAAACTAATCGAATAAACTTATTGAATGTATTAAAGATTCTATAATATTTAAAAAAAAAATGTTTTTCCAGAATAAAGACTTGTGTAGTCAGATTGCACTTTTCTCAGATTATTGTGTATTGCACAATTAGAATATAAGTAAATAAGTATGATGATATGACGACATTGTTATGAACGGATGTGTACTTAAATGAACAGAATCTCTTTCTTGATTACATGTATACATTAATGTCTCGTAGTACTGCACACATGTGGCGTCTTATAATCTATAGATAAGAGAATGTGGCCAGTTATACAATTTGTTTAGATAGCTCTTCCATCTTATCGCGTAAATACGCCATATCACACCGAATTATTTTATAATAAATAAATATTGTTTCACTAGATGCTGTTTACTTATTACTAATTAAAGTTGCCATTTTATGAACTAATTCCGATTGCAAGTAGCATCTACTTCACTTGCAGTAATTTATCAACAAATTGTATGTATAACCAATGTATTTATTTATTAAATTTCTATCTCTATTTTGCAATGTACATTTTTACGCAATATTTGTATCTAGTCATTTATATATATTTTAATTATTTACCTTTGTGTATGTTAATAAATATGTCGATATAATGTTAAATGTTTTCATGTAGTTCTTTTCACACCTATTATATATCCTCAGAAAATATACTTACAAATATACTTACAAATTCTTAATATCCAATAATGTTCACATCAAAAATTTTTTTTAAATAATTTCTTTAAAAAGCTTATATTAACTATTATACTTGATTTTTATAATTGAGACCGATTTTTTTACGCTCTCTTATTAAAAGAAAAAAAATATCTTTATTTATGACATTAACAACAAATATTAATATATAAAGCAAACTAATTTATTTTAATTAAATGTACATATGTAGTAAATAAGTAAATTAATGTACAATAAATATTACGAGATTCTGCTATACTCTCATATACTGAATTATATAAATCCAAATTTTTGCATAGAAATACCTTTAACGAAAAATTAAACATCTAGTAATGTTCCTCTAGGTCTTGACCTCTTCAAATCCGTCTCAGTAGATGGTATAGCTTTTCGTTTATTCATTCCTTTTCGTTCTAACTGTTTCTCTATGATGCGTGCATTGTTTGCATATGAATCAGCAACTTCTCTCTGAAATTATAAATATTTTTTATAATATAAAAGATAATTTCATTGTTAAATAATAAAGAAATAAATTAATCAAAAAGCACATAATAAATTGAAATAACATTTGTAATAATAAATGGATAAATATATATTACAAGTTCAAAGAAATAATTAAAATTAAAAATATTTTAGAAATTTTAACTTTTAATATTTATCATATATCTATTACATAATACATTTCATACTTTTTTAGTTTCTGGTTATTCTATTATAATCTCTATGTATAACATCTCTATGTATAACTCTATGTATAACACAAATATGACTTACAGCTTCAATTTCATCCTCTTCTTCATCAATTGTGGATACAGTAACAGAGCTGAATTTTCCCATATTTTTGGTATGCTTTGTAACCATTATTTTTTTAGGTTTCTCAATGGCTACTTGATTATAAATATCTGTCATAGGACCATCGCCAGAATTTTTTATTACCGAATCTTTTACTATAAATACTATATTTGCCCCTGGATCATGCTTATAGTATAGTAATAAGCCACATCTGTCATAAACAATCATATTAAAAAATCATATTAAATTATTTATGCTGTAAATCTTGAAAAATGTTTTCAATATTTATATACATACATAAAATAAATATATAATGTCATAAAATAAATATATATTGAAATAACTAATGAGACGTATGAATATATTTTCTGACATGCAATACAACAATAAAAGTCTATACTTTTTACACTTTTGCCTATATTGTTTTTCTATTCCCTCTGGACGTTTGAGAAATATAATCTCATCTCGCTCTGAAGTCATTTTATGAGCATGTTTACTACCATCGATGACTCTTGCTCCATCTCTTTTTCTTAATGGCAATTTTTCAATTGCGCAATCTACAAATTAAAATCAATATGACTTGTGAATATTCAAAAGTTATATATTATTATATATTATATATTATTTTATATTAACAATATAACATTGTATTTATATAGAGTATTAATATCAATTCAAATTAATTTAAATGGTAAATGTGAAAATTTTTTCATGGAATATATTTCCCGAAAAAACACATACACACATATACAATAATACTTAAATTCATTAAATTTATTTTTTATTGTAAAACTGACAACTTTTGCTACAAACTATTTTTTTTTAATTAATACATATAATATATGACTATTAAAAAATACAATTCTAACCTAGAATTAATGTCATCTGACCGCATAAACAATAATAGATATGCAATGGCTTCTCCTCGCTATATTCCTCCTGATCTTTCGTATCGGAGCATATAATGCTCCTCGACACTACTTTTGGCATAACTTAGTTAATTATTTAATCACTTCAAATTTACAAGTTTTACTTTTTTTAATCTGTTGCACCAGACCATACGCATACGATGAGTCTGTTCGTTTTAGCTGCACTGCTGCACTAGTGCAATAAGTTAGAAAGAGACAAACATACTTTCTTTCGGGAGCGTCCCATTTGACCACGTTGCGATTGACCACAGCCAATTAAATCAACCTGTGCCTATGGTAACCAGCACCGATTAACCAATTAGAGAGTCCTATTTTGAATTGGCCAATTGGCGACGTGGTCAATCGGGTGCAACCCCTTTCTTTCACTCTAACTAATTGCACTAGTGCAGCAGTGCAGCTAAAACGAACAGACCCGATATTTCCCATCAGTGACCAGGGATGTATCATACCTTTTCTTGTATGTTCAATCTTTTCCTAATATATCTGTTTATCGAGTGTTTTTATCTTTTCTTGAAACTTTTGAATTTACACAAATAAATTCTATTTACATTCTATTTGATTGGCCGAGTATGTATAATATATTTTTAATCAATTAAAAAAGTATAAAATGTATTTTATATATATATATATACAGGGTCTACCAAAAGTGTGGAAACCCCTAAATATCTCGGAAAATATACGTTTTACAGAAAAGTGTTTCCAACAAAAGTTGTAGGGTTTAAGAAGATCTATATACTGATTCTATCAGTTTGACCTTGGATGGCGTCGTCAAGGTCAGGTCAAGGTCACATTGACTTTTTTAAATGACACCCCCTACATTTGATTGCATATTCTTATAGCTTAATTCAAGAGCTTTCCAAAACACTATAATAATGTTCATTTTTATTAAGTACTTTGCGAGTTATGAGGGTTGAAATAATTTCTTAATTTTACATAAACCATAAAATATCTAGTAAACCATTCATTTTTCGATTATCTTACCTTCATACTTTTATGTACAAATTAATGAGAGGAATCAATTGGTATAAAGAAAACACATAGTTGTTTCTAAGAAAAAATATGTAATTTGCAATTAACAATTCCATATTTTTTCTTAAAAACACCTGTATGTTTTCTTTACACCAATTGATTCCTTTCATTATTTTGTACATAAAAGTATGAAGGTAAGATAATCGAAAAATGAATGGTTTACTAGATATTTTATGGTTTATGTAAAATTAAGAAATTATTTCAACCCTCATAACTCGCAAAGTACTTAATAAAAATGAACATTATTATAGTGTTTTGGAAAGCTCTTGAATTAAGCTATAAGAATATGCAATCAAATGTAGGGGGTGTCATTTAAAAAAGTCAATGTGACCTTGACCTGACCTTGACGACGCCATCCAAGGTCAAACTGATAGAATCAGTATATAGATCTTCTTAAACCCTACAACTTTTGTTGGAAACACTTTTCTGTAAAACGTATATTTTCCGAGATATTTAGGGGTTTCCACACTTTTGGTAGACCCTGTATATATATATATATATATATATATATATATATATATATATATATATGTATAATATATTATATATACTTGACACACATACACTGTGCAAATGAAATATATTAAAAGTTTCATATGCTAAAATTTGCATAAAATTTCCATAGATATTTCTATAAATATTTTTATTATTTATTTGAATATGCAATATATTTATTTATTAAAATTTCTCATTTTAATTCTTATCTACTTTTTGATTAAAAGAATTACTGTATACATAATTTATTTTTACGTTTGTAATAATGACAAATATATTTCTTCCTATAGTCTTACAAATAAAATTAACGAATTAAATAGTCATAATTAAATATACTTTCCTTTCATTTTTGTCTTTCCGTTTCTCTCACAGGGGGTTTTACGATATAAGGAATCGGCACTGCTTCGCGTACCGCGTACGCATAATTCACGCACAACACTCGTCTCGCGTGTGAACGTTCCCAGTGTGTACTGCACTTTACATACTTTGATATCTCGCATAAAAGGTAGGAAAAGTTGAAGTGAAATTTTGATGGACACTCGTAAAAAGCTGACAAGACGAGGCATATTAAAGAAAAAGAAATCTAATCAGAATTGGCCGGTTGAATTTTGTTTGTGTGAATTATTCTATAGTAAAAGGATTAAACTTTAATAATCTAACCTGAGTGCTGTGTAAGGTACAGTTTTGGTGGAGATATATATTATAAATGACATATATATATTATTAATTTTCTCTATTGTCTTTTGTAAAATTTGATTTCTTTATATTCGTTATATTCTAAATATATTCTAAATATTCTAAATATAAATGTTATATGGCATATTATGTGCAAGTATTATTGCAGGGAATAATGTGTCCTTGAATGTTGCTCATGATAGCTTATCTGTAGACTATGCAAATAAAAGTATATATCTCACACAGATTTTTGATAAATTCTTAAAAAATAGTAAAATTATCATGAAGTGTCCATTATCAATATAATATAAATGTAATGTGATATAAAGATTAATCACAGGAAAGAGTAAAAATATATAATATACTATAATTTTTATATTTTTATATTAAAATTATATGTATCAAATTTAAGATATATTAACTAATACACACACACACACACACACACATATATATATCAAAACTAAATTCTACATTTATAACAATTAAAAATATAACAAATGAGATATATTAATGTTAAATTTTAAGTAAATTTTAAATAATAAAAGAATAATAATTGTAATTGCAGATGGGCGAACCATCAGGATTAACCAATAGTGAAACCCGTGAGCTTTGCAAGCCACCAGATCCTGCAACAAATGGATATATTATGCAACAAACAATGTATCGTATTAAGGATCCAAGAAAATCTTTACCTTTTTATACCGAAGTACTTGGTATGACATTGTTGCAAAAGCTTGATTTTCCAGAAATGAAATTTTCTTTATATTTTCTTGGTTACGAAAATCAGAAAGACATACCAACTGATAAAAGAGAAAGTATTGAGTGGACATTCAGTAGAAAAGCAACTATAGAGTTAACTCAGTAAGTTTTTTTACACAATTGTTTCTATGTACTCTGTTAGAATATAAGGATTAAGTATTCTTATACAAAAAAATAATTGTATTTTAGTAATTGGGGAACAGAAACAGATCCAGATGCAAAATATCACAATGGAAACTCAGATCCTAGAGGATTTGGTAAGGGGGAGGAGGGAAAAGCAATCAAATATCTTAATTAGAATAATTTACAATTATTTAAATTACATAAAATTTGGATATACTGGCATTATTTAAAGAAAAATTTAAATCTTTATTGTAAAATTTTAATAGAAATAATATTCTTTCCTTAAATACAGGTCATATTGGAATAGCAGTACCTGATGTTGAAAAAGCATGTGAAAGGTTTGAAAAGTTAAATGTGGAATTTATAAAAAAACCAAATGATGGCAAGATGAAGGGACTTGCTTTCATTAAAGATCCTGATGGTTACTGGATTGAAATCCTGAATGCTTTAAATCTTCCCAAAATTGTATTAGGTCATTAGCATATCTTGCATTCTGAAATAATTAAACTATAAATGTAACAAATTGAACTGGACATAATATTTTATCAAGTAACTATTGAATCATTAATAAAATCAGTATATAGGTGCAAACCAAAATCTATATAAGTTAATTAGAGTGTGAAATGATACATATTTATGTATACTATATTTTGTAGTAATGTACATTCTCTTATATCACATTATGTTATATATGTATAGAATATTGTAACGTTTACCAAATTCTCAATGAATAAAATCAAAATATTTATTTTTTATTTGCACATAGTCACTATTTTACTGCACATTTAGGGAGATCCGAAAAATAGGATATTTTTCAATGTTTATATATATTAAATATTCTCATACATTATATCTATGCAATTACATGCAATATTTGTAAACAGTGCTAAACAGATGTTTTTCAATTTAAAATATCTATTAAAATATAAATATTTTAAAAGAATCGATATTTGATTTATAATTTTTTATTCGATATTTTTATAAAACAATACAGAAAAAATCTCGAATATTCGATAATATCGATTAACGGTAAACACTTCTAAAACATCTGTCTTCTACCGCAAGCAGTTTTCAGAACGCGAAATAGAGACAGCAAATCGTCGTATATGATATTTCCTTTCAACATTATTATCATTTACAATTTTCCACGATTTTGATTGTTACTGTTTTTTCCGCAACCTAATACGCGAGATTGTGATTTTACTTTCTCCTCATTTTCAATGCGCGTTTCTGGATTTTAGGTTACACTACTGTCAACCGCAATCTGAAACAAACGTGTTTACCCTGATAGGTATTTTTGTAAAATTTTTATTAAATATATATTACAGTATTATTTATATAAAATTAATTTTTAATAGACTTGAATTATCCATATTCTGAATAATGAAATATATTTTTTCACTCCACACGAGGTTAATTGTCATTTGTGTGATATCTGTCAGGTATGGTAGAGGATAAAAAATATGAGATCTCAAGCCGTATCGAGTGTGACGGATATCGGGGTACATTAAAATACGTTGGACCTGTGGGAAATACAAAAGGAGAGTGGTTGGGTATAGATTGGGACGATTCGACTCGTGGCAAGCATAATGGCACATACGAAGGAATAGTATATTTTCAAGCCAGGTAAAATACCTACTCTATTAATAATGACAATAATTTATATTTCTATGCGTACTAACTGTGTATGTAATCTTTGATAGACATTCCACATCAGGCTCTTTTATACGACCAGGCAAAGTCAAGTTTGGAATATCCTGTCCACAAGCTATCAAAATGCGCTATGGATTGATTGATGATGAATTAGCAGGCATAGACAGGGATGAAGTGTCGAGTTTAAGGAGAGAAATCAATGCACCCTTTTTAGATCTTGTCGGTTTCTCCAAAGTGAATAAGAAGCAAAGTAAATTTGATCAATTGAAAATAGTATGGCTAAGGGAACAATGTGTAAGCGATGCTGGAAGACCAGATGAGCTGAGAGAACTGTGTCCTAATTTAGAAGAACTGGATATATCTAAAAACTTAATAAATTCATGGAAAATTGTAGCGGATATATGCTCTCAACTTCATTCTCTTATTCGTCTTAATGTCAGGTGAATATAAAGATGTTTATTTTGAGATGACACTTTTTAAAACTCTTTTAGAATATTAAATATAACATTAAAAATGTAAATATTAATAATAGTTATATTAATATATTAATATATTGATAAGTATGAAAAAATTGCTTATAAATTTTTATTTTCACAGTGAGAATTATCTGCCTGTTAAAGAAGATGTGATGGCACTGAAAAATTCATTTGCAACAGTAAAGCATTTAACAATAGCTAAAATGAATTATAATTGGTCTGATATTCAGCAATGTATATCTATGTTCTCATCAATTGAAGAACTTTCAGTTTCTTTTAATATTGTTACAACTATAAAAGAGACAATAACAAATATCAATTTAATGAAAATCGTTACATTAATACTCGAAGGAAATTTAATATCGAGTTGGGATGAGATACTTAAACTAGGTTCCCTTCCATGGTAAAATGCATTATAAAATATCCAAGTTTAATATCGAAAGAGTGCAAAATTTATATAATATATAAATCGTATTTTGTTTACAGCTTGGAATATCTCAATTTGAATTCAAATAAAATAGATAGAATTAGATTTCCATCTTTAACACCAATGGACAAGACTGAACTTTTTCCTACTTTACGTCAACTACATATTTCTGAAAACCACATTTCAGAGGTAAATGTACTTTTATATTATGAATAATATTAAAATATACATGAAAGAGAAAGATGTAAAATCATATATTTATTAAGATTTCTAACCAAATCATTATTTGACATTTTTAGTGGCAATCAATTAACGAATTGGATAAACTACCAAATTTAGAAGATTTAAAATTCAGAGAAAATCCCATCTTGAAGAATGAAACTATAGAGACTGCTCGGCAATTGATAATCGCGAGAATAGCGAAATTAAAAATCTTAAATGGTACAGAAATATTTCCTGTTGAAAGAAGAGGTGCTGAATATGATTATTTAAAACTATATCTACCAAAATGGCTAGAAACAGAGAATAGGATATCGTTTATAAATGAACATCCGCGATATCCTAAGTTAATCGATAGTATGTATAAACTTTATCTTATGAATATCTTCTGATATGATAAATATCTTCTTTTATAAAATTTGAATTTAGAGAGAGAGAATAAACTTTTATATTATATAAAAGTAAAAAGAATTATTTCATACTTTCAGAATATGGAATTGCAAATATTCCCTCAATTAAACCAAAAGTAGAAATGGTTTCCAATGTGATAACAGTGGAGTTTGTATGTCCAGATGATCCACGTCAGCCTAGAGGAATTAAAAGGAAATTGCTTAAAGACATGGAAGTCCAAAAAATGATCGGACTTGCTCAGAGACTTTTCAAAACTGGAGGGAAAATACCTGCTCTTTCATTTATTTCACAGGATGTAAGTCTAATATTATTAGATGAGAAAAACATTTATATACTCTTTTCACTAATTATATATATAAATGCTATATTGTGACATTACAGCTATCAAATGATGAAATTTCGTTGGATAAACCGTTGCAAGAACTCAGTTACTATTCGATACAAGATGGTGATCAAGTTCTTGTAAGATGGTGATATCAGATAAATTATTTTTAGATATTGTTATTTTTTGTATGCTGTTAAAATTTGCTCTATGATACTTTGTTATTAAACTTTTTTTAATTTGCATTGCATTCTTAATGAACCTTGCTAACAAATTTTTTAACTTGATGAGATAAACTTACAAAAAAAGAAGAATATGTACTATTAAATTTAAAAAAGTATATACTTATTATATCTTACACTCTATACTTACAATACAATTGTGGTCAAAAGTACAAATTATAATTAGGCATTTGTACAAGCAAACAGCATGAGATATATTTTTTGTAAATAGTGCAGATTATTTTGCCTAAGTAAACTGAATTACTCGGCCTAGTGTCATACTATCATTTTTGCTGTGCTTTTTGTTCAATTTTGGCAGCCTCTTCTTTCTCAAGTTGTTCTCTTGTCAGTAATGACAATCCAAGCTGATTTTCACGTGTAAATGGCTGTGCCATTTGTCGTAACCATCTTTTACTGATCTGGAAATTGTATAAATAAACATTTTGATTGTATAAAGCACAAACAAAATTGTAATCATTAATGATACCTATTATCAAATGAGAAATTAAAAATACCTGTATAGCTTCTTCGGTAGATAAGTTGCATAAATTGTCATTTAAATGTTCCTGTATCCATTTCGGTAATTTACTTCGTTTATCTATTCTCGAAAATCTCTGCAATATAATGTAATATAAGAGAAAGTCATAATTATATCGTCTCAAAAATATTTTTGCATTGATTTTTGTACATTAAAAACTATTCTCAATCAAAAACGATTTACCTTATCTGCAAACACCATTATACCATAATCGGTTTTACCTCTAATCGCACGCCCTACGCACTGAGCGGCATGTCTCATAGCGTCAAAAGTTAAGAAATCGTTCTCTCGAATCTGTAAAGATATTACAGTTCGTATATTTCATTCGCATATATCATGTATATTTCATTTGTATATAAAAAAAATCACTATAACAATTTTAACATTACATTGCACTTACTTGAAATTGATCTCTGAGGTATTCTAAACGTGCCTTTAAGATTCGCGATTGCGTGTACACATAAGGTATACCAAACATCAGTACAGCCCTACCCAAGTGATGATCGAAGTCGACGCCTTCGGACACCTTTCCACGAGCTACAGAAAGCAAAACGGCTCCCCTACCGTTTTCACAAGCCTTTATGTAATTTATCAGAGCTAAACTGGTCTCTGCTGAATCCTGAGTTTCGATAAAAAGTAATTTATGCCTTTGAAGTTGATCCACAACTCCTTGATCGTACCTATAATGCGTTTTAAAAATCTATATAAATTACTCTGTTATAAAATTTTAATATTTTATATATATATGTACACAAACACATACCAAGCAGCTACCACAGATTCCATATATAAATACGATGTAAAAAAGCATACTAAGCCATCAGGTACTGTTGCAGCAAATTCGACCAACAATTGACCGTAATTTCTTATAACAGCCACGTCTTCTCGTGTCTCATATTTGGACGAAATAGTCACTTGATCATTACCTTTGCCGACAATCTGATGCAGGGAATGTAAAAGTAGATAAATATTAAAAAATATCAAGATTACTTTGATTTCTGATATTTTTTAACTTACCATAGGTAAAAGGCATGGTCTAGCCAATGTCATTGTAAACGATGACATTATAACTGGATGAAAGTTTAAAATTTTTGGATACATATCCAACGGGGAGAGCGTTCCGGAAGTGATTATCACAGATTGAAATCTATCAAATATAGGTTTGACAGCGATAGAAGAATCTAAACAACTAAAATGCAAAATTGGATTCAAAACTGTCGGCGTTTTGTCATCGAACGGTTCCACTATAATCGTGAAACCGTGCGTGTACGTGGAGACTAATGTTGCAAGATGAGTCACCAGAATTATTGGAGAAAAATCTGTTAGATCTGTTATTTCCATTGTGCGTAAAAGAGATGCTAATCTTTGGGCGCAAAATCGCAATGGCTTTCGTTCAATAGCGACTTTTGCTTGAATGTCCCTCAAAAATGCCGCGGGTGATTCTTGCACGACGTGTTGGACACGTAAACGAGTTTTCAAGTACTCAACGAATCGTTTCAGGAAGCTGACGAAATGCTCAGCATTTCTTATGTTGCCCGGAACGACTTCTGTGTACATATTTAAACAAAAATTTTAATACAGATTTTGCTTTGTTAGATATAGAACATTTCCTTTGCATAAAAAATGTAACATTTTTGCCAACCTTCGAGTACTTCATTTGGTAAAATAGGATTGGCTAAAATGACGTCGGTTTCTCTCTGCAATTGAGCATCTTTCAATCCCTCGACCAATCTATTGTATTCTTCCTTCAATTTATTTACATCAACTTCTCTCATTCTAATTAAAAACATAATTGATTTTATATCTAATTATATATTTGAATCCTAATAATAAATAAGAATTTGAGACTTACTCGGCTACAGTTTTCTCTAAGAGTTGTATATTAGTCGAACTTTTTTCCATTAATTTCCTATTTATTTTCACACTCATAGAATCAATGCAAACATTATCTAAAATTTATAATCCATTATTTTGTATTCTAAATTATTGTAAAATTAACATGAACACAATATTAGTTTTTATACCAATGTTATGAGCCTCATCAAAAACAACTACTGAATTCTTGCTTAGTTCTTTAGATACAGTTTCAGCAATTTTTGGATCCAATAAATAATGATAACTGTAAACTACAATTTGTGCATGTAAAATCTGAAAATACAGAGAATACTGATTATCACACAGTTTAAATAATCGTACGAACGCGTAAATAAAGATTTATGAAGTTTCTTACTGTAAATCTTGCAAGGAAATATGGGCACCAATTACGATCTTTTCCATAATCTTTCAAATCATCAATGGAATAAATACCAGGAGGAATAATTTGTTCTCTACCTTCCATATCAAATCCTTCGTAAAAACTACAAATTGGTGTAGATTCATCATAATTATGCCTTTCTCGTACATATGATGCAGTAAGAGAATGGCAACGACCATCCACAATTTTACCTTCTCGCTCTCTACTGACCTATAAACCAATTAAAAAATATAAAAAATATAGTTAATCTCTTAATACTTAACTCAATACTTTTCACTAATCATCTAGTAATTACTAGTCAAATTACTAGTCAATTTTATAAAGACATAAGTGAAAAAATTTAATTACCTCAGGATGAATACACATATTTTTACGAGAGCTAAGAACTAAGCCAACAATCTTAGGTTTGCTTTTGGTTTCTTTCTCATAGTAATCTATAAGTTTCTTCAATTCCTCTATAACTTTCTCAATCTCTGGCACTGTTCGAGAACAATAAATCAATTTTGTAACATCCAATGGATGCTCCAACATATATGCTACAATGAGTGATAACAGTGTTATTGTTTTGCCAGTGCCTGAAGGCATTTCCAATAAACAGTGTCCCTAATATATAACATTTAACAGAACTTTATCAATTTTTCTTAATATATTCAAAATAATATCAACAATATAAATCAACATATAAATATAAAGAATAAAAATACAAAAGAAAATACCTTGGCATCCAAGCCACGCTTGAGCTCAAGCATATATGCATATTGCTCCGGATAAATATAATCATAGGGAAAATATACAATCAATCCGTCAACACTTATCCTGTAATAAAAATGTATACTTAGAAATAAATACATAAAACAAATGTAATATTTTTGTAATAAACATTTTACAACTTACTTCATATTGTTATTCGCGTTATTACGTTATGTATATATAACATTCATAAATTAAAAAAATTTCTCTCTCCTACACACAAATTATATTATTTCTTAATCGATTCGGAACTTTTCAATGAAGAGAGTCGGAGAAAGCAATAAAATGCAAAGAATATGAAAAGAAAAAAATGCCACAGATAGAAATAGCTCAAGATGAAGTGCAATTATATCTTCTTTCCAATTTTTATATTATCCAGTCTTGTGAATTTGTATACAACATGGAAATTTTGATCTTTGACTGTACTTCATTGCGTTCTTGAACGCGACAATTTTGAAATCTTTGATCAATGATTGGTCAATTAAACTAGAGAACCTCTAGGAGAGAGAATGGACAACTGATCAAGCTTTTTCATGATTGGCTGGCAGAAAATGTATCAATTTTAGCTATTGCGACGCCAATGCAAAATATTATGACACACAAATAGGACACACATGACACACATATATTAACCTATTTGTGTGTATCATATTTTGCATTGGCGTCGCAATAGCTAAAACTGATACATTTTCTGCCAGCCAATCATGAAAAAGCTTGATCACATGTCACATGATCAGTTGTCCATTCTCTCTCCTAGAGGTTCTCTAAATTAAACACTACTTAATCTTGCCAGTAGGATTTTCGAACGAACGCTTGGAAAATAAATGCGATTTGTTAATTGGTAGAGGAATCGACCAATCATCATTCGTTTCAGATTCGTTTTCTCGCCGGAAGATGTCGGATCTTTTTTCTTTTTCGATACTTCTTCATTTCCTGCTGAAAATCTTGATGCTATTGAGCACATGTGTGATTGAGAAGAATATATAATAATTTAAGAATATATAATAATTTCTATGTTTTTATAACTTGAACGTGTATAAGGTTCATCATGGGTAAACCAGGTAATGTGAATATGTATTATTTATGCCGATCTTTTTAGTTTGCAATTTTTAAACGGTGATTAAACGATGATAAGATTCTCATCAAGGAGGCTAACCTTCAATCAAAAATGCATTTTAAAATTTATCACGTGGCCAGAGTTTAATGCTGCTTTAATTTTTTGTATTACTTAGACTCGTGGCTATTTTTAATAGTAATTGCGATAATCATAGATATATGTTTATGTCATGTTGCAAGTAGTTTTCCCTATTAAGCAACATGATTAACCTTACAATGTATGTGAACGTGCATTATGTTCATGCGTTGTTAATAAATATCTTTTTCATTACAACTTTGTACACGTATGATTACGTTATATTATTATAATTTTTATAAGTCTTAAGCCGGAATTCATAGTTTATGTATTTTAGAGAAAGGAACTTGTACTTAAAAAAATACTATACAGAACATTAATTTATTTCTGATTAAATTAAGATGCAAATATAAAAAAATCTCTCTCTCACTCTCTCTCTCTACTTCTCTCTTTTGGTACAAATAATCACCTTAAGTAAGCTTTGGAAATGTTATACGGCTATTTCGTTGGCTGAACAGAATCTTAAGACAACCTAAGACCTGACTTAAGATAATCTTGAATATAAGATCGAATTTCGGTCTTAATTCATTTAATGTTATCTTATGGTTATCTAATATTTTCTATATATTATTTCAATTTCTATATATATTATTTAAGTAATATATATATATATATATATATATATATATATATATATATATACACACATATATATATTTTTTTATTATATTTATATATTTTTTTTAATTTGTACCAAAAGAGAGAAATAGAGAGAAATTTTTTTGTATTTGCATCTTAATTTAATCTGAAATAGATAAATGTTCTGTATAGTATTTTTTTAAGTAAATAAATTCCTTTCTCTAAAATACATAAAATATATGTTTCGAAAAAATTGAAAAGAAGATCTTTACATTGAACATTTGCTCTTTAAATTTAGTACAGTGAAATAAATGTCTCTTTAAAATCACAAATACTATACGTGTATAAATTAATTTTTTTCATTTATTTTTCATGTACTCTAATGTTTCTTTTATAATTTGCAGCATTTTCACCAGGTAGAGGTGGTGGTCGTGGCGGTGGCCGTGGCCGTGGAGGTGGTCGTGGCGGTGGCGGTCGCGGTGGTTTTGGAAGTCGTGGAGGAGGTCGTGGAGGTGGAGGTGGTAGAGGTGGAGGTGATAGAAGAAGTGGTGGCAGAGGAGGTGGCTTTAAAGGTGGAAAGAATGTAATAATAGAGCCGCATCGTCATGAGGGAGTATTTATAGCCAGAGGAAAGGAGGATGCATTAGTGACTTTAAGTTTAGTACCTGGAACAGCCGTATATGGGGAAAAAAGAATCAGTGTAGATGTAAGCTCAACTTGTATTGCAATAATTTTACAGCATTTGCTTTTTATATATTTCTGTGAATTAATAATGTAATCTTCCATATTATGCAGACTGAAAATGGTGAGAAAATTGAATATAGAGTATGGAATCCATTCAGATCCAAATTGGCTGCTGCTATTCTTGGAGGTGTTGATCAAATTTATATGCCTCCTGGAAGCAAAGTATTATATCTAGGTGCTGCATCAGGTACCACTGTGTCTCATGTTGCGGATGTAGTTGGTCCAGTAAGTTGATTTATATCAAAAAATTATGCAAAAAAGATATGAGAAATTATTTTATTTATGCATACATTAGAGCCAAGTTAGCTGATAATTATTAACTTGGTGTCGAAGTGATGCTAGAAAAATTATATGCTTGCTTTTTTCAAATGAGTAAAACATAATTTTACTTTAAAAAAAAGAGCATACAGCAATTACATATTAATAATATTAATAAATTTATAAATTATATAGAAGGGACATTGAGAATAAATATTCCGATTTTTATGTATATAGGAAGGGCTTGTATTTGCAGTGGAATTCTCCAACAGAACAGGCAGGGATCTTATAGAGGTCGCTAAGAAAAGAAGTAATATTATTCCCATAGTCGAAGACGCGAGGCATCCCCAAAAATATAGAATGTTGATAGGAATGGTGGATACCATTTTCTCGGATGTAGCACAGCCGGATCAAGCTAGAATTGTTGCTCTAAATGCACAAAATTTCCTTAAGAGTGGCGGACATTTTGTTATTTCTATTAAGGTAAGATATTCATGATTTATAAACAATATCATATGAAATATAGCATTAAGCTTAACAATTTATTATTTATTAATTTAAGGCGAGTTGCATAGATTCACTTTCACAACCCGAGGTGGTGTTCGCGTCGGAAGTGAAGAAACTAATAGCTGACAACTTAAAACCACAGGAACAAATCACTCTTGAACCATATGAAAGAGATCATGCTGTTGTAGTCGGTGTTTACAGGCCACCGAAAAAAACTACCTAAAATATATATGTAATTATTAAGATTACTAATTATACTGATTTATATCCATTTCTAATTTTTATCTGCTACATTATATAATTAATCGAATGGAGGAAATGGAAAATACGAGAATATTTTAAGATAAAAAAACATGATTTACTAAAAATAAAAAAAAATAGTTCATAATGTATGTATATAAATTTCAACTGTTATCCATGTAACAGTCTCTTATTGTTATCCTTATTTTCTCGTATTGCCGCATTGCTTTTTCTTCTTGATATAAATTTTGAAGTTCTGTCATGAAATAATGTTTGCTAAGAATTGATATATGGAAAATTGTTTATGAGTAGCATAGCAGACTAAGTCGACATATGTTGACGGGATACGTTGAATTTACATTTGCGCTGATATTTTTTGACAATGCTGAATTGTAAATTTAAAATTTAATTATTCAAATGTTTTATATATGACACTACAGTACTTTATTTCATACACATAATGTTTGCACGTTGCACAATTGCATATTTTAAACGGTTACAAAATAACGAATATGTAATTCCAAATATGATTGAACTTATTTGACTTATATATATTTTTTTTATATGTATAAAAGAAATTAAAGATAATCAATGCAATATAAATATAAAAGTAAATATATTTTTAGATAAATATCAGTGTCATATATAAGTCATAAAATGAAATGATCTTCTTTTATACAAGTTGCTCTCTTTGAAGGCAATTTTGATTTATCTAAGCTCTATTAAAAACATATATAGATAGGGAGATAATAAAAGAAAGATAAAAAAAGATATAAAAATTCTTTAATATTTATTTTAAAATATTCATTGAATTTGCAGTAATGTGTAACGAATAAACTATAAAATGAATAATCGTAATTTCTTTATAAACATTAAACATTTTATACATTTCCATATTAATATGTATTAAAAAGAAATAAAAATTAAATATGAAATAGAAATTAGCGTTAAAAAGCTTTAAGCTTTTTTCATATTATTATATATATGTGTGTATGTGTGTGTTGGCATAATTTATTGTTTTTTCACTTTCAAATATCCAATTATTTCAAAGATTTTTGGTTTTTGAAGTATCGATGATCTGCCAAGTTCATATCAATTTATTTTTTCTCATGCTCAAACTGTCAAACTTTCACTCTAAAAGATTAAATTGACAAGTTCATCATTACTTAATTTTTGGATTAATATATAAAAAAATAATTATATTTTTATTTGCATATATTTATCAATTTCTACGCAATTTATGACAAATATATTAGAAATTACAAATACATAAAAAAGAAATGTGATATAAAAACGAAGTTCCGCCGTTGGAGTTTTGATAAATTAAAATCGATATGCAGCGCACATCTTTAAATGCATCCAAGAGCAGTAAGTTGAGGGAAAAAGGATATTTCTCTTTTAATCCAAGAAATATTCTTTTTCATCCCACAGGTCTCGCCATCAGCGAACGCCGGAAATCATTAAACAAAATATTGAACCGTCAAAGATCAACGATTATGATCGCTCGCAAAATTAATTCAGCGAAAACATATAATCACGTTCGTCTCGTGGGTGGCGCGGATATTTCTGAAGAACCTAATAATGTAGAACAAACCCTTGCGGAAGCATCACCATCTATCCAGGAAATACCACCACCACCACCACCATCTCCGACTCCGCTGACACCATCACCATCGTCCGTAAAAGAATCTGTAAATACATTACCTGCGGAAGAATCTACGCGATCGGAAATTACAGATAAGAAATCTCATGAAGATAAAGAACCTATCTCTGCAAGTGGCCCATGTTGCTTTTGCGTTTCACAAATGCCACGATTAGTCGGGTAATTAATTACATATTCGCTTTGAAAAATGTTATATTTAATTCAATCTATTAAATTATTGTCAATTTGCCTCAAAAGAATACGACTAAAGTAAATTACAATAGATGCACAAATGTATATCGTTTATAATACATATTTGTTTAAAATACATCATTAAAATATCTTTATATATTTATTAGATATTCTAACAAAAAGAAAATATTTCAAAAACATTCAGAAATACTATGTATTGATAGAATTACATATGTGTTCTCTATTTGTAATATATATTACATAATAAATATATATTTATTATTTAGTATTCTTTATTTACAAATTGAATATATTTTTGAAATTATTCTCTCCTATAACAGTTCATTTATGCAAAATATCTTATTGTTTTGAATCATTCGCCAACAGGGACAGGAAGGTAGATGAAATAATTGAATACGTTCACCAAAATCTCGAGGAGGCTGGCAAGGCTTTAGCAACTTTGGGCGAGAACTTCGAGCATGAGTTAAAGGTTGAGCCTCACATTCAACTAGAATGTCATAAAACTGTTTCGACTTCTCGAAGACGAAAGAGGCGAGGGTACAATTGACAACTCGTATTTTTTGTGTTACAAATATGATGAATACGATATCGATTATGTGCGCATAAAAACAAAAATCTTTTCAAAAATTTATAAGATATATAAACGCTTGAAAATTTCCGGTCTTTTTGAAAAAAATAAATTTTTCAATTTCTTTCTTTATAAATTTTTATAAAAACTTAATCGCAATTGTCTATTTATTTAATCTGATTTAATTCTACTACAAAAATGCTGCTGTATTAAATATTTATTAATTATTTGTCCTTAAATTCTCGCGAAAAGTTTATTTTTTGTTTTTTTTTTTCATGAAAGTTGATGTTCGTCGATATCCTGGGTCGAATCAAACAGTGGTCCGGTATCGTGCAAAACAAACTCGACGCCTGTAAAAATGAAATTGGCAATCTTCACAAGGAATTATTAGCCCGTGCATGCGAAATGGACGTTCTTAAAGCTCAGATTACAGAATATCAGAATCCTTCTTTATTGGACGAATCATCAAAGAAGAATCATAAAATAATTAGACCAGAACAAGAAAAAGAAAATAAAGTAAGATTTAACATTTTTGATTTAATATTTTTATTTTAAAAAGCAAGAATAAAAGAATTAAATATTAAAAAATTAAAAATAAATATATATTTGTATATTTATACGTATAACTAATTTAACTCTTAATAAGAGAAAATATGTCGTAACAAAATTGGCCGTTATATAATTTGTATTTATGAATAATTACAGAATTAATTATAAGTTAATGTTATCAATTCATACTTTATTTATAATTTTACATTATATTATGTTAAAAAAATTGAATTTAAAATCTTGCAGAAGATCCATGCAGAAAACTCCTTAGCAGAAGATAAGAAAATTACGAACAAAGATATAGTGCAAGTTGTTGATCAAATAGAAAAAGGAGATGAAGAGAGGACAGAAGAAGTGCGAATCATTAATCAAACTCTCAATTACCAAGAAATCAAGAATACAATACAAATTACTGATCAAACAGATGAAGAAGTAAAGATCAAAATGAAAGAAGAAAGAGCACGAATTGTCGACAAAGAGAATGAAGAGGAACCTGTCCTAAAAAAAGAAATCAAGGAAGATCAAATAGAAGCAACTATGGCGGCTCCAACCACAGTGCTGAATAAAACGAAACGAGAGTCTGAGGTAGCTTCCTAAAATATATGATATTATATTGTTACATATATACTATACTATACTATTCTGTTGCATTTTTCATTTGTCAGTTATTCATAAATAATAATATTCTTTCTCAATAGCTCGAATCTGAAATCACATTGCTTCGAAAAGAATACAATAGAGTCATCAAGGAGCGTGCTGAATATGAAAATGCGATACAACGAGCTTTGTTGCGAGGAGTGTCATCCTTGAATGTCGAAGCATTGAGAGTCTTGCGATGTCCACCAATACCCTGCTGCATTCCTTGCGCACCATGCCCGGCAACTGCAGGAATCATTCCACCGTAAGATTTTTTAATATTAAATTGCTAACAAAAAACAATTTGATTTTATACACATTAATAAATTTTTTAATTTTTATAATATACATCAAAATATTTTTTATCTCAGTATTTTCATATAACATAATTTATATTTTTTTCCTACATCGAAGAAAATATATTTATTTATATATATTTATATATACATATAAAATATAACATATAAACTATTATTAATAATAAATAGAAAAAATATATATATATATATATATATATATATATATATATATATATACAAAAAAGAAAAATGATCGTTAAAAATGCGAATGATTATACTTGGAAATATATATTATCGATTCTTAGCGAACCTGTCGTACCGTGTCCTGCCAAAAGCGCGAAAAGACGTTCAGGCTCTACTACTGCAACTATGAACAATGCCACTGTTCCACGCGATAGTGATCAAATTAATTGCAGAACAAAACGGCCTTGCAACAGTCCTTGCTGCTTCGTCGACAGAAGTAGGAAGTCTGCGGATGGTAGTATGATTTTTCTCCTTCGTCAAGATAATGAGAGAAATCTACGTGACGAGGACGCAATTCCTATATGTGGATCAACGATCGTAAAAAAGATCGAGTTACCACCATTACGAAGATTCGAGACGTAATATTCCATAACGTTTATCATTTACGTTAACGTAGAAATCTTATCGAAATAAAATAAAATATCAGAAAGTATATCACAGAATATCATATCGAAAATTTATTGATTTTATGTATGTAAAACTCTTTTCTTACTGATATATTGTAGAGTCCTCGAAAATATTTTAAAAGAGTGCTCACAATAAAATGAAAAATATTAAACAATAAACGAGGGACAGATTAAAACTATTAAACAATAAACGGGAGATTTATTAAATTTCTCATGTAATATTTTATTTTAGAAAATCTTAACAATATATAAAATTTAGAATAAAATTGAAAAAGTCGAAAAAAATAAAAAAAGGAGACAAAAAATGCATTTATTCATCTATATTAAGAAAGTATTTCATTAACTTGGTGATCTTATCTCTTCAGTGCCACGTGTAATTAACATACACTAGAGACGCATGATTCATCGGGAATTGAGTAAGTTGTTCGACGAGAACAGACACGAGGTCTAAGAGAGAGTAGTATGGAATTTGGATTGGGAACATTATTTCATGAGAAATGATTTATCATAATAGCGCAGACACACATACTACTTACCACTCGTGCGTGTAGGTCACAAAATGCGTCAATTAGATTGTTACTCGATTACTCTTCCATTAATTATCTAAAAATTCTAAAAATATGTTGTGTATAAAAATTAAACTCGACATACATATTACATATTAAATTGTGTTATAATAAAAAAGTTTACGTCTGAGAGAATGTATTCTAAATCATATAATAAAAAGTTTTAAAATACTAATTTTTGTCACTTATATATATATATATATATATATATATATATATATATATATATGCGCGCGCGCGCGTGTGTGTGTGTGTGTATACTGAAATTTGTTCTGAAAGAGAAAATAGGAGAAATATACACAATGCCATCATTGAAAATATAAATATAACATTTTATGTAATATCGTCAGAAAAATATTACAAATATTGAACAATTACTTTTTCATAAGTAATAACGTGAACATTTCTCTTCACTTTTTCGCATAGAAAGTATAATATACCGGAGAATATATACTGAAGTTCGTGTCACTTCAGTCTGTTGAGGCAGGAAGTTTCCATCACATATTCTAACAAAAATCGATATGTGCATAATATAAGCTGACGTAAATCTTATTATATCATTAAAATATTATCAAAATTTTCGATGTAATGCGATACTTTGGACTAGCCGTAAGTACGCAAAATAAAGTACTATGAGTATAACGTATCTTTTATATATAAATCTTTACAATCCCAAATAAAATGTCTTTATAAGTTATGAATATAATCACACGCGTAAATTTAAACATTTATACGGAATATGAACACATTTATTACGGAATATGAACAAATTTGATAATATTTTCACTTGCAGAATTAACACATACATGCAAAGTGAACCAGTTTTAATTTACTGATATGCAAACAGTAATGACCGAGAATGCTCTTCGAGGATGAAACTTTCCCCGGAAACCATCTCGATAGATGAGTTAGGCAAATATGGTGTGCACTTAGAAAACAATATTTTTCGTTAAACTTCGTCACGATGCGCAATGCATGGCTGAAGCAGCGCGCATTTTGTGACATTTTGCGAGTTTTTTTTGAAATTACATCCAAATTAAACTACGCAACAATCGCTCACAAAAAAAAATACCAAATAAAATATTTGGTAATAAACCCATTTTTTTAAGATATATTATGTTTTAGAGAGCAAATGTATAACAAAACTCTATTCTCTAATCAATTTTAAATAGATTATATTTAGAATCTAAACTTCGGATATAATTACCAAGATATTTAACATTAATTTAAAAAAAATGTTAAATTTTGAATTTTAAAATACCGTTTATCTGTTTAATTATAAAATCCGTTTATTACCAAATATGATATGTATATGGTGAATAAAATGGATAATTTTGCAATGACGCAATGCGAAACTTGTGGCTGTCAAGTTTTGCAACTGCGATAAAATGCCAAATATCATGAAATACGAAATTGAATCTCGAAAGCTCGCATGGCCAACTCGAAAATAAATAGACGAAAGAGTCGAGCGCAGTCCCTTCAAAGAATTTTACTAAGATAATGTATAGGATGTATAATTTATTGTCACAAGAAGCGCGTCGACTCTTGGATGTGCGAGTTTTGTGTCGGCCGAGAGTCTTCAATGAAAAATTTCCTAAAAGATTCCTTTATAAGCGACGAGGTCGCTCGGCTGAAGGAGCAGCGAACAGAGACCATTCCGGCAGGGTTATCGCTGATCCAGCAGCGACTTTCTATTTACGTTACAATATTCTTTATCACATTGAATACTTATACGTTTTCCCACTAAAATTACTATTTATTCGCTGCCCCTTCGCACCGGAATTCACACGTCCCACATCGTTGTCCTGTTCGTTCTGCGACAAACAGCTCGCGAGTTCCGTATTATTATTGTCTCAAAATTCGCGAGCGTTTTCACAGATGACAGTGACGCATCATCATCATCGCTATTGTCAATGTCACTCACATCAGCAGTTTAAGTGCATCCTTATCAGCGAGGGATGTGCGTTAAGCGTTAACACTATCCGTTCGCGCTAAGTCAACTTAGATAGTGATCGTTTTGGATTTTTCCGATCATGCTTATGACAAAAATACAAGGGCCATCGCCGAGATTTATCTTTCTTACGGAAACGAACGGAATGTAAGAATGAGAGAAAGTGTCGCGGCGACAAAGTCCTTTAGACGAGGCTCTCACAACGAGGTAATCGGATGATGAAGCCAATCGGGGAACGGCGGTCGCGAATCGGTGTATCATGCAATATTAAATTAATTAATTAGTGGTCCCACATACACGGCCGTTGATGCCAATGATACCGCGATGCGTTCGACCGTCTATTTGTTGTGCACCAGATTCAGAAACTCCTCGCGAGTCTTGGGATCGTCCCGGAATACGCCCAGCATCGTCGAGGTCACTGTCTTGCTGTTGATCTTCTGCACGCCTCGCATTACCATGCACATGTGGCTAATATGCAAAAAAATTTTTTTTCTTACAATTGTTACGTATTTTACAGTATAATTTTAAGTGATAATAAAATTTTTTTACACTGTTAGAGCTCGTTGGCTTCGTATTTTAGATATATTTATTTGCCCTGTCATTAATATGTTAAGAGATAGATCTTATCGATGTTATTTTCGATTCTCGAGCGAGAGGATTTAATCGATTAATGCTAATCATATCATACAAATGACTTAGGAAACACGTGCGTGTCTCGATGTTGCAATCGGAAATCTCATTCGTCACGAAACATACATAAAATGTTTCTTTTAGTGGCTTATCTCGTTATCGTCGAATATATCGGTTCAATTTGTCATTTCTGTGAAATGAATCAACAAAATAATGTTTGTGAGTTATTTGCGCACAGGACTAGTAAAAATAGCAGTCAATTCTAGCAAAAATAACGCCGTTGATAATGTTAAGTATAATTAATTATTGACCTATCACTTTCGTCGGGTAAATTGGACGTCGCGACAGCGGCAAAATAGCATTATAAATTATTTGCACGGTCCCGATAAAAATAACTAATCGGTGCTCGTAAATGTAGCATCCGTGATGGCATTATTCAAGTATGAATTCACAAAAATAGCTATTAATACGCGCTAAAGAAAATACTAACTTCTAGTTAATAATGTTATTCGCGCGATTTTCAATGCTCTCAATCCTATTATTCTGTACGTATTATTATCTCGATAATAAAATGCAATTGTAAATCAAGAAACAAGCACGTGGCACGATTTTCTTGAATTATTCACGATTGCGTCGCGAATGGATAAACTCGCACATTCTCGATGTTAACGAGAGCGATCAGATGATTAATAACCCCCGCCGTTGATCATCGAAATGACACCTGTACACCCCCGAGATTTATTGCGGTCTAATGCATATGACGTGTAGGAAATAACCGGATCGTTACGTAAACGATTTTTAATTGCCGCGAAACTTCGATATCGCGCCTTGGAAAAAACATTCGTGCAATAGTACAAGGTCGTGTTCTTTTACAAATGCGACCATTCCACCTGTGAAAATTTATTCTACGAATCTCGATCACATTAATGGAAGGAATGGCGACCTTAATCGGCTCGATTACGCAACGATTGTCGCGATATTTCATGGTTTTTTTCTCATCTGCATTCTCAGATTCCTTTACATGTTAAATCACTCGCGCGTCTAATAGATTCTACTTCGCACTGAGATGGATTTTTTGTGCATTCTAAATTATTTTAATCGTATAGATAAAATAATTTAGTTTCTAGTATATAGTTTCTAAATTATAATAGTTTCTAAATTATTTTAATTGTATAGATAAAATTATTTTATCTATACGATTAAAATTATTTATAAAATAATATTATAAATTATAATATTAAAAAAGATGTACTTACACTCCTTCGACCACGACGGCGACTCCTGCAGGTTGCACAGCCTTCGTAACTGCTATCGCGATTTGCTTCGTGAGTCGCTCTTGCACTTGAAGACGTCTGCTGAAGATCTCTACAATCCTGTAAATAGAAAATTTTTCCTCGAAATTATTCCTAAAAATCATCTTTCAAGAATCTGATCATTAAGATTGAGGCCGAGTGCATGCAAATATTATTTCTTTCTACATCCATTTAGAAACGCCCTGTCGTTTCGTGTACGCGTGCGATGTTAACATAAAAATATAAAAAAACCTAATGGTTTTGAAATACACCGCCACTCTAACAGAGCATCAAAATGCCATCGTGTTTCTATTATTTATTCGCTTTTAAGCGACATTTAATAGGTAAACGGATCCTGGCCATTACGCGCGTGAAAGTGTGTATGATCTTAGCAGCCTAGCCTCGTCATATTCTTTCTTTTTGCTTTAATATGTCACTGATCAAAGCCAAGACTAGTAGACGTGCAATTCAACGAAATTGTTGAGACGTGGACGAGAATAAATGTCGAATAAATAATGAGATAAATCTTTTTTTTTTTCTTTCTGATTCACACGATCGCAATTTATTGCTCGAAATATCTGCTGCCAAAAAAATTTAGAAAAGCTACATTTTAATTGATTTGATAAATTATATCAAATATTAAACTTAAGATTGAAACCTTAGATTTGCTTTTGATTAGAATTATGAATATATAATGCTATAAGTGCGCACAAAAATGACAAAAAATTATAATCAAGCGATTCAAGTGGAAGAAAACAATTTCGATTTTCAAGATATTTCGACTTAATTTTGATTAACGAGTTAATTTCCGTCACAATTAACTGTTATTATTTATACAATAATTATTATTTAAAAATCTGATATAAGATTCTTAATACATTAAGACAAATACCTGGCGAGTTTACTGAGGCCCAATACCTTCTTGCAGGGTAGATAACCGATTGACACTTTGCCATAAAACGGCACCAAATGATGCTCACACATGGAGAACATCTCGATGTCCTTTACTACCACCATCTCGTCGTGATCTTCATCGAATATTGCGTCGTTAAGTACATCTGAAACAGGACAACAAAATTTATTAGTAAAACTTTGCGTTTTTTATTGAATATAACAATATAGAGTATCAAATTAATTCGGTAAATTAATTAGAAAATTGTATTTTTTATAAACATATTTATACATATATGTGATATATCGACAAGATCTTTAACAACGTATAACGATGTTTAACTTGGTGATATATGATGAAAACAACTGAGTATTGTCACTTGTATTATGTCGCGAAAGAAATATTCTTTCATCCTAGCGATCGGGTTATCCTGGCTGTGATTTACCCGATATTGACCTACTTACTGTACCATAAACTCTAGTAGTAGTGTATACATATACGAGCAGGCAGTGGGTAGCTAGATAATGGTGGTGCTCTCCGCACCGTTTCCACGGCAACCTTAACAAGAAACACCTTCGCAATGACCGACAACGATAAAACGAATTCGTTCAACTGGCCACGTTCGAGCTTGAATTCTTCCAATAGAAAGCATCGCATGCTATACAAGACAAATCGACGGTGGTCAAATCTTCTAATTTAATTTCAACTTGGTGAAATAAAATAGCTTTCAACTTTGAACATATACATATATAAAAAAGGGAGAGAAATTAATAATTTAATCTTATTTCTTGTGAAGCGTATAATTCAATTCCGTACAATTTATTTCCTCGGAAAATGCACACTTCGCAAGATGCATCAACAGCTCACGCAACATACACGTGGTAGTCCAGCAATTTCCTTTCCTTTATTCGTGACCAAACGCTCGCTGAGTGTAAAGTTGGATTTTTCGACCCGATGGCTTAAACGTGATCGGCTTTCGTCAGCAATTCGATTAACTTTTATAAGCTCTCACGCTATTATATGCGTGCGTGCGTGCATTTTGGAAATTCATCTAGAAAAGTGCTAGGAAAATTTATCGAAAATATTGTCTATGTATGTGTATGTGTGATATAAATCTTGACTTATATTAAGAGCAATTCGTGTAGGAATATAGTGGGCGAGATAAAAGCCACAATGGAATTGCTCGTCCGAGAGGATGATTTGGTGAGGGTGGTCGTAGGAAAGTGCCTCTCGTTTCAGATTCACTGAGGCGCGCCGTAAGAGCTTATCTCGAGGGTCTCTCAGCTGTTTAAGCCGAGTGAAGTGAATTAAAATCTCTCATTCATCATCTATAGATGCTCCCGAACTTCGGAGCTTATTATATGACATTTGGCTTAAGACACGGATTCAAAATTACTGTAGACAAAAAAGAGAAAAAAAGAATATTATTCCTTCCCTAACACATAATTTAAATTTTTGTATTCAATAGTTCTTTCGTTATAAGGAACTAGCAACTCAAAGCTATTTTTATACAAAGTTGAAATTTTTTATAGTTGACATAAAATCATGCATAAATTAACAAATAGAACTATTATATTTTAATATTTCATGTATTAGAAACTATTGAAAGAATTATCCTCTCGCGATTATCATTCTTGAACTGCTATTACGAAAGCAATTCAAGCAGTGATAAGGGTTTAATTCTTGTCTCCTTTTGCAGGTAAAGCGTGCTATGTTTTTTAAAAGCAAACATTCGCTCCGTTATCCATATGTGTCGATATCGTTATCGGAATAGATATGTCTCCACGCTTTTCCAACAAAAAAACTAAGTTTAATAATAATTAAAAATAATAATTTACAATAATAATTTAAATAAAATAATAATTAAAAATAATAAAAATAAATACAATGCTGTACTACAGAGTCCAAATCAAATATAAACAGTTATTATCGTCTGTCGATTCGCCATTCGAGTTGCTGCATCAAACCAAGTGGGGAATGAAGGTCGCCTCTTAAGTGCAAAAGGTTAAAAATTTAAGGCAAGAAAGATTATCCAGAAAGAATCATTTTCAAGATTTATCCGTTCGTGACTCTTTTCTTTTATTACTATACAAAAGAAAAGAATCACGAATAATGCAATATTTATTTTATTTTAATAACTGTTATAGCATAATATTACTTATGGTATTAACAGTCATTAAGATAAAATAAATATTAGAAATTTATATTATTATTTTTTTAATATATTTGATTAAATGTTAATTCTTTAATTTAACGATTTGTGGTTATGAGACTGTCACTTATGACTTAGGAAACTGAAGAAAAAAGATAATTTTTATATTAATCTGATAATGCACAGAAATATTTTTCCGAATCTTTGCAATTTTCTATAATTATTCTAGCATCATGACATTTATACTTGACATAAAACACAAGGAAGAAGAAGACAAAGAGATTTTTTTCTGAAGCTGTGCGTTCCTAAAAACCCCATTTATATCAAGAGCTTTATGTTCTCTTTTCTGTGAATTGCATTTAAATCCCACCCTCTTGCCTCTCAGCATCTCATTCTTTTTCTCTCGTTCTACAACTCGTGATAGAGAGCATGATGAAAGTAATAGAAAAGGCGAAAAATATGATACTTTCATGAAGAATACGCCACAAGTCAAGTTCCGCGTTGCATTATTCGCAATAAAAGAAATTTGCTTATCGTGCACGGTTTTCCAGTTAATTATTTCATTCTCAAGTTCTAAATTGTACCCTTGATTTTTTGTATCACAGTAATTACGCTACTCCACATTTCTATAAACGAAAGTTTAATGCATTTTGCATCTCTTAAATTTCACTTGATGAGAACAATTACTATTTTTTCACAATTATTCAAAATTACTTGAGAAAGAACTGTCTATTTTTAATCAGCTTACGCTAAATTGTACTTCAAATATCTTCAGGTGCATTAAAATTATTTTAAGCAGTTTTGATTTCAAAAAGTAGTATTTTATATTGCCATTATATAATTTGTGTTTTTACTCTTCAAATTATTTTATGTATTTTATAAATTCTGATGTAAAAAATATAAAAAAAATTTATAATATTCAAGAAATGCCATTGATATTTCGATGTATTTATTATTTGATGATTAATATTAAATTAATATTAAATTATAGTAGAAATTCTAAGTAAAAATAAAAATTTTGAAAGAATTTTGAAAGAATTTTTGAAAAATTGTCTTTAAAAATATAGAATATTTCTATGTTAGAATGTAACAGTTCGAGTATAAATATCTATCTGGTATGCTTTACATGATGCAATAGATATTTGCGATAAGAATATAATACATATTTCATATATTTTTACGTTTTATCATCAAATTCTTAATTTTTCTTTTATTTTGATATTCAAAATAAATTATATAAATATATAACTTTAATCTGTGTTACAAAAAATGCATTTACGTTACAAGTATCAATTATCCAATAATTTTTATTGTTTTATAGGCCTATAATTCCTAATAAGATAATACGTGTCAAATCAAGAATTTAATCGATTTGACAAGTAGAAAGCAACAACTTTCTTCTATTGACCATAAAATAAGAAAAATATTATAATGATCTCGCCTAATTAATGTCCTTGCAATAATTGCAACATCAGGAAAATAAGCAGATTTGTAGAAACCGTTGCTGCGGGCAATCGATCATTATTGCTGTTAAGCAATAAATGGATCATAATCGCGTGTAAATGCTACTTATAAAATTAATGTTATACACGGATCTTTGAGCGCAACCTTCTATTAGTCGACCGTCAAATCAAGGCTACACTATATATTTGTATTCAGTTTCTCTTTTTCATTTTTTTATATACAATACATACACATATCCGTAGACGTATTAGTTTTGTAATATTTCAATTCTTGCTAGAGAAAAATAAGTTTAAATAACTCTGCAAAATATGTTACAAACTTATTTAACAACACTGATTTTTTAAAGCAATATTATCCATGATTAGAAAATTTCTATTAAATAAAATTAATGATTAATCTTATAGATGGAACTTATCAATAATGTGATGTTCGAATGTTTTTCAATAAACTTAAATGTATCATTAATATAATATAAAATACGGAAGAGTTAAATGAGAGAGATTTCACTTTGACCAATTTCATTTTTTAACAAATAATTTAAATTAGATTAAAATTGAATATAATTTTTTTTATTAAAAAGATTTATTAGATTTTAAAAATATTTTTATTAATACTACTTATTCTATAACTTTATTCTATATCAAGCTATTCTTATATATCAATTTTTAAAACAACAAATTAGTCGAATTTTCCTTATGATTTATTAAGATACTTATTCGCTTGTAACTTATTAAGATATAAGATAAATTAAATCAAAGAATAGAGAGTCAAAAAAAAGATAATAATAAATTTATTTAACTATAATGAAATTTACCTTCGAGTGTCTGATCGTATCCTTTCGTAAAGAAGAGCATAGCCTTCGCGGCGCGTTCCGGCGTCTTCAAGAGTCCCGGCCGTTCCGGATCTTCACCCAACGAATTCAATAGTAACTTGTAACTTCGAGACATTTCCGGTAACATGGCTTCTCGCGTGAGTGGTCGATGATCCAGCTCCAAATCATGATGGAACATGCATTTCTCATGGCCTGGACAACATAATGATAATCCAATTAGATGAACGGAATGTTCAATAATCGCTTTCCTTTTTCCTCCTTGTCGAAATATATTCGCGATTTTTGTTGGATGACGACGTAAAGTATGATATGTCAACATCTTTGCTATCGCATGTCACGACCCGTGATCACGTTGCGCGTAATCGCACCAACGGAATAAGTTGCATGTAGTTGTTCCTCAATTGGATGTTTTCTGCCTATGTAATGTGCGACTCATACATGAGAGATGAGATACTTTCTCTTGTAAGAAATCTAAACAATCTACGGTTTATTACATTATGTTATACATACATATTATAAATGATATTCAATGTCGATAAATATATTTTCAAGGGAATTGTTTATTTTCTACAATTATTTCACATATGTATATATAAAATTTTTCTTAAATCTGAAATTTGTTTACATAGTTTGAAAGCAGTTTTGCAAGAAGTGGCTTCGATTGGTATTGCTTTTGCAATTATTGACATTTTATTCGGCATCAGATTCAACAATCGATCAATTAATCGATTTTCACAATAGCCTGTGAAACTTGTCGTTTTGCAGACTTATAATATGACCTGCGACAACGTACGCTGCATACAACTTAATACAATTAACTACGACAAGAGTTAATTAACGATTTAATTGCAATGGATTATAAAAATTTCCCGCCCTATCATTATCATGCATCGATAAAATATTTATCAAAAGAAAATTTTTCCGATAAATATTATCAAGAAATTGATTCATTATAAAAGTATGAAAGCGATTGAAATAATCCAGTTTCATTTCGCGTGCGTAACGCGTAGAAAGTGCTCGGCAAAACGGATTCAAGGTTTAATGTGTAATATTATTCATAGGTTCTCGCAAGCGATCGGCTCTTCTAACAATAAGACAACGGACGAGAGAAGCGCGTATTCCTGTTGGAAACTTAGTTAGTTCGTTCTCTTCCTAATGAACTGTGTCACATAATTGAATCCAGTGCCGACGTCCGTGCGACAAAGCGATCGTTAGAAGCATCCTATAGAATCATTCAGATCAAGCGATATGGAAAGGTTTTTAAGAATTCCGTGTGTTTTTATCGAGGATCGCAAATTAAGCGTGAAAATAATCCGATATTTGGTAAAAAATCTTGGAGGAAATTACAATAGCAAAATCTAATTGTTTTCAGTAAAAATTTACATAAAAATATATTTTTTATTTTTTATGCTAATTTTTATGTTTTTTTTATGCCATAAATATATTTTTTGTATTTCTTTTATGCATTGTACTTCTTTTATGCATTTATTTCTGTAGACTATTCAAAAAAGAAAGAAAGAAAGAAAAAATGAGAGAGAGAGATGAATAAAATCTCTTTTTCTCTTAAAAATATCAAAAAATTTTAACATTGTATTATTTTTATTTTCTATAATTAATAAATATAGTTCATGTTTTGCAAGTCTATTAAAATCATGACTAATTTTTTTATTATCACGATTAATTTTTAATGCCTCACGTGTAATTTTCTGGAATTTCCAATAACACCCTGTCCCACGTTTCACATTCTCATAAAATTACAGTTATATGTTGCACATAACCATAACTGTATCTTAACGATCTGCCCGTACTTGTTATTATCTCAAAATCATGCTACGATGTAATTAACAGTCATTTCGCCGTTCACCAAAATTTGACGTGTGTAGGCGACGAAAGAAATACAGATCACAGATTTTTCTGTACATATGTAGTAAATAAACAACTAAATTCTATATATGATTTGCTCTAATTAATCATAATCTAATTAACCATACTTTTTGCAAAAATATTTTTAAATTAAATAAATTTATTATATAAATTTGTATGTATCTTTAAAGTAAAAATACATAATAGTCAATAGGACAGATATAAAAGAATAAAAAAGTTATTAAAAGATTTGCCATTCTAATTAATCAATCTGTGAAGTATCTTTTCTAATTTTAATAAAATAAAACAAAATTATATATCTTTTTCTTCTATATATAATTAATTCTTCATTTTAGATTCAGGAATGATGTCTTCTCCGAGAGAATTATATGAGGTTATTGACCATCGTGCATATTAATGCGATTTAAAATTTTAGGCTCGATTGCATCAATGTTATTTTGAGCGAGATTTAAGTATATCTATCTTTATTTATTTAAAAAGAAAGATAAAGATTGACACATATTTAAGTCTCGCTTAAATTCAAAGTAATTTTAACAACTTGACCTTAGAAAAGTGTGCGTACATATATATAAAATCGCAATTTCTTGAAAATTGAAGCAAAGTGTCAAATATTAGCACATTTTATATTATATTATATTATATTATATTATATTATATTATATATTATATTAGAATTAGTTGCACACACATAAGCGTATTAATGCTCATAAAGCATATTAATGATAATAATAGAATTTTAAATAAAGTTACATTCACACATTTAAGTCTAATATATGACGAGATATAAGTGAGAATTGCATCGATTTGTATACGATGTTTACGTCGATTTGTATACTAATCAAACCAAAAAATGAAAAGCAAATTTATTATAATAGCAGCCTTTAGTAATTATTACAGTGATTATAGCAATTATAATAATTATAGTAATTATAGTAATTATGATAATAATTAAATTATCACGCAAACTTATGCAATTATATCTTTTTTATTTTTTATATGTAAGCTGCATTATAATTAACAAACTTTAGTCTTTTAGATTTGTAAAACAAATCGATCAATTATTGATCAAAAGGAGTTATAAATAATTTTACGTTTCAAATTAAATACATATAAAATAACGGAATATAATGAAAGACATATCTGTGCGTACATAATATTTGACAATTTTTTTAAATTTCCACATGACAATTTAATTTATTTTTAAAATATCATTGTAGATACCTGTCGTTGATGTTCTCGGTGTTCTGGGTGTTCCAGGAACATCCAGGTCACTTTCTTCGATATCGTCGCTCCAAAGGGCTCTCAATGGTAAAGGCTTTTTAATCATTATCGGTTTATCATCCTCGCCATCATACATCTTCAGCTTCGCGCATTGACTTGATATCCCGTTCATGATGAATACCTCGATTGATTTTTTAAATTCGATTTTCTGTTCTTGTGAGATTAAGAGGAAGATTTTTTCCAAATGAGGCAATGCGGAAATTCGATACTGTTTAAAGAAACAAAAGTCGTTGTAAGAATAAACGAAATAGCAAAATTAATTAAATGAACTATTATCAGATGCAACATATGATTATATAAATGAATATATTATTGTATATATCATTTGCATTAAAGATAGATGTTTCGAAAATATGCGCATTAAATAATGCATTAAATTATGCGCATTAAATTATGTAGAAATATCAAAAAGCAATGCTATTTATTATATTAAAAAACCTACAAAGAAATAGATGTCAGAACATTAAAAAATAAATTTTTTTATCATAGATAATTCTCAAAATGTCATTAATTGATAAATAATATTACTAGCAAGTAATGATAACTTGTGTCGAAATTTATTAAAGATATTTAACAAGTATCTTTGTGTATCTTGTTGGAAAAATATTATTTATTAATAATAAAATTATTTATTAATAATCTTTTCGTGTTTGTATCGGTTCATTATTTTTATTTTTTTTTTTCAATATATATAATGAGTTTTTTATCTCTAAATTTATTTATTATATTACTTTTTATTTCAAGCGATATATATACATTAATCTATTATTTAGTTACATATATAGTTACTTGCATGTTCATTAATGATAAAGTAAAATTAATTCTCAAGAATAAGATAAGAAGAAATATTTTACACAACATACTTGACGATTATTATTACATGATCACTTTTCATTCTATTCATTCGATAAAACAATCATATATTTCTTCATTAAAGATCATCTTTTTATACTAGACATTACTCACTTGACATTTAACATTCGTCTTCTCGAAAATAAAATGTATAAAAGTTTATCGCGTCACTCAAAAATAATTAAATAAATCGAAATCTTTTACATCTGACACTCTTATATTGCTTCCGATCGAACTTACTCTAACGCAGCGGATGAAGCAACGTTTTGTCGTGGTATAAACGAAGAAATGATTCTAAAATGTGAAGACGTGAAGTACACGCGCGCGCGTATGGAGCACGAAGATGAACAACACGTGAATGAAGAAGAGACGACGATGAGACGAGAAGCCGGCACCGCGCGCGATGACTGATCGGACGCGCGAAGCGTCACGATAACGTGCACTGATCAGAACGGGCGGAACGCGACTGATGCAAGTCTAGTGCTGGTCCGGAGTAGACCGATCGGCGGTGACGACAGCGGCAGCGGCGGCGGGAATGAACGTCACCCGCAATCCTTCCGAAATTGTATATATACGTGACCGTATCTCTCCTTCTCTCTCTCCCTCTCTACGTCTCTTTTTCTCTTTCTCTCCGTCTCTCCATTTGTCGCACGGTACTTTTATTATAAAGCCTACTTCGTAATCAAGATTACGGGAAAAAATACAGTTTTCTCGTCAACTCCAGTATTTCCCTCCCATAAAGCCGGTTTCATCGACGTCCGTTGTGACGTCGATCGTAGAAACGCATATATATCCTAATACGTCAGAATGAATAGGTGATACAATTCATGAATATTAAAAAATGTATTCTTTTTTCATCTAGAGAGAATCTTTCTTTATATCAGAGAGTAAGGCTCTCTAGAAATTGACAGATTATTGAAGATATAATTTTTTATTTTTCTAATTTTCGATGATGATTTTAATTACAATTCAATTATGAAATGGACATGCAAATGTTGTAATCTATATATAAATATAACTTATATATATCGTTATTTTGAATTATTTAAAAATATAACTTTGAAAGAGAAAATATCAATGATTGAAAAAATTGTTTTAGGATTCATTGGCTAGTCTTTAACTTAAGATTACGTCAGGAATTAATGAAATTATTTTCTTTTGTTTTCAAATTTTTAGTTTATTTCTCCATTCACATTACTCTTTATTATATATATCCGTAGATTTGTAGATATATTGTTATATCTACAATTATTTGCAATAATATTTAATAATGGAATCGTAAAAAAATATGTATTGAGATTTTTCAAACCTGGAATGAAATGGAATTTTACTTTATTTAAGAATAATATGTACTATTTGTCGAAATACATAGTATGTATGTTTATATTCTGTGTTTTTATTTATTCATGTCGTCTTTGTTTTGTGAAAAAACTCATGTAAATATTATTGCAAAATTACATAAAAGTTTAGAACTTTAAAAAGAATGAAGAATAAAAATTAATAATTCTTCTAAGTAATTTACCAAATTTATAAAAGAAAAATTAGAAAAATGAAATTTTGATAAGTTTTAAGATATATTGGTAAAACCCACTTAGACTACTTTTTTTCATCAACAAGGGGAATTCCCTTGACTTCTTTGAGGTCAGATTAAAATATAATCAGAAATACTTTTCCTTAGGGAACTGGATTTTCCTTACTTATGGTTTTTACGAAATATTAAGCATATTTTTACTATTAAAAATATTATAATTTAATGTTTTTTCATTATATATCGATTTTCTCGATACTGATTAAAATTGTATATCATAAAAATTAAAAATATAATGGCACTATAAAACACAATGGAATTAATAATATTATATTATAATTAATATTTGCGACAAATGCATATCTCAAATATCTCAAATACAATAAAAATCTCAAATATTTCTAAAAAACGAAATCGAAGATATAAAATATCCATAAATAGAATGAAAGAAGTTCATTAAAAGTCGGGTTTAATAATCTTAATAAACTTAAATTCTTTTTTTTCTAAATGAACGTTATATATTTTAGTCTGTTATATATGTTTTATTCTCCTTCTCTTATTTGAACTAGCTTTAGTAATTATTAAAACATATATTGCTTCTTTTTACCCGACTTTTTAACTCAGTTAGTCTGTTTTCCTCACTTGTAGATATTTCTAACCATTAATTTCTATAAATAGCACATATATATTATTAAAAGGTAATAAAGTTTTATTATACTTTAAGATTAGGAAATCTTATTACACATTTTTCTACGATTCCATTATTAATTTATACAATATATCTACAAGTTTCTGCAGATATAAGGAATAAAAAGTAATAAACGTAGACTTATTAACGTAATAATAAATAATAACGTAATAATAAATAATTAACGTAATATTTCACGATAGTATGGAAAAGAAAAAAATACAAGAATAGAATAAATGGAATGATTTTGCGAAAACCTGAATGGAAAGTACCTACGTCATAGTGAATCCCAACGTCAAACACAACCGGTTCTTACATACTAAGAGACTTTTCCTTTTTTTATAAAGAAAAGCGGCATGTTCATTAAACTCAGCATTCTTTTCTTTGTTTTTCCAACCCCTTCAATGTAATAGCAAATAAAATAATATTGATATGATATCTTAAGTTATTATATATAGATATATTTATAACATATAATCCAATTGTATTACGCAAGATACACTAGCATTATTGTTAATTAGTAGCAATAATTACAATTACATTTAAATTTGCGTTTTTAATAAGTTATCTTTGTCGGAATAATTAAATTTGTGTATGATTAAAATACTCCCACTCTCTCTCCCTTCTCCATCTTTCTCTTTGATGAAACTATCATAGTTTTCATAATCATGTAGTTACGTAACGAAAATTAAATTTTGAAAGTTTACGTATAATGTACAGTGTAACATCACCGAATAACTCTTCATTAGATACTTGTAAGAAATACTAATAGACAATCTATAATGAAGTAGATCATTCTTGATTCGATATGCGAGAAAGATATGATTGACATACGATTCCTACGTAACTATGCTTCACAGTCATACCTGGTTTAACACAAGGTCGAAGAATAACATTGTAGTAGAAAAATTGTTCTTGCTTCGCAGAAGATAAACGCACATCGAAACTGACCTCGATATTTTTTGCCCGTATGCTTTGTTTTTTTTCTCTTCGTTTTACATTAAAAAATTTATAATAGAAAAACTATTCTTTTTATCTCTCTCTCCATCATTGAGATAAATGTAACGAAAAAGGCACTCTGTGTTTTATTTTTTACACATTTTTTACAGAAATAGCTCATTCGACTTATGCAAGGAAATTTAAAATTTATAAAATCGTACACACATATTTGTTTAAATATAAAAATTTTCTTTCCATAATATAATCATCGTTTCTAGAAAATATATGTTGTTAATATGAAATTTGAAATTTCAATATAAGTTGTAATACACGAATTTTTCTAAATATATTTCCGCGCATTATCACTGCTTTGTAACAAATAACATTGAATATCTGTCATTTTCTTATATGAAATCACTAAACATGCAATAAAAAAATGTGTTCCTTTTTGCGCAAATACGCTTCTTCGTGCTCAACATATCAGAAAATTGCCGATAACAGACATCAGTTTTAATTATAATTATCATTGTAATATATATTTTCGTGTTATAAAAATATATTTTCTGATTATTCTCTAATTTTCGAAAAATTATTGTAACCAAATTAATTTTTTCTTACTTATAGAATAAATATCAATTTTGAAATTCTATAAACGTATGTGCAATAAATAAAAATTATTAATTTAACAATTAATTTTGAAGATAAAACATTTTAATTTCATTTTAATTTAACATTTTATTTTCTAAATGTTCTTTTCCTTTATCTGAAGGTCGTAATTTTGTCCTAATTTAATTTTGGAATACACAAAAATTGATTAAAAGAATAGGAGAAAAAGAATATTATAATATGAAAAAAACGTACGTTTACAGTAAAACGAATGAAACAATAATTTCTATCACCGTGATAACTCCTTTTTAAGATAAGCACGATTTTTTTATAAAAACGGGAAATTGAATAAATCGATTAAAATAATTATATATATATATAATTTATTTATACGAGCGAGATGCAATACACATCCAATTGACATATCAGCAAAATCAAGTAGTTTCCATTGAGGAAAAATTGCTGACTACACGGAACCCTCTCTGGATGACGTAGGAGCATTTAATCACTCTACGCCAGTTTTACAATTCTCAGATCTCTATATTAAGGCTATAATTTGTCCTTGTTACTTCTTAAGTGATGCATACGATGCAGAAAAGTTATTCACAAAGAAATATTTAATTATAAGCATTACGAGTACGTGCGACGAGGGACGTATATTGCTTCTTGCCAGAATGTATTATGACTACTTAAAATGTTTATATTTTATATTATATACCTTGTTATATTTTAAATAGATTGTAAATTCCTTTCTCCCATTTTCACATATTCAGCAACAAGTGATTTTTATTAATTATAATATTGATTTATATTTTAACATTATTTTTAATTATATATATAAACTTGATATAAAAGATAACTTAAAATAGTATATTATTTTAAATATAACATGTAAAAAAAATTTGTTAATGAATATAATCACAAAATAATAATTGTAATTTTCCATTTATCAAATGTTATATTACCCCAATCTTAATATGCATATTATATATAATTCTGTAGAAAATTATTAATTGTCTATTAGAACATAGATACAATTAGACATGATTTTTGGCTCTCTTAAAATATCTTGAAATATGTATATAGGCATAAGAAGTTTACTCAAAAGCTATAAAAATATATTAGTATAAAATATAAATCTGATTACAAAATGTATTAAAAATATCCCACTACATTTCCAACTCCACTGTAAATATATATAAAGAAAATTTTATAGAATCTTTTGATATTTTTATATTTCAGTAGATGATATTACCTCAAATTTAATATTATGTTTATTTAATTGCTCAATCAAAGAAGTTTTACCGAATGCAGCACCAGGTGTAAGTACTCCTCCACTATAAAAATATATTTAAATATAAGAATAAAAACAAAGTTCAATAAATTAAATTGTAATAGAATGTAGAGGTATGTCACATTGATAAATGTGGCGAATTACTTACTTGTCAGGTATTTTATCAGCTTCCTTAAGAATTGTAATTGCTGATAAGATCAATGCAATGCTAGTCATATCATATCCAGGAGAGACACCGCTAACTTTTGTAATTACTTTCTTATTAGGTGCATTTGTGTGCTCATCTGTAGGTTCAGCCAATTTTTCAGTCCATCCAAGAGCTTTGAATGTTACGGAAAAATGCGTTTGTTTTTGCGTTTCCCATTTCGGATTTTCATGGCTTATAAAACCGAATGAAAATAGAGCTGGATACTACAAACATTATATTTACCTTATCTAGATTTCATTCGTAAAATATACTTTTATAAATGTATTTTACACATATTATACTTGTACTACAAATACTTTCATACATACTTTTAGAAGTAAATTACGACTGAATGCTGTGCGTGTCATAAGGGCCAAAATCATAGCAGCAATGGTAATCATAATGAAAGTACAGAATGACCTAATAGTAAAAATAACATATATTAATATAAAAATTATTTTCCAATATTTGTGATATTTCTATTAATACAATACTAACTGAAATGTGACATAAGTTTGCACTTGTGCAGGCCTCTCTTTGTACTTATCATACAAGAATCGTTGCGAACGGAAAGCGACACTACGATCGGAACCCAAAAATAGAGTTGACCATCCTTCAGAAACATCACTTCTATGTAGTATCCTGCAATAAACAAAAATATTAAAATATATAATGTGAAAATTTGGAATTATAAAAAAATAACAATGTGTCTTCACTTCAATTATTCTTATAGTAAAAAATAATGTTGCTTATTATTAACTTTTACTGCGTTATTTATCTTCATCTATGTAATATGTATGATTAACATGAATATATATACATATATAAAAACACATACTTTTTTATAACAACATATACTCTTGTATAATTCTTAATCATTTGTATACATACATATGTGTATATATATATATATATATATATATATATATATATATAAAATTAACTCACAAAATGTAATTATATATATAGAAAATATTTAATTATAATAAACAAGATACATACTTTGATTTCAGTTTTGGTGTGAATTTGGGTAATTTGATAGGATATAATTTTGTGCGCAATTCTCGTAATTCATTATGATGAGTTATGCCATATATTAAAGACTCCCAAGTTCCATAATTCAGAAGAGAACCTTTTATATCCCCAGTTGTCCACCATTTTAGATATGTTTCAATAGTATTAACTTCTCCTCCAAATTTTTGTTGCGTAAAAATGATTCCTAAATCGGTAGGAATACTATCAAAGCCACAAGCACTCACTATATAAACACCAGCTTCCTGTGCTGTTTTATTATATTGCAATTGCATTTTTTCCATATACTGAAAAATATTGAAAATATCAATAAATATAAATATAAATAAAAAAATATAAATAAATAATCATTATATTTGTTGTAAAACTATATTTATTGTATCACCTGTGGTTCGCCACTGACATCGACATGATGAGTATGAGTAGTAATACAAGCCTTAACAACTGGTTCTCCATAAAATCTATATGGACCGCAACAATTAACAATTATCTTTGCTTGTTTTGTCATTTCTGTGAGAGACTCTTCATCTTTTACATCAGCCAAAATAATAGGTACATTTTCTAAAAAAAAAATGCACAATGTATATTGTCATCAATAATATAAAAAATCATCTGGATATCATGAAATAATTAAATTAAAATCTTAAATTCTAAAGATTAAATTAAAAATATAATAAAATTAATTTTACCAATTTCTGAGGCAAATTCCTTAATGACAGCTTCTAAAGCTTCTTGTCTACGACCAGCAACACCAAATCTCAACTTGTATTCCTTGCAAAGCTGTACTGCATTTTTCACAACAAATTTTCCAGTATATCCAGTAGCACCAAATATTATGATATCCAAACGATCGCTTGCCATTTTTTTAATATTCTGCAGCACAAAATAGTATTTATTAATAAAAAAACTTATTATATTACTTATTATATTTTTAATTTGACAAGAGATTTTTTGTAGCCATGTGAATGATAAAAACATCTAGCAGGATGATGATTAAACCTCAAGAAAATTAAACTTGGTTCTTTCTAAGCAACCATACTATTACTAAGTCATTTAAATTTTATTCAACTATGTTCTTTCACTCATTTACATATACCTAATGACAATATGTCCATATATTAGTGATAAAATATTACAGAAAAAAAATTTAAGAAATATCTATAAATATTATATAAAAATATTATATAAAATATTATTTAATGATATATAAATTATATATAAATATATTTATAAATGATAAAAAGAAAGAAAAAAAAAAGAAGTTTTTAATAAATAATATTAAATGAAAAAATTTTACTGATATTAAATATAGTAAAAATAAAAAAATAAAGAGATATTGTTAAAGATTACAATAATATATTTTTTAAATATGTATAAATATACCATAAATCCAATCTACAATCACATTTTATATAATTAATGATGTAATTGATGATTTTACAAATTTTATTAAAAATGAATCGAACTTTGGATAATGACTTGTAAATTATTTAACTTGTATTAACTTGTATTATTGACTTGTAAATTATTTAACTTGTATTTAACTTGTATTAATTTAACTGGTTCCCTGAACACTTTTTTTTAATGCGATAATCGACAAATCGGTTGTGCGTGATATGTAAAAGATATGCGATATGTAAAAAAAGAAAAAAAATAAATCTGAAAAATTACGTATTCAAGTTTATGTATACGAGGTACAATACCTTAGCGAATTAAGAACTGAGAATTTTCTTTCCTGAAAAAGTGAAATTGCGTTGCATCAAATCGCACAAAGTGGCAGCTAAATGCGTACGTGTCTCACGTCTCACAATGCACATTGACGATTAACGTACACGGCTATCGATTACTATTCATAGCATACATCAAAAATGGCATCCTTTCTATACCCGACTATCATTGGCTAATACTACTGGAAGCGGTATACTGGAGAGAGGCACGCCTATTTAAACAATGTATGTACTTAATTGCCGCTAGCTGCCGCTATAGCGAGTACATGTATATTAGCTGGCTCATGCAAAAAAATTTAACATTTATATTTATTATATGTAAATTACATAAATTCTAAAATCAATACAAAAATTATAGAATTAAAAATTATACATTGAAGGAATAATCAATAATCACCAATCACTTTAGTTTTAATGAAAAGGCAAAACTAATAAACAATACAGTTAACGCATATTCTCACTTCGTTATTAAATATTGGAGAGATTGATTGCGTTCAGCAAAAAAAGCTGCTTTGCAACTATTGCAAAATTCATTCATGAATCTAACTTGCGTATACTTTATTAGATTCAAAAAAGCATACACATCAATTAGACTCATAAATTACAATTGTTGGAAGGCGACTTTTTCTGTTGAATCATGTGATTGATACATCGTACCACCTCATCATCTTTTTAAATTAAAACTTGGTGATAAAAGCTTGATTTGTTTTATTTTATAATTAATTCTTGCTTACGTTATAAATTATGTAGCAATTTGTAAGATATTAATTTTTTATCGAATTAATATTAAATTATAATATTGGATCTCGAATTATAATATTGGATCAAACACAAATGACGATCACAATTATACCATGAAAAATTTTTCTGCAGATATATTTTCAGAAATGCTGAATAATCTACAATAGATAAAATACGTTGTTATAATCGCTTTACATGTATCTTAATATGCATGATTTTAAACTATTTCACTATATATATCATTTATATTTATTTTAATCTTTGAATATTTACAACGTATCATTTTCCTTTTTCCTTTGCTTTGTAATTAGCATCATTGTCGCTGTTTCTCATAATCGGCCACTAATGTAATGAATTATAAATAGCTCACTATTTTAAACATTATTTCGCAAATGAAAATATACAGAATATCAAATTTTCATTATCATTTTCATTATATAGTTAGTAGCGTTATCCTGTCTCTGAACGCGATTATGTAAGACAAAATATGAATCAGCATTCCTCTTTAATACGAATCTGTATAATCATGAATATTTTTCTGCTTACTAAATACATGCTATTTACACAAATGCACATAAAAATTGCAGTTTGACGAGCATAAAATAATACGTGAAATAATTTATTTTTGTAATATGCTAATAAGGACACAATATTCAAGCATATAATCTTGATAATCTCGAATTATACAGGATAACATGTATTTTCATTTACGAAAAATCTACAATATTACACACGCGCGCACGCACCACATACACCTACGTATATACACACATACATTGCTCTTTGTTCTCATAAAAAGTATAATTACGATAAGAACCCGACTTTCAACTGTTTGTTTTTATATGGATATAAAACATTTCAGAAGTTCTACAGAAAAGATTATCAACTGTTTTTTATTAATATTGGAACAAACATGATTATCCCCATAATTTCTTTGAAATCTGTCGAAACTTTCTGAGCTGAAAAATATTAACATTCTACAGAAATAAAATTGCCAGTTATATAAAATCTCTTATATACGATTTCTTTTTTTTTTTCTTTTTTGATTAATAACAAGATTAGGTTTTAAATCTCCTCAGACTCTATTAAATAAAAAAAGCGTAATGCTGCATTTAAGTATGATTCAATACAAATTCGATACAAACGGAATATAACTATCGGTCTTATGCTAATATTTACAATATGTCACATTGGTTTCATAGATTTAGATTAAAAAACTTTGTAATAAAATAATGAACGTAAAAATAGTATTCTTGTCTATTTCTCTTTGAATCACAAATATCAGAAGACTATGGAAAAAAAGTGCGGCCTGAATTGTATTTGTTTGATTTGCATAGATTAATTTTGGTGAGAATTCTTAATAAATATGCGTATTGTCTCTCTACTGCTGATATTCAAGCAAAATAAATTAATATATATTGCCCGATCGAATTAAGTAATTTTCTACAATTGTATTTCTTTGGAATATACAATTGTATTCATTCATCATATTCAATCCTCTTTATAGTATTTACTTATGACTGCGATTGAAACAGTTTTAGATATTGCGCTACACAGTATCTACTTATATTTAATTAACATAATGCGTAAAGCAAAACAAAAATACAATTCAGACTGCCCTTTTTTCCATAGTATTGATTCGAGAATAAAAATAGACAATATTTTTGTATTTATTATTTTATGATATAATAATTTTTAACCAATATTTACAAAATCAATATGATATTGAATATTAGCATAAGATCGATTATATTCTTTTAATATTGAATCATACTTAATATAACATTGTTTTCTTTATTTAGTGGAGTATGAGAAATAATTACAACTCAATTTTGCAATAATAAAAAAAAATAAAATTAAAAAAAATCAGTATAAATATAATTCGATAGTTCGAATATGAATGTGAATATAATTATCAGTCTTATGCTAATATTTACAACATATCATAATAGCTTCATAGATTTAGGTTAAAAACCATTATATCATAAAATAATGAATGCAAAAAATATTCTTATTTATTTCTATTCCCTCTTGAATTATATAAGATTGTTAGATATGGGAAAAAAGAGTGACCTGAATTGTATTTCTATCAGATTTGCATATAGATTAATTTCAATAAATAAATGAATTGTCTCTCTGCTTCTGATATTTTGTTATCATGCGAAACAAATTGATATATATATATATATATATATATATATATATATATATATATATATATATGTATATATATTGCCAGATTAAATCGAGCAATTTCAATTACAATTGCATATTTCTTTGGAATATATTTATTTAATATATATTCAATCTTTTTTTATACCGAAATGTTATGATAGTAATTAATAAAACAATTTGTACAATTTTATAGACATTGCTACACAATGTCCATTTCTATTTAATTGTTAACACAGTCAAATATTTAATAATGTCGGAATAGAATCAGAATAATTCGTAATGATAAGTGAAACGAGATATTATGGGATTTCAATTTTTGCATTCATGTGCGTGAGCAATATATCTAAACTGAATATTTTACGCACATATTTACATACAATGTCGAAAATGCAAAATATGCGCATAGCGCGGAAGCAGTTTATTTATTATACATAACGAAAGATACTCCGGCAGAAAATATGGTTCAATTGACGCTTCAGGGCGTTCAGAATACGTTCCGTCTAGTATTTTAGAGTATTCTATAGCAACCAACACGCTGCAGCGTCAAGATTTTTATATATACATGTATTCTTATTCATGTCACATGATTACTGTACATCGCATGTTTATCACCATATCTTACACGTAGAGACACGTAAAACCAGCTTTCATTTAAGATCATATATAAGATGGTACTGCTACTACGTCACAACCGAAGAGGAAAGAAGCACTAGGAGTTGGCATTTGGTGGTGGTGGCCTTCTATCATAGTCTCGCCTATAATCCTTGTTCGGCCGCCAATTAGAATAGCTATCTCCTCCATATCCGCGACCTCTAAAATGACCCGGTGCGATATCCGTTGGAGGATAACCGCCACCACCGCTACTATCGCCATAATTACCCGGATTGTATCCATAACTTGGCGGTCCCGACGAATATCGGTAATAATCACTGAAATATTTAATTTCAAATGAAATAAATTACGAGTTATATTTGTAAATTACGAGTATTGTATTACAAGTTATTTCTATAATGAGAGATTAAATAAAAATTGCTATTATTCACCTTCTCTTGTCATTCATGTGCATACCACGATCTCGATCTCTATCTCTATCTCTGTGATAACCGCCTGACATTCGGCCATAAATATCGAAGCGATCGCGTTTGTGATCTCCGAATCTGCCGGAAAATAAAATGACAACAGTTAAAGCAATTAATATAAATAGTAATTTTATTCAATGTTGTAAATTTAGTGCTCTAAGTATTTGTGTACTAAGGACAAGTTAAACGAAGCAAATTAAACTAAATAAAGATGTAAATTTATATACGTGCTGCGTTATATACTTGTCCTTTGATATCACTATATATATATATATATATATATATATATATATATATATATATATATATATATATAATCTATATATGTAAAACAAAATACGATCTTACCCGTACCTGCCGTCTCTCATGTCTCTTCCATCTCTGGGTAACCAATGATCGTCCTCTCTGCTGCCACTATAATGCCCCATATTATATCCTCCACTGTCTCTTCTGATCCTGTCGTCCTTTCCTCCGCTTATCCTATCCATACCCCTATCATTGTGTCCTCTATCTCGATCTCTGTCACGCTCCCTATCTCTTTTCATATCTTTATGCTTCGATTCTTTTTGCTCTTTATGTCGTGATGTTTCTGCGCTGTTAGTAGTACTTGATGTGGAATTTGGCGTTGATGTTATAGGAGTAATCGTAATAGCACCGATAGTAACGGTGGACGTGCTGCTGATATTGCTGCTGACACTAGAAATATTCTGTTTCTTACTTTGTGTACTACTATTTGAATTCTCCTCAGTATCGTCAATTTTACGTTTCGTTATTCTGCTGTCTTTGTTACTGCTGCTACTTTCCGTCTGTTTATCGTGAGACGATCTTTCATTATGTTTCTGATAAACAAAATGAAATTACAACTTAAATTTGTTATCTATATTTTTTATGAAAAAAACTAAAAAAATTAATGCAGTACCTTTGTAGTATTGGAAGCATCTTCTTTTTTGTCAGGACTCAATGTAGTACCGCCATTGCTATCGCCACCTTGTTTTACCAAATTCTTATACATTCTATAAAGCTTCTTTGCTTTGAAATTTGTGAACTTTGAAGCAAAGTACCAGAGGTTACTTTTCCATTCACTTATTTGTTCAGGATTTTTATATTCCGTAAGACATGTATTGATATGGTTTCCGATTTGATAAAGGCATCGACGCGCACGAGCGACTCGCTCCTCCTCGCTCAGAGACATATCTGGTGTATCCAGAGCCTTTAATGCTTTCTTCACTGGCCTCATTTTTTCCTTACACTATAAAATACAATACTATTATTCTATATGATACATAATTTTTTTAATTTCAATTATTTCTGACATGCTTCTGAGACCGTATATATATATACACACATATATATATATATATATATATATATATATACACATATATATATATATATATATATATATATATATACACATATATATATATATATATATATATATATACGATATATACAAATTAAAAGAAAAGTATATGTCTTTTGTTAAGAGAATGATATTAACCTCATCAAATATTGGAGGATCCAATTCACCAATTACATCAACAGCTCTTGGTTCGTTATTTGCAGTAAAATGCATAGGACCTGCGGCTTGCTTATTTTTCTTCGCTTTCTTGTTCTCTTTCTTTTCTTTTTTAATCTTCTTATCCTTTTTTTTATCATCAGATAAATCATCAATTTCATCCTTTACTTCTTTCTTTGCAACAATATCTTCTTCTTTCTTAATTCCAGACTGTAATAGTGAAATATACATAGATAAATATGTAATTATTATGTAAACTCACAAAATATAAAAATCTCTTTTTTTTTTTAAACTCACTTTATCATTTTTAGATTTTGATTTCTTAGTTTCGTCACCAGAAGTATCATTATCTTCTACAATCTCTTTAGTGATTGCTGTTTTCATTTCCTTAGTCTTCCTTGGTTTTCTCATTCGTGCCTGAAATAATTGTTTAACTCGTATATTGTTTATATATGAGTGTAAAGCATTGTAGATATGGAATGTAAAGAGTTAATATATATTAACTAATATATCTCTATCTAATATATATTAACTATATAATAATATATATTACTCTTTACACTCCATAGGCGCCACTACAGCGACATATTTTGTACGTCAACTTCAGAGGCGCTGCTACAGCAACATATATATTGAAAGTATAATGAAATTATTTATAATACTGAGAGCAACAATGACGATAGCAGGAAAATTTTCTATTTGATATAATAACATTTTTTAATGTTCATCAAAAATATCACAAAAATGTATTGGCGCTGCTAGTAGGTTATATAACAAAATTAAGGAGTGCAAAGAGTTAATAAATAAAATAAATAAGAAATTAGATCATTTTATTAGAGAAATTTAAATGCTTGAATCTAATCAACTCGTATAGTTGAAGATCTTCATTTAAATATGTATTAATATTTATAGTTCAAACTTTTCATACTTTTATTACTTTTTTATTTATCATATTTATATCTTTTAACTATTCATCAAAACATAGGAAGGAATAAAAGGATGGAGGAAAGTCAGGGTATTACCTTATATTCGGTTTCTAATTGTAGGAGAAGGACATAATCCTGTTAGAAAATAAAAAGACAAATAAAAATACACTCGTTAATATGCCATATGCAAAATGACCTTACCACTCCTAACTTAAGATCAATCTGTTTCTTCAAAATCTTCAGAAGATATTCCGCACGTGCGTTCACACGTTTGAGTTGTACTTTACTGCCATTAGGAAAAATCTTATCTCCCAATTCCAAACTAGCGTCCATTTTTATTGCTTCCCACGAACCCATGCCATGTTGATATATACCTCTTAATAATCTCGAATCATCCTCGGAAGTCCACTCACAATCAAAGTTTGCTGGCTTTGATCTAAAGTGACAAAAAATATCTTAAAAATATTCCGTATTGATATTTTTCATTATTTATTTCAATCTTTTTAAATCGAGTTTTATACAAAAAAAGATTAATATAACTGATTTAAAAACTCACTTAATGTCGAGGTGCCAATTGGCGCGTTGCTCGGGATCGGATGGCAAAGCTTGCTCCAAAGGTTCAAGTTCTTTAACTGCGGCTGAAAATGATTTCGCGTTCACCATAACACCGCCCATCTTGAAAGTAGGTCCTCGTCCTCTCTTACGACCAGGTCCCTTGCCCTCTTCCTCGCCAGTTTTATTCTCTTTCGCCGTGTTCTCAAATTCGACTAAGCACATGTCGCATCTAGATTTCAATTGTTCGCCCAAGAAGCGCAATTCCGACATTGGTTTCTCTTGTAAATCAGCATCAGCTGCGATATCTTCCAATCGTTTCAAGGGTGCCGGGAACTTTTTATAACTTTTAACGAATCTTCGTATCTGCGACGAAAAATTATAATAAAGAACATAAAAGTGAGAAAAATAAAACAATCTTGCAAAAAATGAAACTCGTCTTACAAACCTCAACATCTGTGAAACTCTTGATGTTCTCGCGCGGCAAGACTCTCGGTCTACCTCTTTTCTTAGGTCTTTCATCGTCACTACCCTCCACCTCGCTACCCGACTCCTCCCCTTCTTCGCTATCATCCTGTACCTTTTTACGCTTTCTGCTTCTTCCTAAATACAGAATTCGCTTTTGTTCTTATATATTTCATATTTACGAGGAAAAAGTATTTTTTCGCGTAAATGTGTTTTTGCAAGTATTTTAAAAGAAGCTATACCTTCGCTCTGATTGATTTGCTGAAGTGTTTTCCGACTTCTCGGTGGCAAATAAAGATCTTCCATTTCCTTCGACTTCTCTTCTTCTTCTACTTTCTTTCGAAAGTTTTCCGGAATGATTTCAGCCTAAAAATGCAACACAATAATAATAATTTTTATTCTCAATAAAAATTTATAATTGCAATATGAATAATTTACTCATTTAGACATTTAAGATAAAAAAAAAAAAAGAAAAAAAGAATACAATTAAAAAAGATAAAAAAAGATGCTTACCCAGTCTTTACTTTCATCATCGTTATCATTCGGCTGATTAATAGGTTCCAAATCTTCTTCAAAAGTAGGTTTAAAACTAGCTACTTTAAAAGCGGACAATAATTCATCGCCAACTGTCGTCGGACCTTCATCTCTTGTTTCAGCTCTTCTTAATATTTCATCGATATCACACTAATTTTAAAAAATTCATAAATATTTATACTCTATTTTTTGAGATTTTCTCTTAATCTCTATTTTAATGCTAATGCAAAATTAAAATGTTCTATTTTTTATTTGTTCTTGTATTTTAGTATAATTGTGTAATATAAAAAATTATGATTGAAAAAATAGCTCAAGAGAATTCTTGTAAAAATTAGAATGAAATAAAACAAATTCGAAAAACTCTTAAAAACAACTTGTATTACAGAAAATTATAAAGGAAAAAAGTTGTAGTGTAAGTGCTTTACACTACATGTGCTATGTATCTTGAATCGATTTTAAATATATATTAAATAAGTGTACAATTGCATTCAAAAAATTTCAAGTTATATATTATATATTATAGTTATATATTATATATTATATGTTATATATTATAAATACTAATAGAATATTTTATCATATTGTTTTGAATTAAAAATCTTTAATACTAGTCGCACAAAAATGTAAAAGATAAACTCACCATTGGTTCTTCATCTCCATCTTCTTCATCTTTAAACAGATCCTCTGCGCCGAATTTCAAAATAACAGTTAAATCTTCTTTGGTAAATGGATTGCTATTGGTCCCTGCATTCTTCTTATCCAATACCGTCCGTCCGGTTGTATCCATTCGCTGTATCACTAAATGGTCCAAGACCATTTTCTGCTTTGCACGTTCTACGATTTCTTCCTCGACAGAATTTTTGGTAACCAGTCGATAAATATTGACCTATACATAATGTTAATTGGGTTAGATTGACATTTCCCATAAATTTTCAAGTGAGCATCGAATTTTGAAACAATCGCGAACGCACCTTATTCTTTTGTCCTATTCGGTGTGCTCTGGCCTGAGCTTGCAAATCATTTTGCGGATTCCAATCGGAATCGAAAATTATCACAGTATCCGCAGTGGCAAGATTAATGCCGAGACCGCCGGCTCGCGTTGACAATAGGAAACAAAAATCCTGTGATCCTTCAGCATTGAAGTGATCTAATGCCTGTTTCCTCAGTTCCCCTTTTATACTGCCATCTAATCTTTGGAATGGGAAATGTCTTTTTTGCAGATATTCACTGAGAATGTCTAACATTTTGACCATCTGACTGAATATTAGTACTCTGTGTCCAGTATCACGCAATCTCACTAATAATTTATCTAAAAGTACTAATTTTCCGGAACCACGGATGAGTGTCTGCAAATAATCCCCATTGCCTTTTTCCCTTTCGGCCTCGTTCGGTTTTGTAAGAAAAGCATGATTGCAACATTTTTTTAATTCGATCACGATGTTCAAAAATGTCGAACTGGATCCTTTCATGCCTTTTCTTAATGCATCGTAATTTTTAGTCAATATCCATTTATAATATTGTTTTTGCAGGGAAGTCATTTCTACCCGTAAAATTTGCTCAATTTTAGCGGGTAAAGATTTTTCAACGTCCTTTTTAACTCTGCGCAAAATAAATGGCTCCAATTGCTTATGTAGTTTGGAGTATCCTTTTTGTGCAGCATTATCATGTTGTTTCTCAAATTCTTCCCATGAGACGAATCTATATTAAATTAATACATTACATACAAGATTTAAATAAGAAATGAAGAAAACGATATGTACATGATCAAAAGTATTAAATATAGAGGAAAATTCAAATAGAAACTAACTTGGTAGGCATAATGAAGTGTAATAAAGCCCACAATTCTTTCAAGCTGTTCTGTAATGGAGTACCAGTGATCAACAAACGATGATTGGTGTGAAATTCGCTAAGTGCTTTGTACAGAAGAGAATCGTCGTTTTTTAATCGATGAGCTTCATCCACTAGCAGTACTGCCCAATTTAAGGCACCCAACAGTGCTTTATCTTTAAGTACTATTTCGTACGTTGTAAGTATGACATTGAATTTTAATCTCTTCGATCCTCGATAGCACCATTCATATTCTCTAATCTGAAAAGAATTTATACAATTTATTTAAAGTTGCAATATATCATGTATGTGCGTGTGCGTGTGTGTGTGTGCGCGCGCGCGCGCGTATGTATGTGTGTGTGTGTGTGTGTATGTATATGTATATATGTAGATAAAGATATTGCAAAATAAAGAACACATACAACATTGCGCGAATTGACATCACCCAAATAAATGACGAAATTCATATCAGGTGCCCATAGAGCCATTTCTCTTTGCCAGGAAGTCATTGTTGACAGAGGAACTACTAATAAAAACGGTCCATGAAGTTGTTGCGTGTGAAAAAGATAATAAAGGAAGCATATTGTTTGGATTGTTTTGCCGAGACCCATCTCGTCAGCTAATATAACACTGTAAAAAAATATGATTAATCAAAATAAATTGAATATAAATATAATAATTTTAGACACATTGTTATTACTTATTATAGAAATACTTATGTACCTGTTTTCCTTACACCAAGAGTGAATCATCCAATTAACTCCATCCATTTGATAATCCCTCAATACTAAATCCTTTTCTTTGCCCATATAAGTAGGCTGTTCGTTCAATTGATAAAATTTAGGTCTAGATTTAAGAACTTTACAATGTTTGCTTGGTGTTCTTTTAGAATCCTCCCTGTCGCGAAATTCTTTTATCTTTTCTGGCCATTTCTTCACTATCAAAGCTCCATCTTCCCATGTAGCCTCAGCATATGGTAGATTCTCCCATTTACAGAAATAATCAGGATGTTCCGAGTCTGGTTTCTTATAATCAGCTGACAGAAAAACATATATATAATGATTTATATAATAATTTATATTTATATACACATAAAAGTTTTTATAACATTTTTCAAGATAGAAATATCAATGCAAATCAAAATATACCTATAATTCTCTCAACGTTGTTGTAACTTTTCAAAAGTTGATTTTTAAGTTCCAATTGACATTCAAGATATTCCAAATCTTCTGATTCAATACATTCTCTCATCTGTTCCAGTCTACGTTCACGTTTGATAAAATTGTCTAACTTTTTTAATCCTTTCACCTAATAAGATTAATAAAAATTAATATTAAGAATAATTCCTAAAATCATAAAATGACTTAATATACATTAGAAAATTTATTAATAACCTTTTGTGTTTTCAAAGATTCCTCTGATTCCCATGTATTGTGTATGTGAGACCAACCTTTCCATTTTATCCAATATTGTACTTCGGTCTCTACATTACTTAGATCCTTTGGATTGGGATCGCCATTTTCTTCGACAGCATAAATTGTTGTCACGTTGCCGGTAACTGCAAATAATTCTATATGTAATATATGTATTTACAACTATCTAATATCTTGATTAATACTTGAATACAGTATCATATATAAAGAACAAACCAACCTCCTTTCTTGCCCATTCTCTGTCCCAAAATTTGTTCAATAGTTTCCGCATTATCAGGTTCTGCTGATGCAGCATTCGATTCTTCAACTTCAACCAAATCTTCACTATCAGTTCCTTCTTCACTTTCTTCTTTATAGCTAACTGCTGTGCCAGTCCGTCTAGTGACTTGCCTGATAATTAAATTTATTATAATTAACGAAATTTGTTATATATATTTTTATATGCACCCTTTTGCTTAATTTTTTTCAACACATACCTTCTATTGTCATCACTATCAAAGGAAGAATTTTCAGAAGATTCAGAAATTCGCTTCTTTCGCACTTTGGCTTTCTCTTTTGCTTTTTGCGCCGCGCGTCTGTTTAAAGACTTGCTAGGAGGCGGCCTTCGATTTTCAATTTCGTCAGATTCGGAATCTGAACTTTCAGAATTCCAGGAATTGTGTGAACTACAAAGTAAAGTAAATCACACATGTATATAAAATTGTATAAATGTTAAAACTGATTTGACTAGATTTGTGATTATAATTGTCACACATTCATTAAGTACATGAATTTAACTCACAATCAGATATTCAGATACTACTAAAATTTTCTTATATAATTTTTAATAAAAACTATATTGTTTTCAATATGTTTACAATAAAAAATGCAAAATAAATATATTATGATATAAATTATAATAAAAAAATATAATTACAGAAAATTACATAAAAAAATCAAAATTCGAATTTTATTTCCAGTTCCAGTATTTTTTGTCATCTTTATTATTTGCATAATTTAAGATTAAAAAGAAATAAATTCCATGAATTCAGAAATTGTGTGAATTAAAAAAACTGTAATTATTTTAGAAAATATTGTAGCTTATATATTTTGCAACACATAAAACATATCTATTATATTAACTTATATCTATTAAGCTTTTAATATATTCAAGATAACATAGAATGTAAAACACATTGTGAAGTAAATTGTAAAGTGTAATAAGCACAGAAAGTAATAAGTTATATGCAAAACCAAAGTTAAATTCAATTAGTGCAAACCAAAAGAAAAACATATACACGCTTATAAGCGTGAGTTTATATAATCAAAATATGTATATGTATGTTTAACGTGTGTAGCAAATTTTATAATATAATATACTAAAAATTTATTAAAATGAAAAGTAAAATGATTTTTTGCTATGACTATTGAGTTAAAAAACTATTATAAATACTGCAATAAATTTTTACATTCATATTTGATACAGTCTCAGGTATCAAAATATTAAAATTATCTGACATTATGTCATAATCAATATTGATAAATTATAGATAGAATTTATAAATTTACAGTAGTCATATACATATAATACATATATATGTATACAATATAGTGATAAGTGTAAACAGAAATTAGCACAAACACAAATATAAAATTCACGTACATCACAGATATATATAAATATGTGTATCAAAAGATTTTGATGGAGCAACTGATAGCAGTACATAATTGCAAGATGTACACTCTTTATAATATGAATACAATATATAATATTAAAGCTCAAGATACAGGTTAACTGTATATAAACACATTCGACACTATTTCTGAAGTGATAATTATGAGCTCGTTATTATCTCTGAACTAGCATATGACACTTTACACAATTCAATAAAGTATACAAATATATAATTTGATTATTTAAAATTATAACAATCTTTCTTACATTATACAGTTCTGTAATTTGTTATAATTGCAGTACCGGTCTAAATTACGCGATCATTAGAGATATCGAGCGCCGAAATTTTTCCCGTGGGACTTTTAACTTACCCTTTCTTTTTAAACTTCTTGCGACCATCGCTGTCGCTCTCGCGATTTGTCGCGAGCCTGTCAGGTTCCTTCCTGGAACGTCCCGATCTCCTGATGCCATATATGTCAGGATTCTCGTCCCATTCACGGCTAGACTCATGTTTAACTCTAAGCTTTGTTTCTGTGCTGTGATTCGAGCTTTTGCTCTGGAAGCTATCGCTTTGTGCAGCAGGTGCATCTGACTTCTCTGACTTTTCTGAGTCAGAGCCTGATCCGGAACCGGAACCGCTCGAGGAGCTAGAGTCACTGCGTTAGCAGCCAGACAATATTTCACTGATTATGTATGAACGTTACGAAACGCATAGCCTTTCGAAATATATTTACTAAATATTTATTAAATAATTATAGTTGATATATTTTAAAATAATGTAATTAAAATAAATAAAAAACCAATCATAAAATTGTTAACGACTATTAAACATTGTAATCCAAGTGTTTGCTAATTGCGTGCGTGAAAAAAATGTTAAGAAAATACAACTATAAAGAATAAAAGTATAAAATTCAATTTCTAAATTTCTTTTCCATTTTGTGATGCCAGATATAATCAAGTGTTAATCTCAAATAATTTAATCTCTAAAATATGTATATTCTTTATAAGATGTAAGAATAAAGATATATTATAAGACGTATTTATATATGTAGAATTAATTTCATATATTTAATTATTAATAATAAAGGATTCTCTCTTCGATATAGAATATTAAATATAAAAATCAAAATCTTAAAAATGAATAATATTGTACGTTGCGGTAAAATTTCCCAAGATTTAAAATATATTTCGAAACTTTTTAATATGAATAAACATGTATTTCATTTAAATATATTAATGTAATAATTTTATCAAGATTTTTTATTGATTAATCAAAAATATTGAATACTGCTATGAGATAATAATATAACTTATCTAGCACTTGCACTGATAATTCTTGAGTACAAGGAAGCAAACATTATGATACAAGTAGGATGTATAGAAAGATTGTGCTCACAAAAAGTCCAAAGTAAAATATGATACATAAAATTAGCAAAATTGTTAAGACATTGTTAGAACTATATGAAAAGCTGTAGCAATACACAAGGAGCTAATTGTGAATGGCACTAATTCTGATAAACCCCTTTACACATAAGAGAAACCTGATATATACTTGTATTCAGTTTAATCTCTTATATTTTGCTGCATATTAATTTCATATATTGTAAGTATTCATTCTATGCTAAATAAAATAAACATTTTCTACCATAACTATATATTCAATTATCTAATTAATAGAATGTAAAAAACAGAAAAAATATATCTTAAAAAGTTAAATTAAATTAAAGAATTATAACAATTAAAGAAAGTAATAAAAGTTTTTATTTTTATTTCTTCAAATGGAGTCTGTGTCTGAAGCTCGTCTAAAGCTTATATAATAATTTTTAAATATATAGAATTTTTCGATTTTTAATGAAGATTTTATATAAAATCACACTGATGCAAGTTTATGTATCAGGTCTCGCGAAGGGGAATGGTCGAATCTTGTACTATACCCACCTATCAGATCCTGATGCTGAACCGCTATTACTTCCAGAAGAGGAGCTATCGCTTTTGCTGTCATTCTCCGAATCGGATCCGGATTCCTTACCGGATTCAGATTCTAATGTTTTCTGTAAGTTAACATGGCTACATGTATAATATATGTGATTTTTATTTCATCTTTATATAAGATATCGCTCGCCATGTGTTGTTTGGAATAGTTTATCCTCAAATTACCGTTCATTATCATAATACTTTAAAATTTTTATCCAAGAAAATTTTTTTCTATAAATTAATTATACAATTATAATAATGTACAAGGAAATAAACCCGCAGTTGAAGAAAGCAGTCGAATTTTCGTGAGCATCTTCTTTTATTTTCTTAGTCAACTTGAAATACAGCAGAAATATCGTTGCCAGGAACTCTCATCATCATAACAGTCCGTCCTTCATTTTGTGACTGTCGTCTGCCATTTTGTGTTCTCATAAGTGCAACACGAATTTCTTAAGAAACTTCTTAAATAATTCTTGTACGCTTTATTCTTGTACGATATATAATTTTAGCTTAAATAAAAAATGCAACAGAGATAATAATACGTATTTATAATATTTAACATATTATTAATATTAAATTTCACGGAAATTCTTCATGATTAAAAGGGGAATGTCTGTTCAAAGAATCTTCATGTTTCTAGCAGAGAAATTTCTTGTTTATTCACGTTTATTCTTGTAAAATTAAGTACAGACGAAATTTTTACATATTCCAGTGTATTTTACATGTTTGCCACGAACGCATAACTGCAGTCACTTTCAATGTTATTTGCATAGAAGGAACATGTGTATAAAGGTGTTGAATCTAGGTCTGGACATTAACAAACATATAATAGAAATTGTCATTGCAGTAAGTTTATATATTTATTAAATATTTCCATAAAACTTTACATCTTGATTATTAATGATCAAGATATCTAAATGTATACATAAACATGTAATTAAAAACACGTTTATATATTATTTAATTTATAGCAAATATTGTACATTGTCCATTGTACATCTATGTTACATATACTATTTATACATATATATTATATACTCCATTACTTTTAAAAGATTAAAAGTAAATTAGTGCATTAGCTAAAACAATAATTGTATTCATTAATCTTATCAATATAAATCTTTTATATTGATAAGATTAATGTTAATAAAAACTTTACGATTTTGTTAATAAAAATGTTCTCTAGGATTTTATCCAAAATACTAGTATTTTATGAAATATATTTACATTATATAACTATATAGAAATACTATATAATATAATTTTATATATCTACAAATCTGTATAGCAATGAATAATAATATAATAGTCACAGATATATTGAAGACAAATGCTAAAATATGTATAGAGAGCAAAGTAAAATTCTCTTTTACAATCAATGTAGAATTTTATTCGTATATCTACATTAATTGAATATAGAACAAAGGTTTCTAGCTCTCTTTCTAATAACAGAAGTTAGAGTTACATACTAAATTTTCAATCTACATGTCACCAGTATAGCATGATTAAACATTAAAATAGATCAGACTATGGACTATACCATTGTTCACATGAATCGTTATTAAAAATGTGACTCATTGTTAAAAATATATGAATAAATTGATACAGTTATATGATAAAATGATAAAAGATATGATGAAAATTGATATAGTTTTATTTATATCAACAGTTTTATAAAATGTATAAAATAATGTATGCAGTATATTATAAAAAATGTATGGCTGATGCAAGAATTTGAGCTTAAATACTGTTGAAAAAACAATAATCAATTTTGGTTTTGTTCACTCGATAAATGTCCAATCTTATTATTAATGCATTATGATAATTGACAGGTATATTTCGTTAATTAAGATAAATAAAGTATGTAAATAGAGATGCGAACATGATTAAATAATTATTAAATTGGTCTACCATTATTGTAAACATTTTTATAACACTGTTATCAAAATCATGATGATTTTCATATAATTTACACATAATATAAGCAGAAACATATAAAAAAATATATTATTCTAAAATTTTGCCAAATTTTTGCAATGTATATTAACTAAACTTGTTACTATCTTAAAAATTACACATTTTCCTGAAGAAATGGGTAATTAATAAGAATACATTTGCTTTTAATATTACTTTTATATGTCAAGATGTATCTATTGTCAAATTGAATCAAACATATCACAACGTAATGTTGTTTCATTCAAAGTTTCATTCAAAATATGCTTTATTCGTTTAGCAAATTATTGTATATAGTATACTTTGACATAATATAATAATCACTATCATGAAACATAAATGCAAAAGAAATATGTGATTATAAGGACTTTAAGAATGACATGAACAGACTTTTATAACATATACAAAGGTTATAAAACCCCTTGACAGACTCAATCATATCTCAATCATACACTAAAATTGCAAAATTGTAACCAAAATTTCTGTGAGAGACTTTTAGAGGTTGAAACTATAGAATATTTCTGGCATTATTCTAACGAAAATGTGTTAAAATAATGGACAATTGCTGCGAGAATTGTATTGCACATTCCTGATTACTATACAAGACCGTACGCGACGATATTCGAGTTCAATTTGCAAAAATGGGTACATTTTTGATTTTCGAATAAGCGTGATGCCAGACTGAAGGAAAGTGTGAGGAATCGTTTACAATGAAAATTAGAATGGTACAGCGATATTTTCTGTGAAAAATGTCACGTTAACGCGACGTAAACAAACCTTATAGGTTATTGAGAGACTGGAAAAGTGTGTAAAGTCGCGAAAAATCGTGGTGAAGGAGGGTAAAGTTTCTAAGTCCGGACGGTCCGGGGGACCCCGCCCTACACGTAGAAACCCTTTGCTTTCGAGCTGCGAGGGTTTTTTCCAATTTTTACGACATTTTTGTCGAACATCGTAGACCGAAACGCATACGAGTAACAGCGATTTTCCCCTATTCCAAACAACTCCACGGCGGCAACGTGCAATTCACACGCACGCATAAATGCACGCATAAACGCATCGTCGTTTCATTCGCGATGATAATCATCGCGAAAATCCGTAAACACGTGGATAAAATCGCGTCTGAATATCAAAGGTTCCGGAGGTGCACTCACCTGCATGGTCCCGTCTACGCGTCGCACCGACGACCCGTCGTATTCTTAACGATCCGCATGCAAATTGCGCAGAATCCAATCGTAGCACCGTCACGCGTACACGTGTCCGCGATAACAAATCGCTATTGAGGTTGGCGGTTCGACATTACGGCAAATTATTCGACTATCGTGTGCTATATGGTCACGAACCTGCGAGCTAGACCGCCATTTTGTGAACTCGAGTCGCTTCTTCTCACTCTCCCCCCTCTCCGCGAAACCGTCGTCCCGACATGCAACGCGCGCGCCATCTCGTCATCAGATCCTCCCTCTCGCCAGCGAATTCCGTCGTCGCAGCGCAAAGACGACGAAGTCTATTGGACGCGGCGGCGATGGATCAGCTGGGTGGGGAGAGGAGAATCGAACGGCGCACGCGTTACACGATCCTCCGTCTTTGCGTGCGTCTACGAACCGGAAAAGCAATCATTAAAGCGTAAAAAATATTTCTCTCGAGAAACTTTCGCGGTGTAAAATATCACGATAAGAGGCGAATTAATGGAGCGAAAATTATTCCACGATTTTTCCCGGGTCAATTCAACGATTCGCGCGTTGCTCTCTTAAAATCAACGGAACGGAGCCCCGATATAGAACAGACTTAGAAACGGAAATCGCTCCTTCGACAGCCATTTTGAGCAACAACGATTTTACCCAGAATGCGTGCGTCACGATGCTCTTTCGATTACTTCGTCACTCGGTCGTATTGTACTTTATACGCAATTACCTAGCTGCTGAAAATGGCGCGGGCGACAACCTACACTTCAAAAGCGCTTCCTCGACATTTTTTCAAACGTCTTAAACAAAAATCGATTCGGTAAAAACTGCTGTTACGATTAAGAGGGAAGCTTTAAATGAAATATGTAATCCCAATTTCGAAAAGGAATATCACGTTAACGACTGATTAATTTTGTTATACAAATATATATCGCACGATAGAGAATCTTACGCGTTATCGATTATCTTCAAAATTTTTACGCGAAATTGAGAAATACGATGTCTCTATAAACGGAACGAAAATTACGATTTTGACAAGGGGAAAATCGCATAATATTCGTCGCGAGTCGAGAAATCAATATGAAAAAATCTAAATATTCGAATAAATAACGTTCTGTCAAACTTTTCGCGCGGAGACTGGCGGGAAAAAAAATTGGAAACGCGTCACAAAATGTTAAATACATACCCCGTATAATAAAGAATGAATTTTTTCGAGGGCTCAGCAACTCGCGCTAATTCTACCTTGGATTCCTCTCGTTACGTACGTGGATAGGTAGGATGAATCACACCAACTGTCGGCGACGTCTGAACGAATGGATGACTCTATGAATGTTAACGGCGACGTCGCCATGCCAAGTGAACAAGCCAAGATGTTATAAGAGACGGAAGGCAGGTTTTCCATTAAATATCGAGGCAGGACGGTGCCAAATCGTGAAGCCACGTCTTCTCGATTTTGTATCGTCCGTACGTATCGCGACGTCGAGGAAACGACGCCGACTGAGCGAGGAACCACGCCCGTTTCAATGGAAAGCCAACACACCGTCTCGCAGTCGATGAAACTAACGTATTGTGTAGCGATAATGTAAGACGAAAAATATTACCTATACGCCTGTGACACGCCGCACCGGAAAAGGACGAGTCGACCGAGCTTCCGGTATATGTATGCTCGTGGCACAATCGAGCGCTCGATTCTCGCTGCTCCAAAGATTCGAGCTTCATGGCGGGAACCTTTCGAAATTGTTAAGCGAAGTTTAGGATCTAATATACATAAGAGATAATATGAAATAAATAAGTCGTTGAGAATTTAAGACATACATAAATTGTTCAATACAAAGTACAATAAATTGAAACAATATAATGTAATATAAATCTATTAAAATAGAAACATACTTTATGTAAATAACAGTTCAGCAGGTTTGTGGTAGTTTTGATTAGATAATTATATTATTTCTTCTTTCATAAATTAGCCTTTCCTCAAAATAAATTAGAAACATTTAGAAATATTTCCAGAATTAGAGAGATTAAAGTTGAGAGCTAAAACAATAATTGAAAATATTATTTTAACACTTTTAGGGAAAATTTAAATATATATTATTTATTTATTTATTACATAACTATTTCGAATTAATGTACAATAGTAATATAGTGAGAGCGTGCAAAATCGAAATAATCATCAATTGTGATTAATAATATATATATATATATATATATATATATATATATATATATACACATGTATATTTACGAAAACAATTTTTGCTAACATAAATCGTAGACAGAATAGAAGTATAACATTTTAACACTATCTGTGCTAATTTTTACATGTTTCGTATATATATATATGCCAAGTTTTCTATTTATGAAACGATAACTCAGTCTTATAAATTAATTCAGTTTAATAGTAGTCATGTAAAACCATATGTCATTGCAGTGATGAACGAAGCTGATGGAGATAATAATCACATTGTCTGAGTTCGTAAAGACGACTTTATTGTTAATGTACCTGTCGTATTATGCATAAAGAATAGTCCTGTATAACTGAGATACTGATTTTTACCGAGTATCAATAATTATATGTAGATACGATCAAATAAAATGTCGTTATTCCGGATCTGGTGTTTCTTTCGTAGCCTTTTGTTGCTCCTCCTTTTCCTTGGCTTTTGCATCGGGAACCCATAGACCGCTATCGACGCAACGTTTCATGTGATATGTCGCCTCTTCCTCTGACATTGAGGCTATCGTTTGTTGCAACAAAGGAATATCTTGCGCCTCGAAGCATTTTTGTAAAGACTGAAACAGAGCATAAAGAAAGGCATAAAGAGAAAAGAAAAACACTCTATATAGTATATTGATTTTTATGTTACAAGACAAATTTTTATTTACTTCTGGAAGACTTTCAAACACTTCAACTGGATCAAGTCCGCCAGGACCTAGACGAGCTTTTCTCTCTTCCTCCTCAGCCTCCCTGACCGCATCAGTCACATTTTCTGCTGCTCTCTTGCGTATTCTATCCTTAAATGCCCTCAGTTCATCATCGAAGGAATTTTTGTATTCTACTTCGGCAATTTGAATACGACTGAAAAAAGATCCGACGCACGCCCGCGGATCAACCTCCAATTGTTTGGATAGTTCCAATATATATTGCATACATATACATTGATGAGCAACATGCTCCATTAAATCATGTTTCTGAAAATATATGTTAAATATATTTTAATACAGAATTTATGATAATTATTAACTGTTAAAAACTCCATTTGTTACCAAAACTGCTTACTTCTTCCATTTCTAAATTAATACACCAAACAACTAAGTAATTTGCTGTATTCTCGCAAACTAAATACGGATGCTCTTGTAAGAATTTTTTACTGTCATCATATTTCCTCAGCATGCCAAATTCTTTCAATTTTTTCTCATTTTCTTTAACAAATTGCTTCATCCGTTTCTCCTTTTCTTCATCAGATAAACCAGCATCTGCATCCTTTCTAGGAGGCTTTGTATTTATCACAGTTTTGGTAAAACCATCTTGGCCAATGGTATCTACATTCCAAGGTGTTAATCTTTCTTTCTTTTTCATTTCCTCCTCTTTCTGTTTAATCTTCTTCTCTTCCTCTTCAAGATCATGAAGAACCTTTTTTAATGTAGTTAAATCAGCTGAATCTTTCTGCTCGCTTTCTAATTTAGCTAACTTTTCTTTTGCATCTTTCAATTTCTGCAATGTTCTAAAATAACAAGTAAAATGTAAAATATAAACTTAACTTTAAATATTAACTTAATTTTATAGAAAAAGATATTTATTCAACAAATGTCTTTCATACTCTGCTTTTTTCCTATTGTGTTCCTCCTGCTCTTTCTTACGTTCTTCCATTCTTTCAAGTCGTGCCTGATGACGCCATCTGAATAAGGACGGCGTATCAATGTTTGGATGTGTATCATCTTCATCATCTGAAATCTAAGAGAACAATATTTACCAATACAAAACTATATATTTCTATGAATAAAATCTAAATATATATTGTTTTTGTTTAACATAATGGTAAAAAAATTGATAATTAAGAAACGAAGTAATTTGCAATATTTAAGCACATTAAAATTTGTAGCAAATAAAATATATTTTATATTTTTGCAATGAATATATAACTTTGAATCTTCGAACTACAATTGACGTAATTGACGTTTCATCAATAATAAAATAATTTCCGATATAAAAAGTTATACATAGTCGGCGGAGTCTCAAATCTAGAATTTTCCAGAAGAGCACTGGACCCGGAGAATGAGCGACACATCCTTACTTCAATATTCTTCCATTTGCTGTAGTCTACCATTGTAGCGTCCGGATATAGTCGTCCTTCGTCTAATTGTTCTTGGTATTCCTTCAGTTGCACGAGTTTTCCTTTTTTTTTGCTTACCGCAAATATCGCGCATAAAAATCTCAAATTACTGCGTTTTTGCGAGAGCACTAATCCTTCGATTATCGCACTTGTCAAAGTTTGTCAATTGTACAGCGACCCTACTGTTTCATGAACTTTGGACCTTCTGTAACTGCCGTGGAAGATAAAAGATGTCGTGCCGGTATCAATCGATGATTCGCATACACGAAACATCATCTAGGTTCATTTTGAAAATTCGTAACCATAGTCTTAATGGTTTCCATTCACACATAAAATTCCCTAAGCACGTAAGACGTAGTGTAAGGAAATCGACCAATCACGGTCGAGTATTGGCCCTTAGAGAGATTAAAGGCCGCAGCACACACTTTTGCATAAGCGCATAACCATAAGCATAAGGAAATTGATTGGGCCCCAAGTATATGCATTAAAAAAAAATGAACCAATCAATTTTCTTATGCTTATGATTATGCGCTTATGCAAAAGTGTGTGCTGCGGCCTTTTGTCTGGATAGGCCTTAAGCAGAGAGAAAAACGTAAGCGTAAGGAAATTGACCAATCACGGTCGAGTGATTGGTCATTACGCTTAAGGTGCAATTTCATTGACGCTAAAAAGTAGCGTCAACAATTGGTTGAACAAAGAAGCAACTACTTACTTCTTTGTTCAACCAATGGTTGACGCTACTTTTTAGCGTCAATGAAATTGCACCTTTAAGGTGCGGCCTCATTGACGCTAAAAAGTAGCGTCAACCATTGGTTGAACAAAGAGGTAAGTATAGTTGCTTCATTGTTCAACCAATGGTTGACGCTATTTTTTAGCGTCAATGAGGCCGCATCTTTACGATGTTTTCACCAACTGGTCAATTGACGAGTTTTTTGTATCAGTGATTGGTAGAACTGTCTCATATATGAAATAGTTGAATTGAACTTTTTTGAAAAGTTTATTCGCCGTTGTCGCGATATTAACGTCCGGAATAAGTGGAACATATTCGTAAGTTATATACAATTTTATTATTAATAAATAGTTGATTGCTCTCGAAATACGATACTCGATTATACGATAGGAATCAAAATTATAAATTATTATTTGTTGCAATCTTTACGAGCAATGATTACTCTTCTATTTCTATTTCGTTTCTATCCTAATATATATGTGTACACACATTTAGAATTCTAATATAATAAATAAATATTCTCTCTGATATCATTTGATCTAAATATAATTTGATTCAGAACGCGCAATAAAACGATCGAATAAAAATCGGATAATTAACATAATGGAAATATATATTTTTAAAGTTATATACAAGTGTATTTATATACAAGTATATCTTTAAAGTCACACACACACACACACGGATTAATTATTTATTAAACACACATCTTTAAAGTCACATACACACGTACACGTACATACGGATTAATAATTTATTAAACACACATCTTTAAAGTCACATACGCACTCACACACACACATACACGTACACACGGATTAATTATTTATTAAACGATTAATATACTTCGTGAAGTTATTTCCATTTTTATTTGCAATTATGATCTTTAATAAAGATTTCTCATCATAATAAAAAAATTTTATATCGTTTATCAAAAGTTTAAATTAGATTTAGAAGTATATTATTGCCTCTTTTCGATAATAATTGATTATTTCACTGTATCTATTTCGTGAATAGCTATCATTACAGAGATCGCGTAGAGACAATGCAATAAAATTAATAATAAAATTCCAATAAAATTAAATACAAATTAATTATAATAATTAAATATAAATTTGTTTATAATTAACTTTTTCTACGTTGAGAAAAGTTCTTCGTTTCTTTTGGAATATCTTAAAGATTCTTTTAATTAAATTTTACAAAATATATAACTGTTGAATTTATAGTATTTAATATTTAGAAATAAATAGATAATATTTTATTTTTATATACATTAAGTATACGATATTATTTATTAAAAAAACTAATATATATTATATGGATCTTTTTGTTAAGTTAATTATTTAGATCTACGATTCGATTGTTTTACTGCATTTCAATTCGAATTATATATTTAGATGAAAAATAAAACGATAATAAAATAATAAGCAATATATCTATTTTAAAAATAGTGGATATAAATAATAAATAATAAATAATTTTTATAAATTACTCACCGCATGTCTCTGGCTGCTTCAGGCTCTCTCCCTGCTTTCTGACTGTCCGATACTTTTCCAGATGTCCTTCTCTTTTGTTGTTTCATCCTTTGTTGTTTCTTCGTAGTAGTCACGAATTCACTCGCGAACAAACAATTATATTTCAGTTAATTATATTTCAGTCATATACAGAAACGATCGCGAGACACTTTGCACGGCACTCCCGATCGCAAAATAATCATACGAGATACGTATTTTTATAATATTATTATTATTTTATTATTATTGCAAGAGAGGAACACAAAAATTACAATAATTCGCTCGATTTTTAAACGAAGCCAAAATCATGCACCACTCGATTCTTACACTAATTAACTATTTCTATTTGTTGATGTATAATATATGCATAATAACGCGAATCATAAGATTAAAATATTAAAGTAATGTAAATTGATGATACAGCAATCGTTTAATTAATATGATATATATGCATGCAGTTTAGGAAAGTTTAAAACATCGGGCGAAATCGAATTTCATTCTATGCAATGTTAAAGAAATAATTATTATTCGTAAAGTTCGATAATCGGAGAATATTGCGAGAAAATTTGTAATTTTTGCCCCTTTCGCTTCAATTTTTATTTGCAATAATGAAAGATCGAAATGCAATAACGAAAGATCGTGTTTCGATGAATTTATCGTCGCCACAATTTCATGTCATTTGTTAATTAATTATTTGTCAATTGTAATAGTCGAATTATTATATTTCGATCTAATCGCGATCGTACTTTTAGGAAAAGAATTCGATAATACGGAGCGTTCCGTATCACTATTTTCCCGCTGGAATGTCGCCGTGCGAATGAGGGGGAGGTCGTCGCGTATATAAACAATAGCGCGCTACGTCACAAGGTCGAATGACGTGTTAGCTCGCTGCCGAAATATTTAACGCGTACTGTGACGTATGTGAGAATTGTATTTATATACAAGTATATTTTTAAAGTCACACACACACACACACACACGCGCGCGCGCGCGCGCGCACACTGAGAAAAAAGTTGTTAACTCGACTAAACCGTTTAACTAAATTATTATTTTTTTAATTGAAATATTGAAATATTTAAGTTAAATAAATGTCATGTTAGATTTATAATAGTTAAATATTCCAAATAAATAGACAATAATTTAGTTAAATGGTTTAGTTAAGTTAACAACTTTTTTTCTCAGTGTACACAGATTAATTACTTATTAAACCTCACGAGATATATTAATCGTTTAATAATATAAATGTATTATTATATCCATGTATATTTATATCCAAGTATATTTTTAAAGTCTCACACACACACGTACATTGAGAAAAAAAAGTTTTTGTTAACTCAACTAAACCGTTTAACTAAATTATTATTTTTTAAATTAAAATATTGAAATATTTAAGTTAAATAAATGTCATGTTAGATTTATAATAGTTAAATATTCCAGTTAAAAAGGTAATAATTTAGTTAAATGGTTTAGTTAAGTTAACAACTTTTTTTCTTTTACAATTAGTCTTTTCTCTGTCTACTATTTCATTGTTTTATTACGCTTTTAGAAAGTCAAGTTCTATAATGTAACTTTTAATGTTGTATTTCATATGAAATTATTATTTTAAACATAATAATTTTCTTCTTTGCATTTCTATCATGAATAGACATTTCCAACCTTTACTAAAAAAACTAAAAATATCCCTCAATTTTTTATCTCTTTGGACAATTTATTTACATTTATATATAATTCTCTTTATTCCTTTAAAAGTGAACATCGAGAACAAGGCACACGAGTATTGTAAATGTCAAAAAATGATGGTGCGAATATTATAGTTGTGAATATATAAAAATAAATGCAATATACTATGAATTTTCTACGTTATATATTGAATCGAAATTGCACAAAAGAGGAAAAGAAGAACAAGCCTATGAATAGACATTTCCATTTTTTATTAAAAAATTAAAAATATCTCTCAATTTTTTCTCTCTTCGGATAATTTATTTACATTTATATATAATTCTCTTTATTCCTTTAAAAGTGAACATCGAGAACAACTCTCTTTCTTCAGGCAAGTCTACATATATGATCAATATGATTAATTGATTCCATCTTTATATATTTATCATTATGTGCTATTAATTAAAGCCGTAGACAATATTTCAGAAATCAAAGTTGTGCGAACGTTGCGCGCAGGAATTGTCATGCGCAGAAACGAATGCGCAGTGGTTCGGCCGCCATGTTGGCGCGTGACTGCTACGTCATACGAGTCATAGCAACGTCATACGCGTCATACGTGTCTCGGAGTCATACGCAGTTACACGGATCGTCGAACGTCCGCATTTTTCGAGTCTTTTAACCGTTTTTAAACGAATATCGCGAGTGAACGAGCGTCGAGAGTGTCCAAGGATGATCGCGCGACTTTCATAGTGTGTCGATGGAAACGCGCGACAGCGATTTTTGACGATATTCAGTGATGGCGTCATTGCGAAGATGGAGCGAAGTCGCGTCGCGTTATTTGCGCCCTTGATGATGATTATCGGATGCGAGCGAATATCGGGAGTGCCGAATAAAGTGTCGCGCGTTTGCGTTGATGATATCGTGTGGATTTGTGTGCATCAAGATCGAAATAGGACGTCCCGAGGCGAGCGAACTGTCCCGAGGAGGAGCGGCCTGTGGAACAGCCGGTGAGTAGATTTGATTTATCATATTTGCGTGATAATTTGTGCTCATTCGACGCTTATACAGCATCGCGATGTCCCGAATTACATTCGGACAAATCGGCATCATAATTCGATTCGGTGCAATTCAAATAAAGACGATCGCGTGAAGATGGTTATGCTAGAAGCGATTTCAAATTTATTTTGTACGCGCGCGCAATGCTGCACAGCCTATCTCGTAGGGTTGCCAACTGTTAAACAATAAATTTGTTTGATCTAACCTAACCTAACCTAACCTAATCTCTCAGTGTCT